CCATCTCTCGGAAACAGGCTGATGTCTCCGGTGGCGCCGGCGCCGCCGTTGAGCGCGAGAAGGCGGGCAAACACCCCGCCGTACGCCAGCTCGCGCGCCGTGTCGGAGCGGGAGCGCATGGGCGCGGCGGCTGCCGCCGCCGCCCCCGGTTGGGCGACGGTGGGCGGCACCGCGGGCGGCGGCGCGCCGAGAGCAGACGCGTCGCGCAGCAGCTGCTCGCGCGTGCCGCCCCACGCCTCCTCGAAACTGGACCAGTAGGCCGCGTCGTACCGCGCCGTCACCAGCTCGCCCGCGCGACGGACCGACTCAACCAGTGCACGGCACTGCTCACGCGCGAGCAGGCTGTCGACGTCGCATGCGGGCGCATCCACAGCGGTGGCGTCGGCTCCGCCGCCAAAGGCGGGTAGGTCGGCCGAGGCCTCGTCGACCGCCATGTCGAGCGTCGCGGCGTCGAGCCCATCGGCGTCTATCCCCTGCTGTGCGAGGAAGCGGTAGGCCATCGCCGTCGCCGCCGGCGCACGAGCGGCAACCGAAGCCAGCGCGCGGGTCTCGTCCTCGATCTGCTGGAGCGAGCGCGACACGGGTGGGAGCCGGAGTCCCTCGCCCGCAATCGACGCCTGAAGGGCCCGCGCACCCTGCAGGAGGGGGTCGTCCATTGTTTGTCGTCTGCACCGGAGAGCGCGGTGGAGGCGGAGCGGGAGCTGGCGGCACTCCCACGCCTCTGGGGTCCCCCTTGCCCGGGGGGGGCGAGGGAACCCGAGATGCTGGGGCGAGCCTCGGCGAGACTGCGTCAGCTGTTCCCACAGCAGGCTGGAAGTACCTCACCAGAGCGGGAGCACTGTGAAAGCACGCGGAGCGGGAGCAGACAGACAGACAGACCTGTTTGGATTGTGAGTGAGGAGACCATCCCAGCGCGCTCACAAGCGCTCGCGGCTGGAGCGATTGGGAGCGCCCCCTGTGCGCCTGCCAGCAATCCTTGGATCTTTGGTACGATTGTGAGCGCAGCCGCTCATAGTCCTACATACAAGATGTAGGAAGGATTGCCTAGCGCTCCTGCTCGCAATCGGAGGCATGTTGCGCAACCCTAGACTTTGCTCGGATTGCGAGCGCGCTGGTAGTAGTCGTAGGCGTCACAAGTCACCTTGGGAGCGGAGCTGCTCTTAGTCCTAGAAGATGTAGGATTGCGAGCGTAGGCGCTCACAATCGCACAGAGATGCTACGATTGCGAGGAGTGCTGCTCACAATCCTTCGACTTCTAGGATTGAGAGCGAGGCTGCTCTCAATCCTAGCCGTCTAGAAAAGAAGGTTCAGCCTCTGGGCCGGCGCGGGGGCCCCAGAGGGTGTCCATGCGGGGGGGGAGATGGGGTCCTTCGCGTGGGGTGAAAAAAAAACGGGGCGAGGTGCAATTGAGAGTGGGCGCGAGCGCAATCCCACTGGGATTGCGTTGATTGCGTGTGATTGCGATGATTGCACGGACCTCAGCTCGGGAGCATGGATTGAATGCAGTCAAATTGCACGCGTTCCCATACTCCGAACTCAAATTCTTTTTCCCTCTCTTCGCTCAGTGCCCCGCCGCCATGCCAGACGGCACTCTGCAGTTCAAGGCTGTGGTGGGAGAGAAGGCCACGCTGTGGGAGGACAATAAGATCTGCCTCGATGACCCGGACCACCTGCGGCGCGCGTATTTCTGGATCGTAACGGCTGCAGACTGCAGTGTAGCCGCAGCTTCACGTAGCCTCCTCTCGCGTCTCTCCTCTCGGGTCCATGCGTGACACCCTATTAGAACTTAGGCGTGACACTGAGCGTGACACGGGGGGTATGGGAGCGTGACACGCCTGGGTTCGGTTCCAGTGTGGGTAGGGGATCCCCCACCCCCAGGGAGGTGGAACCCACAGTGGACGCGCGGATTCTCAGCATATGCGCGGGCCTTGGTCCGGTGCCGCTGACGAACGAGACGCTTGTCGGCACTGGGCAAACAAAACGACCCCCCCCCTCCACCACCCCCTCGCCCAGGGATCTACAACGCTGTCTTAAAGTCCGACAGGTTCGGCACCGGGCACCGCCTCGGTATACAAAATGCGCCTGCGGGCGGACCCTTACAGATCACAGATCACTCTCTGGGCAAATCCCCTTGACGCTTGAGTGAGCCACTGAGAGGCAGCGCTGAAAACACTGACCCTGGGGGTGCGCGAGAGGGGGGGGTTGCTTTTGGTGAGGACGCTGAGGAATGTCTGACTGTCATGTCTCTTTGACCCCCATGAATAATACTTAAGAGACATGACCAAGCGCACTCGGCGGAGCACCGCGCTGCTGCGTGCTCGGTGCTGCTCTGAGAGTGAAGCTCTGCTGCACGGTGCACACCGCACACCGCCGGCTAATAGCCTTCTCGCCCTCGTCAGAGGTCTGAGAAGTCAAAGTCCTGTCCCAGCCGGATGGCCCCCTGGCCCTTGCCTCCCTTCCGCCTCTTGCCCTGGGGCGGCGCCTCCTCCGCCTCGTCCTCGGTCTCCGCCTCGGCTCTCCCGCCGTTGCGGGCGGCTCGCCTGCCCAATGCCGCCTCGGACACGTCCCACAACCGCACGGTGCCGTCGTGGGCGGCCGTCGCGGCGAGCGCCCCCTGCGCGTCGACGGCGAGCGCCTCGATCGGGTCCGCGTGCCTCCCGACCTCGCCGAGCATCCTCGACGGGTGGAGCGACGCCGCGCGGAGGACGCCGTCGGCGGAGGCGAAGAGGAGCGCGTGCTCACTCAGCGGCGCCAGCGCCTCGATGGCCTCGCCCGAGCCGAGCACCGCCTACAGCACGCGTCCAGGACGCGTCAGGGACGCCCCCCCTGGTGTGGTGAGTCGCCCGCCTGGCGGCTTGCGGGCCGGGGTGAGCCGATCGGAAAAGTCGCCAAAGTCTCCCCACGAGAAGACGCCGAGGACGCCCGAGTCAGATCCGGCGAGGAGCTTCTTCCCTCCCTTGAGCGGCGCCAGGCAGAGCAGCTCCTCCTCCAGCTCATCCGAGCGCGCCTCGAGCCGCCCTTTCCGCAGGTCATACACGGAGAGGTGGCCGTCCGACGAGCAGCTCGCGAGCTGCAGGCGCGGCAGCTCGAAATGGAGGTCGTGCACCACGTCCGAGTGCTCGTCAAAGCGCATCACCGCCCCCCTCTGCCGCACGTCCCACACGCGCACCGCGCCCTCGTCGTCCCCCGTGCCGACGCCGTGCGGCCCCAATGGCGTGCAGACGTTGACCGCCGACGCGTGCGCCGCGCGGAGCTTCCACACGGGCCGGTTCGTCTCGAGGTCCCGCCGCTGCACACTCCGGTCCGAGCCTGCGCTGAAGAGAGCGCCGCCGTCCGGGCTGAACTTGACCGACCGGCAGGCGTCGGCGTGCGGCTTCGCGCCGAGCCGCCGCTCGGCCGACGCGCCGTCGTCGGCGCAGCTGTACACGCGGATCTGCCCGGTGATGAGACCGGCGGCGAGCAGCCGCTCGGTCGGGTGGAAGTCGAGGCCAAAGGCCAACGCTCGGTGGGGCAAGGCCACCTCTGCTCTCATGGGCTCACTCGTACTTGATTTACGACGGCCGCGTGAGTGGCCGCCCGCGCTCAGATTTCTTCTTTTTTCTTCCGCGCATTTATTTTCTCGCCAACCACCATGCCGGGTTTGATGGGTGGCTGTACTCTTCGCTGAGCCCACGGCCACGGAGCTGGCCTTGCCATACCGTCCGCCTTGCGAGCGTGCTCACGCACGGTCCTGGGCTCGTGCTTGCACGCGGTCGCAGCGTCATCAAGGCTCCACGCCACGACAGGACCGGCCATGCCGGGTGGCGTCCTCGCAACATCTGGAGAGGTGGGCAAGGCTCTGAGGAGGCGTGCGGCGTGCTGACGGTGAGCAACAAGATCGCTCCCGCGGCGCCAAACAAAGCGGCGTGCGCGCGGCGGTAAGGCCAGCCACGCGCGCGCCGGCTCGAGAACTTCCGGCAGCACAAGGCTGCAGCACCTGCGGCTACTCCTGCGATCAAGTGGGAGCAGCTCGCCCACGGCCTCTTGCGTCAGCAACGCGCGACTCTGCGCGACGGCGCGCGAGCGGCCTGGGTGCGCATGCGCGCCACCCGCGCGAAGATCGGCGCGGCGGTGCGGAGCGCGTGGAGGTGTGGAGGTCTCTGATCGCGCGTCACCTCGAGTCCCCTTCCCACTGCTTGATCCAACCCTTGGCCCTCTGATGTCCAGTGCAGCACATGTACTCTTGGTGTGTGTGCTGTGGGCCCACCTTAACACCTACCTACCTACCACCATGCCGCCGCAAAACTGCCGAGGGGGCACTGCTCGGAGGACGAGTGGTACGCGAGCGGTCGATTGCACACTGGTCCGCGTGCGACGACGTGCTTGGCGGCTGCGGGTCGGTGGACGGGGTCGACCTGTCCGGCTCACTGCACTTCCTCCGTGCGGCGCTCGGAGGCGAAACGGCGCCTGCGGGCTCACTCGCGCTTGGCCTGGGCGCGGGCTCGGGCCGCGTGAGTGGTGGCGTGCTCCTCAAGGTTTTCGAGCGGGTCCACCTCGTCGAGATGAGCGCTCCGCTGCTGCAGGCTGCGCGCACAGCGCTGTGCGACGACTCTTCGCGGCTTGACTTCACGCTGGCCAGCATATCTGGGCGCAGTGGATCCTCGGGCATCTGACGGACCACAGCGTTGTGCGGCTGCTCGCTGCCTGCCACGGCGCCGTCCGCCCGGGCGCGCTCGCACGCCGTCCTGCTGTTGTGTTTGATCCGAGGGTGACTGGTTACGGCCGTGTACCTAGGCGGCTCGTGGTGGTCAAGGAGAACACGGCGCCGCCAAAGAAGTGCCGCGAGGGCCGCGGCAACTACATGCTTGACGCCGAGAACGCGGCGGTGCTGCGGACGCACGCCCACCACATGGCCCTCTTCCGGCGAGCTGGGTACCGTGTGGTCAAGTCCACCCGACAGGCCGACTTCCCGAGCGACATCTACCCCGTGCGCGGCATGTACTTGCTCGCGCCACGAGTGAGCGCCACGTGACCGGTGAGGCGGGGCAAGACCGCACGAAGAGAGCGCATTCCCTCGATTCTCCGCGCGCAAAAACTGAGAGATAGAGTAATTCCACTGCGTGTGTGCTCTGTCAGTGACTAAGTCAGACGAGAAGTTCGAGAACGCCAAGGCAGGAGAGTGAATATAGCAGAGCTCGCTCGCGCTCAGAGTCAGACACGGCGCCGTCCCTCTAAAGCGTATCTCGCTTTGGTGATCCGATCACCGTCCCACGGCTGCGCTGCTGCGGACCCACGCCTCGATCCGCTGGCGGCCTCGCTGCAGCTCGCCGCGTAGCGCCGCCTTGTGAGCATTGTCCACCGCGTAGCGCTGGCCGTGCGCTCCGGTGTGGTGCCGCACGGAGAAGGGCCCCTTGGTGAAACGGCGGGTGCCGTACACATGGGTGATCCAGTCGTCCATCCACCAATCGCTGAGTACGGGCGGGTAGTAGAACTCAAAGATGGACAAGTGGTGACGGTGCACCAAGTCGTGCGTCAGGATCTTTGCGTTGCCCTCTGCACACACCGGCCCCACCACGCCAACGTTCGGAGGCGAGTAGGAGCGGAGCGAACGGATCGCCGGCTCCACCCACGGGTCCACAAACCTATTTACAATTAGAGGGGTGGGCAGGCGCCGCTCACGGGAAGAATCTTCCCCCCCGCGCTGAGGCACTCTGTGTCGTCGTTGACCCGGTAGAGGTATTCTGCGCCGTCCTCAGCGGCGGCGGCCTGAGGGAAGGGAAGGCAAGGTCAACTTCTGTCGTTCTAGCTCTCGGCCCGCTCTCGGCTAGGCCTCGCCATCATAAAGTTGAAGACGGGGCCCGGCTTGCGCAGCGGGTTTGGGAAGCGCAGCAGCGCGTGGCGCGTGGCGATGCCCGCTGCGCGCAGTGGGGCGACAAGCCGCGCCTGCGCCGGCGAGGTGGAGCCAGAGTGCGGCTGGGGCGCGGCCGAGTTGGAGCAGGGCGACAGGCCACGCTTCATTAGTCCCGGCAGCAGCACCGCCGCTCGGCTACACATCAACACAGAGAGAGCGAGCGAGCGAGAGAGAGAGAGAGAGAGAGAGAGAGAGAGAGAGAGAGAGAGAGAGAGAGAGAGAGAGAGAGAGAGAGAGAGAGAGAGAGCTCGGGAGTGCGCCCGCCCGCCGCCCCCTCGCGTGAGAGGAGGACTCAGAGTACGCAGCGCGTGCATCGGGCTGCGGCGGAGTATGCATCACAAGACGCAACACGGCTGGGTGGCCCTCGCCTCAAGCCAAACCCGCGCCGCCGCCTCGGTGGCGCGCGAGTCGAAGAAGGCGTCGCCCACGTCGTACGCTATGTACACGCGCAGCTCCAGCTGCCGCCGCAGCCGCCACGCCGCGGCGGACCTAGAAGCTGGTTCCGGGAAAGCTCCGGCAAAGCTGTGGCCGCCGCACAGCCGGTGGCGCGGCAGCGGGCCGGCGGACGGTCCGAACGAGCGAGGGGAGGAGGAGGCGGAAGAGAGAGAGGTCGTCCAACCCGCTCGGTGAGAAGCCGCGGCTCGTCGCACTCGCCTATTCACCCGCCGCCGCGTGTGACAGGACGCCGCTCACCAGCTCAACCATAGACCGCGGTTGGCCGCGCTCGCCGCCACCGCCACCACAATCGCGCTCCGGTTTGTAGGACGGGGTATCCTCCGGGCTGGTGGAGAGGGTGCGGGGGGTGGGCGGCGATGAGAGCAGGCGAAGGGCAGGGGGGAGAGTGCCAAAAGTGCAACTCTCACCTGCCTCTCGGCCCGCGAGCGCCGTGCGGTGGTTGCTCCGGTACCGCTGCAGGAAGACCTCGCTGACGGCGCCGGTGGCCGCCACGTCGGCCTCGAACGGGCTCTGCAGCAGCATATCGCACCCGAGCCGCGTCCAGCGCATTTGCTTTGCCGCTGAGAGCGTGCCCCATGCTACGCCGACCACCACCAAATGCTCCAAGCGCATTTTCGCGCATTCGGCGGCCGTACCCTCGGCCTGAGGTGCACCCGCCTTCGGCGGCGGCGGAGAAGCTATCGGCTGCCACCTCCGCCTACCGTGGCCAGACGGCGGGCGGCTGCTCCCGGGAGTTGGGCGCGGAGTGACGGACGGGGGCGTCGCTGCTAGCAGGCTAAATCGTTGCACGGCTGCAGCGGCGATGAGCAAAGCTGCGACGCCGAGGATGAACCGACGCAACGACACGTGCATGTGGCAATGCGCACAAGGCTACTGGCGGCGATGTGGACGCGCGGGGGCCATCGAAACAAAGAAGCCGAACACGGGTGGCCTTGTACGCCAAGGTCTATGACAACCACGCTGGCTGTGTGTCTTGTGAGCTTGTTTGTGTCTGTGTGTCGCTCGTGCGTGCCGTCATCATCTGTCCCGCGTCCACCCATACAAGGGGAAGCCCCGCGCATAGGACAACAACGTCTGTCCCACACCACGCACAGACGCGCACATGGACATCATGCTCGGGCACACCCCACAGTGTAGTCGTGGTGTGAGCACACAAGTACTAGCAGAGTGCACACCTGCCTTGGCCTTGCGGGCGGCGGGTATACCTGGAAATTACCCTGCGACCGCCTGGGTATTTTGTCGATTTCCTCGATTTTGCCTCAGATTTCCCCCCAGACCAGCTCTCAGACTCAGGGAAACTCGCGAGTTTCCAGAATGGAGCACCAAACACCCCTCTGGTCGTCGCTTGCTGCCTTCTGTCTCGCCCCCCAGCCAATCCCGATTGTCGAGGGCGACGAGCTCGACGAGCTTCACTGCGTGAGCTTTGGGTGATAGAGCGGAGAAGAAAAATCGCGTAATACCTAATACGGCTTTATGTACTACCGCGTACCGGTGTAAAGCCAAAAGCGTACCGTAAATTAGGCGTAAAGGGTAAAGCCGTCGACATAGAGTTTTGTCTGCGCGCGAAAACACACAAGTATTTGTCTCATGTCTGCGCGAAAACAATCTCTTGAGCACAGGCACATCTCGGGGGTGAGGGTAAGAATCAAAGCCTCTTGGTGCCAAACTAGTGGAAAGACAAATGGAGCTCGGCTAGGGTTGCGCAGCTATGAAAACAGAGGGCAGGGGAAATAGTGTCCATGGAAGGCTAGACGCTAGTGCTAGTCCCCCATCGGGAGGACGACCCCGGCTAGTCGCCGACCACACCCACAAAGAACCCTGCACAAAGATCGCACGGGCGGGGACCTGTTCCTTTTTACCCATCTCACAGTAGAGGTGTCCGTTTTTATTTATTTATTTATTGTCCATGGAACCCCGCCGTGGAGGACGCCCCGCCCCGCCGCCGGCGGTTTCGGCTTTCGCGTTTCGGACAGCGTCTACAGCGTGGAAAAAGATTTCGTTGGTTGTAAAAAAATCGCCCCCCCTCCCTCTCGGCCGTCCTGCCGCCGGCGGGGCTGATCCGCGATCAGATGCGGCAGACGTAGCTGTCGGCGTGGGTGAGGCAGCGGACCCACCGGTGCGGGTTATACGACTTGTTGCGCTCGACGATCTTGAGGTGCTGCACCTGCAGCCTCGAGACATTGTACATCGGGATCTCGAACGTCATCGAGATGGGCCCCATCTCCTTGCGCGGATTTGAGCCCGCGCCAACCACAAACTTGCACGAGATGCTGTGCGATGCCGTGCCCACAAACTTGCGAATGACCCACGTCACCGTCTTGGTCGAGTCGTCGTACTCGGACGTCTGCCCCTTGGCACCTGGGCAGCATGGCCGCCCCGCGCGTGGGCGGAGCACACGAAGGAGGGGCAGGGACGGGCGGGCAGTTATTGGGATGGGCTGGGTGTGTGTGTGGGAGGGGGGGGGGGGGGGGGGCGCACCCGGTTCCAGTTCGACCGAAGCGCCGGTCGACAACTTTGGGACGGGGAACTGCCCCTTGACGTTCGCTCCGGGGAACTTGTCGGGGAATGCCCCCTCAACCTGCAGCGGAACCGGGGGGAGCCCCAACCTCCCTCGGGCTCGGGCTCGGGCTCCCGCGGGCGCCCCGGGTTTTCGTTTTCGTTTTCGTTCTCGGTTTCTCTCCCTCGTTTGGTCTCGCTCTCGCTCCCCACCTGTAACCCCAGCTCCCGCTTTAAGCCGGGCACCCCCCTCTTGATCGGCGTGAGCCGAAACGGGATCTGGCCGTCGTGCCGCAGCGAGCCGATGTGGAAGTTCATCAGCACAAACTCCCCGTGGGGTGGCTCGAGCACAAGCCTACTTGGCCAAATACCCCAACCTCAGGGAGCACGAAGGGTACACACACAGGGGCCGCAACCGAATACGGTCGAGTGCAGCGGCGTGCGTGTCCTCTCGAGCGCAGTTGAAAGACAAAAACACGTATTCCGCTTCTAGGGTCACGAGCATGCGCTCCGACTCGAACTTGTCGAGCTGCGCAGGGGGGGGGGGGGGGGGCTGGAGGAGGAGGCGAGAGCGGTGCGAGGAGGCGCGCAGCCGGCGGCAGGCGAGGCGGAGAGGAGGGGAGAGGAGCACGAGTCAGCGACTTGCCAGCGGTTGCTAAGAAGCGGCGGCGGGCGCTCAGTCATGCTGCCTGCACACACTCGTGGAAGTTGACGTTGTCGAGCTCAACCATGCCGTAGCCGCCCTTGCCCGCCGAGGCGATGGCGAGCTCGTCGTTGAGCGCGAGGTGCAGCTCTGGCGAGCCAGACAGGTACGACTTCATCTGGATCGAGCCGTCGATCGAGAAGGTGCGCACCTGAGAGGAGGCGGAGGCACGGGTGGCACCAGGCGCGGCAGTGGGGGCAGCACCAAGGCTATGAGGCCGGAACACGAACGGACGAGCAAGAGTGCGCACCCACGTGCTCAGAGAACTCTCTCGGAAGTGTCTAGAACATGTCCTGAAGTGTCTCTGAAGTGTCACGGAAGTGTCGCGGAAGTGTGTCGCGTCTCGGAAACTGCGCACCTGGCCAGACGAGTTGAAGACGGCAGAGATGCGGTCGATCACGTCGACGAAGATCTCGTTCTTCTCCCCTCTCCGGTCGTCGCTGCGCAGCGCAATCGGCTTGTGGACTGCCTTGGACGACATCGTCTTTGGCGCAGCCTTGAGTGAGGTCATCATCCGCGCGGTGGCCGTCGCGCCGCTCGAGACGGGCGCCGGCTCGTTAAACACAAAGGCCTAGGGGGTCCTTGCGTGGGGGCGTGTCACGGACATGTGCATGTGCATGTGCATGTGCATGTGCATGTGCATGTGCATGTGCATGTGCATGGGCATGTGCATGTGCATGTGCATGTGCATGTGCATGTGCATGTGCATGTGCATGTGCGTGTGCATGTGCGTGTGCATGTGCATGTGCATGTGCATGTGCATGTGCATGTGCATGTGCATGTGCATGCATGCCTCTCTCGGCGGGCGCTCGCCTCGTGGCGGACGCACTGCTGCCTAGATCTCCCCACATCTCCCCACATCTCCCCACATCTCCCCACATCTCCGCGTCCTCCGGACGCACGGCTGCCTAGCTCTCCCCACATCTCCCCACATCTCCGCGTCTTCGGGACGCCTTGAGCTCTGCGGTGGAGGCGGACTGCGGGTAGCCAAAGTCGAGTATCTCGTCCACCTAAGCGGCGTGTCCTTGACAGGTGTTGGACGTGTCGCGGACACGGCACAGTCGAGGGCGGCCGTCCACCAGCTCGTAGATGAGCGTGAAGTTCTTCCGCAGCGACTCCTCGCTGAGGACGCCGATGTAATCCTTGCACACCTGGGAGAGGGAGAGCGCGGAGGCTGGGAGAGGGAGAGCGCGGAGGCGGCGAGGGCGGGGGTGGAGGGACGAGTCGGGGGGGGGGGGGGGGGGGGGGGGTCGGCAGTGGCGGTGGCGGCGAGGGTGGCGTCGAGGACGCTGCCAGCGAAGGGTGGCGACGAGGTGGAGATGGCGGCGGCGAGGGCGAGGGCGAGGGCGGTGGCGGCGAGGATACGGGCGGCGGAGCCCGAGTGATCAACAGTGGGCGTGGTGAATGTTGTGCCGCGTGCTTGCATGGTCGGCCTGCCGTGAAGCGTGCCCAAGTGCCTTTCGTGTCCCGATGTGACTAGGCGTGTCGTGTGCGCGCGTGCGCCCTGTCCCGCGACATACCTTGGTGAGCTGCGTGAGCAGCTCAATGACAAACGCGGGCGGTACGTTGTGGAGCGTGGTGGCGAGGAAGAAGAGGCCATTCTTGCGCACGCACATGTAGTTGACGCCGTCGACATTAAAAATGGGCGCCTCCCCCTCCGACTTCTCCACTAGCTTGCGCAGAAAGATCTCTGGCGAGTCTTTCGGCACGTCGCCGCGGTAGTCCTTGTTGACAATGGTGTGCCCGTTGGGGGCGAGGATGAAGAGCTGTGATATCATGCCACGGCGGAACCGCCCACGAGCAACAGTGTGCACGGACGGAGAGCTCGCAAGAGCACCTGGTGAGGCATGCGGAACTGTCACGGCTGGATAGCGACGCCGCACGGTTGGATAGTGACGTTTGATGGTGACGGTGGCGGTGATGATAATTGTGACGCCTGGTTTGCAGGGCGGTGAGAGGCGGCAGGGCGGAGGGGTGAGGGATGCAAGGCGGAGGGAGACGGCCACCTGGTGACGACGAAGGACCTGCCGCCAAGCGCCGCAGCGAGCAGCGCGGAACGGGATTATTTTTTTTCTGAAAGCAAAAATGTATTATCCTAACGGTGTGGGGGCGCGGAGGGCTTGTTGGCGAGCCAAAATGGTGTTTTCCGAGGCGCTGCGCTAGGCTCAGAGCGAGTTCGCGCTGCGCTAGGCTCAGACGGCGAGTTCGCGCTGCGCTAGGCTCACAGATGCGAGTGCGCTGCGATAGAAGAAAAAACAGGGTCGAAACGACAACCGAAGGGAGGACTGTGTAGTGTAATCATGTGTCAAGAATCACGTGCTGCTGCTGCTGCTGCTACTGCTGCTGGCCTGCTGCTGCGCGGCGAGCGCCGTCGCCGAGGCGGGCCTCGGCGGAGAGCGCGATTATGCGGCCTTTTCCGCGACCCGCACAAAGAAGAGGCGCCCTCCGTCAGCCTCGACCTGCCACCGGCTCGCGTCGACCGACCCGGCCGCGTGCCACACCTCCACAGCCCAGTGCGCCAGCCCGCAGAAGTTGCCCTCCTCGATGCCCCATCCCGTGGGCCACGCGGCCAAAGCGGTGCCGAGAGGCGGCGGCGGCGCCGCGGTCGCCTCGAGACGCGCCGCGACGGCGTCAAAGGCGATCCGCCTCGCGCCCGTCGCGGCCGCCTCGGCCAGCAGCGCCTCCCCGGCCAGCCGCGGGAGGTCGCCCTCCGTCTCGAACCAGCACGACGAGCGGCCGTCGGCGCACGCCTCGTCCCACGCCTTGAGCTGGCGGACAAAGGCCGCCAAGCTCTTGAGGCCGGGCGAGGGCGCGGCGGGCGACGGGGCAAGGGAGCAGCCGGGCGAGGAGAGGTAGGAGGTGCTCGCCGGCGAGCGCTCCCGCGCCTGCGAAGGGGCAAGGCCTGAGGGCGGGCGGGCGGTCGGGCGGGCGGGCGCGGGTGGGGGGGATAAACGCTGCGCCGCCAAAGGAACCAGCGACACTGGCCGCGGCTCGTCGCCACGCGCCGGCTCGGAAGAGGGGCTGTCGGCGGCGAAGCAGAGTGGCACGCCTCGCCGCTCGAGCCGCCGACAGCCCCCCTCCTCGACGTGACGGCCGCTCCCGGAGCCGGCCGGTGCGCGCCTGACCCACGCCCCCTCTCGCACCCCTCCGACCCCCCCTGCGCGGCGCACCCGTCCGCTGTGCGCCGGCTCGAGCGCCTATTGCCAAATCGCGACGTTTGAGCGCAGCGCACGCATCCTCTGGGCGCCTGAGCGCGGCGGAATCTTGCCAGAATGTGGCCGCAGGAAGAGCCTCCGGCGGGCCTCCGGCGGACGCCTGGCGGCGTGGCGCTGCGCGCCGGCCTGCGGCCCAAAGCCCGAACGAGCGGTCAAGTTAACTTGACGCGCCGAATCCCTTGGTTGGCCCTCGCAGCTGTGATACAAAAGTGGGGACGCGCCTGGCGGCGCGCCCCCAAAAAAATAGCGCGCGTTCATGATGGTTGATCGAACCCGCCAGAAAAACGGTATGGCGGGTGGAGTGCTCTCTACTGCCGCGGCGCCCCTGTCGGTTCGGAGGCGCCCGGCGGCCGCGCGCTTGGTGCCGACGTCGACGGCTGCTCTCGCGGCGCCGAGGCGTGCCGCTTCGGTCACGTCACGCGCGCTGCGAGGTGTCTTTTGGCATGTGAGCGCTTGGCATAGACGCCAGGAAGCTCGCCTTCCTTGCCTGCGGCCGCGGGCGTGCGGGCGGGCACGCCAGGCTCGGCGACGCTCTGCGCGGGTCTTCGAGCTCGCGGCCCGCGACGAGCCAGCATGGCTCGTCGCTCGACGGGAGCCTGCCCAGCATGCTCTCGGCACTCTGTACAGCCTTGACAAGCTGTCTGGGAAGGCCTACAGGGCCAGAGCGGACCGCCTCGGGCGCGATGCTGAATAGTACCATGACTACGAGCTCTCGATCGGGTCGCCGGCAGCGGGCTCGCGCGACGTGCTGCTCGACGGCAGGCCGCTCCCCACCCTTTCAACAGTGTCTTTTACATCTCTTCTCTCGCTGCAACCGCCTGCGGGGGCCGGCGCCGGCCGCCTCGCTTCGCCAGCGCTGCCTACGCCTGCGACACGCGTGTCGACTCGCCGCCCGCATCGCCTGCGGCGGGCCCGCGTGGCGCGCTGCTCGTCGGGAGCGTGCTCAGCAGACTGTGCAGCGCAGCCTGACTCACTCAGAACGCATCTGATGCGGTGTGGGGCCGCCGGCGGCGCTGCTGCCGCGCACGCTGCGCTATGGGCGTCACCATCGGGTCCGCGCCGCGTCGCCGACGCCACTTGCCGCTCGCGGCTGCCCTGCCCTTCTCTGCCATCGCGCAAACCAACACACACACACACACACCAATAAACACACATTATTAATTATCGGGTAATAATTATTAATTATTAATCATCGGGCGGCGGCGCGGCGCGGCGGCGGGCGGCGCGATGCACGTATACGCCAAAGCAGAATTCACATGCTGAGCGCTTCATCGGCATCGTTTTTGGCACTGCTCGAGTACTCCTCGCCGCCGCCAATTTGCCGCCTACGTTTCATCCGTTTGCACTGCAGACCGCTGCATGGTTGCAGAATCGCCTCCCACGAGCTCGACGCGTAATTGGCAGTCGCCCTTTCACCTCCTGCGTCCTGGTGTGTCGAGCGGTGTCGAGGGGTGTCGAGGGGTGTCGAGGTGTCGAGTTTGGCACCTTGACACCGGCGAGCATGGTACCAGCCTAGATGGTGTCGAGGGGTGTCGAGGGGTGTCGAGGGGTGTCGAGTTGGCACGGGGTGTCGAGGTGTCGAGTTGGTGTCGAGGTTTGGTGTCGAGGTGTCGAGGCCAGGGCTCAGGTTCTTTGGCGCCATGCTAGCCGCCAAGGAGGTGATTTTCATCCGTGAGCTACTGATCGACCTTGGATTTTCCATCGACGGCGCCAGCATCATCAACTGCGACAGCAAATCCGCTGTCGGCATGGCCTTCCTGTTGCCTTCAAGAAGACCAAGCACATCTTGCGCGCCGCAGAGTTCCTTCGCGATCTCGTCAACCGTGGCGTTATCTCTGTCGAACACCTCCCCGGCGTCGTGATGCTCGCCGACCTGCTCACGAAAACCGCCTCGCGGGCCATCTTCACTGGCCTGATCAAGCAGCTTGACGACTTTCATGCCCTCTGAATTTGTTTGTCCCTCGCGCCCCGCACTCGGGCCAGGAGGGGCTGTTCCCAGGCATTCACACTATGTTCCTGAGATAATTGGGCGATTATGTATGTAACTGTAGAAAGATTTAGGTTTGGGGCAGAGCGAGTGGGAGAACTTTTCGGCGGTCGTGGAGGTCGTGGAAGTCGCGTGGAGTGGCGAGTCACGCTCGGGCGGACAGCATCGATGCCGTCGCCGGACGCGGCGGCGAGGCACACGGGCGCCGGCGTGGCGCGTCGGCAGGCCCACCACGAGCGGATGCGCGACGAGCGCGCTCGGGAAGCGGCCGCGGGCGACGCGGAGCTTCCGCCGGAGGACGACGCGGTCGAGATGGCGAGCGCCGTCCACGTGCTGGACAGCGTGGCGGAGGTGGGCCCGAACTACACCCTGCTGCGCAGCCAGCAAGGAGACGAAGGCGAAGCGGCGGAAGCGAAAGCGCGAGGATGCCAGGGCGGCGCTCGACGGCCACTCTGTCCTGTCCACCGGATCGCGCCTCGAGATCTTCTGCGACAGTGAGCGGTGGTACCCTGCGACCGTCATGGCGCGGGAGGAGGACGGGGACGGACGGATCGTGCACGAGGTCGAGTACGACGGCGAATCGGGTCGGCGGTGATGGCACATGCTGGACGACGTAAAGTACCCGGGTTTTATCCATAAGGGAATTCATCCCTTTGGATTGGAGATTCGTGTTTCCGTTCCTTTTTGGTAAAACGTATACAGCTGACGCGATGCGGCCTCTGCCTAGCTTCCTGCTTCTATGCGCGAGCTGGCGAGCTATGGCGGGACCACTATCGAGTACTAGCGCGTTAGCACTTGGAGCACTTGGCAACGGACTTGGAGTGCAGTCATCAACCTCACATCCAGGGCCGGGGAGCTAAGAAGCGCACCCAGAGGGCCAGATGATCGGCCGGCATCAGGTTGCGGGCAAGAGAGCCCCAGCGCTAGCCCTGGGGGATGCGCGTTCGCAGGGAAAGGGCCATAAAGTAAACACGGGCGGTATCCGAGGGTTGGCTCTGCGCTCCGGGTTTCCCCTAGCAGCGGAACGCCCCCTCTACTCGGAGCTAATAGACACCAGACGCTACACGGCGACACGTATGCTCCTCACTGACATCGCCGCTTGGAACCCCCCGCCGGCCGCCGCCGCTCCCGCGCTCCGTGCGGGGTGCGGCCCCCTCCTTACCCCCATTCCGAAGGGGCTCCTCCCTCCCCTCGGTCCTCCCTCCTGCTCGCCTTCCGATATGGTCACGCGACGGTTGCGGGGCCCGACTTCCCCTCTCCACTAGAGGCTAGAGGGGGATATAGAGCCTTTTTCGGCTCGGGCTGCGGCCCCGCCGCCGTCTCGTCCTAGCCGTACCGTGCACCTGCACGGGCCACGGCCCCCCGCGCAGTGTTTCTCTTTTTTATTTCTCCGGAGCGATCGGGGCGGCGCTGGCACTCGACTGATCAATGTGTGCCAAGAGGGGCGCGGAACGCCCCCTCCAGGCCCTCACGCACCAATCCAAGCCAGGGCGCGCACACAACTCTTGGTCTTGCGCCTGTTGCTTCCGAGGGCGCGCGCGAGCCTCACGCGTTGTCTCCCGCGCTCTTTCGTCCGTCTGAGGACTCGCCGCCGTCCGCCTTTGCTCGCGGCGGCGGCGGCGGCGGCGGTGGTGGTGGTGGTGGCGGCGGGGGCGGCGGCGGCACACGCTCACGGCCAAACTCGTCAGGCCCGGCATCGCGCCCCCCTCGCCCGCCGCGGTCTCCACGGTCGCGTGACCTCGACCGGCGCCTGGGCCGGCCGCCCCGCTCGCGGTCGTCGTATCGGTCGCGCCCGCGCCGCCGGTCGTAGTCGCGGTCGCGGTCATCGTACGACGAGCGGCGGTCGCGCTCCCGGCTGCGGCTGCGGCGGCGGCCGCTGCGCTCCCGCCCGTCCCTCTCCTCCCTCGCCGCGGCCGGCGAGGAGGCGGACGCGTCCTCCTTCTCCCGGCGCAGTTTCGCCGCCTCGGCCGCCATCGCGCGCTCCACCTCCTCGCGCTTGGCCTGCAGCGAGGCTGCAATCCGCTCCTGGGGCAGCACACACACAAGGTGTCAAGGGGCACCCCTCTTAGCCGCTCCGAAGGGGGGGGCAGACGCCGCGGCGGAGAGCGGCGGGGAGGAGTGAGTCGGTGGCGGCCCACTCCTGCTCCTCTCGCTTCTCGCGCAGCTCCTCCTTCTTCTTCTCGAGAAACTGGGGAGGGAAGCGAGGGGGGGCGGGTTGGGGGGGGGGGGGGGGGAGATGGGTGGGCTTGGCGGGGAGGCAAAAAGTGGCGAGGCACAGGCAACCGCGTGGCATCCGCGAGGGCGCTAGACTGCTCCCGGACGTGTCGGACGTGTCGCGGACGTGTCTCAAAAGTGTGCCAGAATGTCCACGACCTTGGTGGGAATGCCGTGCTCATTCTCTTGCGCCGAGACGAGCAGCGCCCACAAGTCGCGCATGAAGGGGGGCGTGTTGGCCTCGAGGAAGCCAGTGAGTGAGAGCTGCATCTTCTTGGGGTCGACTCGGGCACCTGCGGGGCGCGTCCTCGACACGTCCACCACTGGCCCGAGGCGACACCACTCCTTTAAGCGCGTCGAGCGCACCGTCCGTCTCGCGGAGCTGGCTCTCGACATAGCCGATGACGACCTCGTCCTCAAAGCCGAGGTACTCGGAGACCTGCTCCGTGATCCAGGGCAGCATCACGTCGAGGTTGACCTTCTTCATGTCCACCTTGGTCTCAAAGTGCGCCGGGAACTTTGTCGACTTGATCATCTTCTTCATCTGACCAGCAGTGGGCGGCGGCGGGGTTTCGGCGGGGACGGGATGCGCGCGAGCCGCGGCGAGGCCCAGGCCGGTGCTGCGCCACCTTGTCGCCAAAGCGGCCATCTTGGTCGGCTGAGACGCCGCGAAAATTGTTGCCCGACATGAGTCACTTGCAGTCGAAGGGGAGACCTAACGACCGACCGATCGCTGGGCGTGCGCGCTGACGGAGTACGGCAGTGGTGAGTGTGGCCTATCGGACGAGAGGAGAGCGAATGCACTGTATATCGCAGCCGATAGTATTGGGAGCAGCGCGCCGCACAGGCGTTATTCGACGAGGGGCCGGACAACGTGCGTTCGGGCCCGATCTTGACCGGGCGCGCGCCAGAATTCTTGACTCGCTCACAAGCCCTGAAAGAATTCTTAACGCCGTCTCTCTCACAGCACACTGTGTTCGTGTGCGTCGCCCATCTCTCCCTGGAGATGACTGCTCTATTTATTTATTTAGCACACTGGCACGACAAGGGCGCGGACTGGCGCGGACTGGCACACTCACCGGCTCACCGCCGGAGCCGCCTAAGCGACTCCGTTAAGAACGGCAATGCATTCCACCGTGCACAATGCCGCTCTCCCCGCACGCTAGCTCGTTCACCGTCTGCCATGCCACGGCGGTGTGGAGGACGACAGACAAGCGCTGCATCTGCAGCCCGTGCCAGTTCTTGGTGGTCCATGTGACCTCATACAAGAAAAAAACCCATGCCCATGCCCATGCCCAGACCGCTAGCTCGAGCGAGCCCAAACAGGGCCGTGCCGCTCCTCTCCCTGGGCGCCACGCGCACTCTCCAGAATGGCTTTTTTTACTCTATTTCTCAAGCTTGGAGCATGGAGGTCACGGCTCAGTTTTGCACATTTTTGCGCACACATCACACACAGCACATACCCATGTGCATCACACATTCGCTTACGCACGACCCGTCCTAAGGCTCGCCCAGCCGAACCCACGCCCAGCCAACCCCAGAAGCACACAGTTTTATCAGCGCGTGTCTCATGATCCGCCTCTCCCAGCCGCGGCCTAGCTGCTGCCCTCGTCGTCCTCCTCGCCCTCCTCGTCGCTGCCCTCCTCGTCTGCCTCCCCTGCGTAGCTGAACATGAGGACCCCGTCGCGGCGAGTGCCGGCGTACAGGTGCGAGGCGATGTTACCGTGGCCGCACACATCGAAGCGCGGCGTCTGGTCGATGGTGAGAGAGCAGATTTGGCCTCGGATGGGCGCGCCGATGACCTGCAGCAGCCCGCCCTCCTGCGTGAAGACCTGGATGCGGACCTTCGCCATGTCGCACACGTAGATGAGGTTGTGGGCCATCGCCACGCCTGAGGGAAACCGCATCTGCCCCGGCTGATCGCCGCCGCTTCCGATCGCTCGCACGAGCTTGCCCTCCAACGTGAGCACCACGACACGGTCATTTCCAAAGTCGGCCACGGCCAGCTGATCTCCATCCGATGCGATACCTTGCGGCAGCCTCAGCGAGACGCCTTCTTCTGCTGTTGTCCCCATCCACGTGAGCGTATCCTTTGCGACGACGACCAGCCGGTCGTTGCGCATGTCGGTGACGTACAGGCGAGAGCCGACGGCGGCAACCGAATGTGGGTGGAAGAAGCAGTCCGAACGGTCGGCGTTGGAGCTCACGCTTCCAACAAGGTCGCCTTCGGTGTACTTCAGAAGCTCACCAGCCATGTGCACGACGAACAGATCGCCATCGTCGCAGATTGCCAGCCCAGCAACGCTCGAGAGGATCTGCTCGAAGTTGGCGGGCGGCATCCGCGGCTTGAGCTCGTCCTCGGCGATGTTGAGCAGCGTCGATGCGGGCGGCAGCCCAGGCGTGCTTCCCGCGAGAACTTCGACGCCTATCGAGCTCGACTTGTACACGGCGCCGCTTGGGTGCGCGATCACGCCCTCCACAGGACACAGAGTCTCACCCGCCCCCAGCTCGAGCGGCTGCAGAACGGCCTTGATTGTTAGCCGCATCCGCGACCAGTTCTCACGCCGCACCGCAGCTACGGCTGCCCACACGGTGCAGCAGCTCGCCATGCGAACGAAGGCGCCACCGAGTTGGAGGCTCAAGTGCTCAACGATGTCCTGGTTGCCCATGACGAGGCCGGCAAGCTCACAGAACCTTTCAACCGTGGCGACAAGCTCCTGCGGCGGCTGCGGCGACGTTTGGCGCGCAATGGCAGCGAGCTGTGCGATAGTGTGAGTGCGGTCGGTCACCAATGTGGCCATTGCCGGCGTCGCGGAGGGCCCCCCCGGCCCCAGCCCCAGCCGTCTAGCCGTCTTTTTACCAGGTAACCGCGTGCACGAGCCGGCCGTCCGAACCCTCCTCCCGCCCCGTGATGGTGCCCGGCCACCACCTCTGCTCGCCCAGGATCTCCACGTGCGTGCCAGTCTCGACTACAGCGTGCCCGGCGATCCTCGCCGCCGCGTCCACGCGCAGCCGTTTCCGCCGCGCCGTCTTAGACTCCGCGGCCTGCGGCAGGACGTAGTTCGGGCCGTACTCCGCGACGTTCGCGAGGGCCTCGGCCGCGCTCACCGTCTCGACCGCGGCCTCGACCGGTGGAGGGGGGGCTCGACCCGTCGTTCGACCCGTCGTTCCGTGACCTCCCGCGCCAGCCGCTCGCCAGCGAGGGGCTCCTGATGCGCCGCCCGTCGGTCGACGCCCTCGCCCCTGCGCTCAGCCAACGACGCCGTCGCTGTCCTCGCTAACCAACGTGACCGTGATTCGAGGCCGCCCATCCTCCATTGATGCCGTCCAACACCAAAGTCGTTCCCCCTCCAACACCAAAGTCGTCCCTCCCCCGTCCCCCTCGGACACGTCCCTCCCCTGTCCTCTCGACTGCTTCCCTCTTTTACATACATAAAAGAGAAGGAAGAAAAAAGAAAATGCAAAGTTTTGACACCGGCGTGATCGTCGCGCGACGGCGAAGACGGGGCTGCGTGTGGCCGCCCGCACCGGACTGCGGCGCCCGCATGGGCCTCGGCACCGACCCCTGCCGGCCGCTGCTCGTCGGCGGGGGCTGCATCTTCACGAGCGGAGCGTGAACGACCGGGGCTGGTGGCAGGCCCGTGAGACGGCGGCGCGAAGGGAGGGTGGACGGGCCGGCGGCGCCACTACAGCGGCGCTGGGCCGTGATCGCGTCGAGGGCGCCCGGGAAGAGCGCCGAGGCGACCGCGCGGTCTAGCCCGTCCTGCTCGAGCTGCACGGCGACCTGAAAGGCGTACGAGGGCCGCCCGCCCTCGCGCACCTCCTCGGTACTGTTGTAGACTCCAGCTTGCGCTTGCGGTTAGTTGATGGCGGTCGATAGCCGCGAGGCGCAGTACTCGCCTGCACCAAACTTTTGGCCGACATGGTCACCTCGGCGCGACGGGTCGAGCGAGTGCTCAAAGATGGAGTCTATGTTCGAGGCCTTGGTGCCAAGGAAGGCGAGACGTAGGGTGTCATCTGCCGCGGCCGCGCGGGCGGCGGCAAAGCGGCTGTAGAGGGGCATGCCGACCGCCGAGTGCGGGTTGTGCTCGACACTCGTGGCCATGCTGGTGCCGGTCGTCTCGGCGACTGCCGTGTTCGCAAGCGGGAGCACCGACGCGCGCAGATCCTGAAGCACGTCGACCTCGCGCTCCATGTGGCCGGAGCCGCCGCAAGCGACGGTCGCGCGACGCGCAAGCGGGAAATCTGAGTGGATAGAAGGATCTCAGATATCAGGTATTTTTATCTCGCCGCGTCTGTGTCGTACTACAATATTGCAAGAATAGCCGCCAATATTGCCATAGCTGCCCTGATGCGTTCCTCTAGTTTGGTCAGATATCCCCACTCCCGTACACCGAGCCAGCGCAACCGGTACGTGGGTACAGCCTGATACGCGACATGCAGTCTCATCATACTGCAATACTGCATGAGATACCTCCCCTTACTGCTGTACCTCACATGCACACCATATCCCAATACGGCGAAGTAATCATACTTGGATACTGCATCACAGCTCCATCCGTACTGCTGTACTGGGGCATACTGGAGAATACTGGAGAATACTGCTCCATACTGGTGCATGTGCAGTGCTGCGGCGGGATCTACCACTCGGCTGCCAGACTCACTAGAGCACCCGGAGCCAGAACTCACACTCCCAGGTTGCAACTGCTAGCAGCGGCGCTCGGCGGCGCACCTGGCCTTGCAAGGGCTAGCTAGCTTAATGCCGGCCGCATACTGCAACTGCTGCTAGGCGGTCCTTGCTCAATGGATTGATCCAGCGCTCGTCGATGGGCAGTCCTAAAGAGGCAACGAGGCATCCTGAAGAGGCCGGCCTATCCTGCAGCGGCATCACAAACAGGTTGTGGTTGCAGGTGCGCGCGCGCCCACGCACACGCAGAGCCACCACGCCGCCTCTTCCCACTCCCACTGATGCGAGTTTGACTGTGGCGAGGTGTGACTCATGAGATGTGACTCTCGTGGGTGGTGGCGGAACACGGCGATCGAGCAGGGGTGCTAGGACGGGACGCACCAGACGGGATGAACCAATGGATTGTGTCCACCGTCCCCAGAATGCGCAGTCCGCAACCGTCGTACTTGTGGCTGAGCTCGTCGCAACGCGGAGGGAGGAGAGGCCTTTGTGGATTTGTGCCCCGATGATCCACAGCACGGCGATCGCTCTGTCGCCAAGCCCCACGGAACGCGCACTAGTGCAAGTCGCGCCGCACCCCAAGTGCCCGACCGCGCCTGGAAAAAGAAAAGAAAGCGTCTGCCGTACTGAAATATTCGAATCAGAAAACGGGGGGCTGGCGCTGCACCAGGCCAATGGCTTGGGACGCAAGCGCAATCTGCGCCACAACACATCGCACAAGCGCAATCTGCGCCACAACACATCGCACACGCAAGCAGATGACCACACAATCCGCTTGTGGTCGCTTCTGGTGGGCGGCAGGACGTTGCCGACCGCGCCGCTGTATTTGTCCTAAGCCGTCTGCAACGTGCTTGGAAGGAAGCCAGTGTCATACAGTGTACCGCGCCTGGTGCCACAGTCCCGCACGGTGTAGGTCAGGGGCATGCCCGCCACGAGGGCGAGCATGCCGACCGAATGCATGTGTCGCACAAACCTCATATTCGTGCGTCCCCCCAAATTTAGGTATTGAAGACTCTGCTTCCTTCTTTTGTTTTTTTCATGTTGAGGACTTGCCACTCGAGAGGCCGCCGTCGACTCTCCAGCAAAGGCGACGCGCCACTGCGCATTGAATCGCATGTTTCCCGAACCGCACACACAAAAACGACTCACGCACATACCTCGTGCGCACGGCTGCCGTCTTAGGAGGGGGGCTGAGGACAGTCGTGGTGGGGGGCGGGGCGGGCGGGGGGGGGGGGGGGGGGGGTTCCACGAGAGACTCCTCTTAGCGGCCCTCGGCTGGTGCGCGGCGGGGCTGCCCTTAAAAGCAACCTGCTCGCGCTGCTCCAGCCGACGCCGCTTCTCCTTTTTGGCGGTTTCGCGAAGGTAACGGATGCGCGCGCCGGGCCCGTGGCGGTGGGCGTCGCGCAGCCCCATGCCCTTCTCCCAGTGCCCATGCGCGACGGCGGCGCATGCCAGCAGCGCGGCGGCGGGCAGCGAGCGCCCCATATTCGCTGCGGGGGGGCACAACTGGCCTAGGGGGACAGCGCTCGCAGTTAGATCTTGTTCTTTCGCTCAGAAGTTGCCCTCCCACGGCGGGCGAATCGGTCCCGGGGATCAGAGCTTTCGGGGATTCGGTTTGGAGCGATTTCTTTTAAAGGCTGATCGCGCGATACACACAATTAAGAAAAGCCTTTGTCTCCAAAAATTCTTTTTCTCGTGCCAGTGCGCGCCAGTCCCGTGCCCAGTGTAAAGAAAGAAAGAAAGAAAACGGACAACCAAGGGAGGGAGGGGAGGAGGACGCACGCCGCCACCACACAGGGATTTTAAGGAGAGGGGTGTGGTGCGCTAGCCGTCGCCCACCCTTGGGCGTCCGCCTCTTCCTATCTCTCTTCGCAGTCTCTCTCCTCTCTGCAACCTTCGTGCCACCTCGCGGTCGCCCCCTTCTCGTCGTATAAAAAATTCTTTTCCTCGCACAGTGATTTGTAAGATTCTTTTCCTCGCGATGTCCACCCCGCCGCGCCGCCGCTCGCGCCGCCTCGCCCCCGCCTCCTCCGCCGCTCCCTCGCCAGACACGCCGCCGCCCGCCCGCCTCCTCGACCTCCCCACGGAGCTGCTCGTCCGCGCCCTCTCTCGCTGCGACCCCGCCGACATCGCTCGCGTCGCGGCCGTCTCGCTTCTCTTCCACGCCTCGCTTGCGCTGGAGGGCATCCGCTTGTGGGCGCAAGAGCGCGGCTTCGAGCTGCCGGCGCAGCCAGAGGACGAGCCCTGCGCCGTGCGGTGGCTGTGCTGTTCGGCCTTGCTGCGCGAGTCCAACCCGCCAGCGAGGGCGGCAGGGGGCTATATGCACAGCGTTTTCATCGACGGCGAGGGGCGGCTCTCGTCGTGCGGCTCCGCGCCGGATGGTTATCCAGGCCTCCTCGGCCACGGCGAGGGCGTGGCGCAGCTCAACACGCCGACCCGCCTCCCTTCCCCGCTGGGAGGCGAGCGCGCCGTGAGCGTGTCGGCTGGACCCGCGCACAGCCTGGCCCTCACTGCCGACGGCGTCTGGAGCTGGGGCGGTGGAGCCTCTGGTCAGTTGGGCCACGGCGACCGCGAGGCGCAGCTGCTGCCAAAGAAGATCGAGGCCTTGGCTGGCCAGCGCGTCGTCGCCGTGTCGGCGGGAGGCAGCCACAGCCTCGCCCTCACCGCCGACAACGCCGTCTGGAGTTGGGGCTATGGAGGCGACGGCCTCTTGGGCCACGGCGACGAGCAGAACCAGCTGCTGCCCAAGAAGGTAGACGTGTTGGCTGGCCAGCGCGTCGTCGCCGTCTCGGTTGGCCAGGGCCACAGCTTCGCCATCACCGCCGACGGCGACGTCTGGAGCTGGGGCTATGGGGCCTTTGGCCAGCTGGGTCACGGCGACGAGCAAGTGCAGCTGCTGCCCAAGAAGGTCGAGGCCTTAGCTGGCCGGCGCGTCGTCGCGGTGTCGGCTGGACTCGGGCACAGCCTCGCCATCACCGCCGACGGCGCCCTCTGGAGCTGGGGCAGTGGAGAGCGAGGCCGGTTGGGCCACGGCGACCAGCAGCGCCGGCTGCTGCCCAAGAAGGTGGAGGCGTTGGCAGGGCAGCGCGTCGTCGCTGTTGCGGCCGGAGCGAACCACAGTCTCGCCCTCACCGCCGACAACGCCGTTTGGAGCTGGGGATTTGGAAGTGACAGCCGGTTGGGCCACGGCGACGTGCAAAACCAGCTGCTGCCGAAGGAGGTTGAGGCGTTGGCTGGGCGGCGCGTCGTCGCTGTCTCGGCGATGGGGCATCACAGTATCGCCCTCGCCGCCGATGGCGTCTGGAGTTTCGGCGCTGGACGCGGAGGCCGGTTGGGCCACGGGGACGAGCTCAACCAGCGGCTGCCGAAGAAGATCGAGGCGTGGGCGCTCTAGCGAGCCGGCGTGTGATTCCGAGTTTTATTCTTTGTACCGCGTCTAATGTGGTTAGTTTAAAAACGCGTCGTGATTTACGTCCTGAGACTCCTGTCTCAGCTCTCACCCGCCGAAGAGGCTCGCGAGCAGCCAAACCGGCAGAGACGGCTCGGCAGCCTTCAGTGTGAAGGTCGCGCCGACATTGTACTCGAGATTCACGACGGCGTGCGGCGCATACGGCGGCACGTAGACCGCCTCGCCCGCTCTCTGGACAAAGAGCGCGAGGCGCGGCACCGCAAGCAGCGTCGGGAGCTCGGAGCGGAGCCAGCGATGCGTCGACATGTTGGAGACGCGGCCGTACGTGAACCGGCGGAGCGGGCCGCCGCTCGACGAGCGCGGCGCGACCAGCCACAGCTTGGCACCCGCCGCGAGGTAGTTGAGGGCGCCGGCGTGCCAATGAAGGTACGACCCGGTGAGTGCGGCGCCCGCATAGAGAGCCGAGCCACTGTGAGGTCTCTCTCCGCGAGCGATCCGAGCCGCGCGAGCGACGGCAGGGGCAGGTCCCTCGCCAAGAGCCTATGGCGCACACGCACTTGTCGCGGTGTGTGCCCGCTTCGTACTGCGGCCCAGCTGCGGGTCTCGCCTCCACGAGTCGCGTCCTCCCGGACTGCTTGCACCTACGCGGCAGCCGTGGCGCGACCAGCTCTTCGACGTGGGCGACGGGTGCGTGCACGAGCTGCTGCCGGCTACATGCTGTGGACGCTGCGCAGCCTCCCGTTCTTTCCGCTGCTCGCACGGTAGGCTGTGGATGCCGCCGGCTACATGCTGTGGATGCCGCCGGCTACATGTGGATGCCGGCTAGATGTCGGCTACGTCTCGCCATGTGCGCCTGGCCCGCTCTGGGCTCTGAGTGCTCTTTCTCTCGGTAGATGTGGGAGCTCCACCGGGCATCGCTTCGTGAAAGAGGTAGGAGTAGTCGTGCCGCGACGGCCACCGGCAGGGCGCACGCCGGCTGCGCTCGAGCAGAGCGGAAAGCTGCCGACCGCCATGCACGCAGCCTCCGACGGTCGACGCGGGCGAGTGAGCCACCTCGAGGCAGTCGTGCGCGGCGAGCGCACGGCCTAGGTAGACTGGGTCGCGCCAGCGTGTCAGCCCAGTGCGCTCATGCTTGGCGAGAACCAATGCAGCGATGGACATCTCGCTACAGGCGCTCGCGGGGTCGTGAGTGGGGGTCCCCACTGCTGCCCCTCTAACTATACTTTTGTCTGTGGTGATGCCTTTCCCTGAGAACGCACACAACGCCTCGTGTGTAATGCCCTGTGTTCCGCGAGTGCGTGTGCCCCGTCGTCCATGCTAGGACGTGTGTAATACTGACTGATGTGCCTATCACAGTAGCCCGAGGACGGGGGGGGGGGGGCGGGCCTCACCCGGGGCTCACCGGGGCCCGGCCGTCCCCGCCCCCTCCCTCACCTGCCCCACCCCGGGGCCTCACTCGCGATGCGCTGTCCCGGGGGGGTAGCTCGCTGCCCGACCCAGCCAGGGCGCAGGGGCACCACGGGCGGGCCACAGCCCACGCGCACGCGGCCCCGTACCTACGCCTACCGGCTACCGCGCGCCCCCGGCCCACCAGCGCCACGCCTAAAAGATTAAGAATTCTACCCCCTGAAAGGCGCGCTCCGGACGAAAGAGCAAAGCTGAATGGGCGGGTCGGGTGCCGCCGGGGTGGCGGGTGGGGGGGGTGGGGGCACCCGGGGCGCCTCACTCTGAGGAGCTCCGCCCCGCGCCTGCCCCTCACTGCCCCGGGGGTGGGGCCTCACCCGCAGCCGGCGCGTCCCGGGGTGGGGTCTCGGGGTGAGTCCCGGGTGAGGCCCGCCCCCCCCCCGTCCTCGGGCTACTGTGATAAGCACATGACTTGCAACCGGCCGCGCCCCCGGCGGTCACCGGCGGTCACTTCGCGACCCCGCGTCGTGTGTGTGCGCATGCGCCTCGCGTCTCTCACCCTCGCCCACGTCGCGCGCGCCAACGCCTTGGCCGTCGGGCGACGAGGCACTCCCTTGGCTTCCTGCCGACCTTGAACTGATGGCAAAGCGACGCCGAGGCGCCGCGCCAAGCCCTCCCGGCCAGTCTGCGGAGGATGAGGCCGCCCGACGCATCAATCACGGCGCCCGTACCGCGCTGCAAGCAGTGGCCGGCCTGAGTATCTACTCGGCTTTGCTCTGGCTGCTCGGCGCCGGCGACACTCCACCACCGGCGAGGGCGGCGACGTGCACGGAGGTCGATGCGGCGCTCTCCAGACACACGTTGCTGCATGTGGCTGGCTCGCACCGCGGCGGCACCACGCTGCTCGCCTCGCTGCTCGCAGCGCACCCTGCCGTCCACCCATTTGCTCTGCGGCGCGAGGGCATCGCGACCGCGAGTGGCCTGACCGGGCCGATGAGCGAGGGCCTCTTCTGGCAGCCCGTCTACGACCAGCTTGACCTCGCGCAGCCGCCGCTGCCATGGAGGCTCTGGCGAGGCGCGGCCGCCGCGTTGGGGCTTCAGTGCGGCAGCGTCCGTCTGCGAGGCATGAGCACGTTCGCGCTGGCGACGGGCGCGCACGAGACGGAGGCGAACGAGAGCGGCGTCCTCACCACGGCGAACAGGCGGGCGCTCTTTGCCGCCTGGGCGCGCTTTTGGCCCATTCTCGGCGAAGAGGGAGTTAGAGGTGGCGGCGGCGCCGGCGCCGGCGGCGCCGGCGTTCAAGCTGACGCCGGAGGCGGCGATGGCGGCATCGGCGGCGGCGGCGGCGGCGGCGGCGGCCGAGGCGATGGCGGCGGGCCCGCACCCTCCTCCGCGCCGCTCGGGGTGCTGCTGGAGAAGTCGCCAAGCCACGTGATGCGCTGGCGCTCCCTGCTCGCGCTCTGGCGGCTGGGTGCGGCGCGGCCGCCTTTGGTGCGTGTCCTCTGGCCCATCCCCTCCCCTTCCCACTCCACCCCACCCCCTCCCCGCGCTCGATCTATGAGCAGGTTCGCTTCCTCTTCATCTCGCGCCATCCGCTCGCCGTGGCGGCGGCGCAGCGCCGCTGGGCGGACTCGCGCGGGCGTTCGATCTTGCAGCCTGTGTCCCTAGATGCGGATGCCGATCTCGCAGCCCGCCCGCCGCCGGAGCCACTCGCGTTTTACAGCCAACCGTGACGAGACTGTCCACACCGCATTCGCGCGCGGACCCGTCATGCGGAGCGTGGCTCACCTCTGAACCTGCCGGTGTCTCAGGCTTGTGACGCACTGGCTGGTGGAGCACGAGACGCTCGCGTCCGACCTCACCGCCGTGCCCGCGGAGGATGCCGCGCTCGTGAGGAGCGCACAGCGCGCAATCAACACACGCACCACGCACGCACACACGCACGCACATACCACGCACGCACGCACGCACACGCACACGCCCCTGTGAATACCGTGTGGCAGCTGAGGAGGCGCAAGAAAGCGCCCTTGTCACAAGCGCGCTGAGGCTCTCACCGGACCACTGTCGCCTCCGACGCTTGCGGGCGAGCACCCTGCCCCGACTTGCGCGCTAGAGAGAGAGTGGGCGGATCCCAGCGGCGCTCGCGAGCGCTCGGCGTCCAACCTTACCTCCCCGGACCATTGCCGGGCGCAGGCGCGTGCGCTACGACGACCTCGCCGCGTCACCGCACGAGACCCTTGCCGCAGCCTTCGCCTGGCTCGGCCTCGCCGGCGGCGAGGCTGCCGCCCCTAGATGCGGAATGCAGACCCTCTATTCCGAACCAGCACTCGAGAGGACACGTCTTCCGTTGCATTAACTGTGCGGCGCTGTATTCAGCTCTCCCAGCCTCGGAACACAGGCCAGCGTATTTCGTCGAGCAGCATACTTGGCCGTATCCACAGCTGCATGTCCGACAGCGTATTCCTTATCATCGAACTCTACATACTGCTCCCGTTCACAGGTACTCGAGGTGGATGGTTGTTGGGTAGCGTTGGGTAGCGAGGATTGGTGTCAGCGATCCACGCAGGCGTGTTTCTGGCGGCCGACCGTCAGTGCACGGAGTTGCCCCTTCTCCGACTGCCCCGGCTAGTTCCCCAGGCTCGCCGGGTTTCCCCTACGTCACCCAGGACCTACATACAACTGTAGCGCGGGTGGGTTGGGGGGGGGCTCGCCCCACTCCTCCCCATCGGGCCGCATGAGCGGCCGCTCCTCGCAGATTCGTTTCTCGCGCCTGGGTCAGGCGCGCGGGGCATCCCCCGGGTCGCTCGACCAGCGATCCGAAGAGTGGCCGCTATGCGAGGAAAGAGCGGGGCCCTCACGCCTCCATCCGGCCCCCTCCGAGGGGGGAAGGGAATTGCGGGGTCCCCACGGGCGCCTCTCTTCGGCCCTCCCGAGGGGGCGAGGGGAGCAAGGGGGTGGGGGGGTCGGGGCGGTGGGGAGGGGTCTCGGTTTCGTGTGGCTAAGACAACTTGCCTTTCGGGGAGGGGCCTCCGGCCGTGCTAGCGCAGTGGCGCCCGCTCGACATCTTCCCCTCCTCCCCTCGAGGCAGCGAGTAGGCAGCGAGTAGTGAAGGTGGAGGGGCCTCAGGAAAGGCGAGTCCAGCTCAGCCCTACGTCTTCCCCTCCCCCCTCGAGAGTCCGGTTCGAATCGTCCTTCGCGGAGCGAACGCGGCGACACGAGCGCACGTCGCGCGCGCGCCGCCTCGCCGCCCCGGCCGCCACCGCCGATCCCTCGTCAGACACGCCGCCGCCCACCCGCCTCCTTGACCTCCCCACGGAGCTCCTCGCGCGCGCCCTCTCTCACTGCGACCCCGCCAACATTGCCCGCGTCGCGGCCGTCTCGCTTCTCTTCCACGCGTCGCTTGCGGTGGAGGCCATCCGCTTGTGGGCGCAAGAGCGCGGCTACGAGCTGCCGGCGCAGCCAGAGGGCGAGGGCTGCGCCGTGCGGTGGCTGTGCTTGTCGGCGCTGCTGTGCGAGTCCAACCCGCCGGCGAGGGCGGCGGCAGGCAAGCGTCACAGCCTCTTCATCAACGGCGAGGGGCGGCTCTCGTCGTGCTGGGCAGCGCGTCGTCGCAGTGTCGGCTGGAATGCACCACAGCCTCGCCATCACCGCCGACGGCTCCGTCTGGAGCTGGGGCTTGGGAGCCTCCGGCCGGCTGGGCCACGGCGACGGGCAGAGGCAGCTACTGCCCAAGAAGATCGAGGCCTTTACTGGGCAGCGCATCGTCGATGTGTCGGCTGGATTGCACCACAGCCTCGCCCTCACCGCCGACGGCGCCGTCTGGAGTTGGGGCACGGGCTACTCGGGCCGGCTGGGCCACGGCGACCAGCAGGACCAACTGCTGCCGAAGAAGGTCGAGGCCTTTGCTGGGTGGCGCGTCGTCGCTGTGTCGGCTGGAGATAGTCATAGCCTCGCCCTCACCGCTGACGGCAGCGTCTGGAGCTGGGGCTTTGGAGCCGATGGCCGGTTGGGCCATGGTAACCAGCAGAACCAGCTGCTGCCAAAGAAGATCGAGGCCTTTGCTGGCCAGCGCGCCGTGGGTGTGTCCGCGGGATGCGGCCACAGCATCGCCCTCACTGCCGACGGCGCCGTCTTCTCCTGGGGCGAGGGCGAAGACGCCCGCCTAGGCCACGGAGAGGACCTGTCGAACCAGCTGCAACCCAAGAAGATCGAGGCGTGGCCGCCTAGCACGCCCGCATCCGCTTGACTACAAACGACTGGCCTGTACAAGTAGTGCAGGGCCGCCGCGTGCAGGGCCGCCGCGAGCCGCGACTGCGTGGCGCTGGTGGCGTCGTAGGTGTACACGCTGTGTCCCTGCCGGCGGCCGCCGGCACGAGCGCCCGGAGGCGCGCCTCGTCCTCCGCCACCTCGGCAGCGAGCCGCACTGCCTCCATGCGGTCGTCCAGCAGGGCAGGCTCGGCGCGCGAGAGCCCGAGCAGGCAGCGGCCCGACGCAGCCGGGGCAGGAGCGGACGTGCGCGAGGGCCTTCGCGCCCCACGGCCACGAGGCCTCGTGGGGCGCCAACTGCTCGACGCTCTGAGCGATTGTCTCGCGCATGGCGGCCATGTCAGCCTCTGTGCAACGGGAAAGCAGGCGGTGAAGCTCGGACGCGCCGCCGCCGCCGAGTGGGACGTTTGCCGCGGTGGCGTCGAGAAGGGCATAGAGGTCGCGCTCCGTGCAGCCGGCCGCGAGGCGCAGGAGCGTGTCTGCGCCCTCCTGCGGCGACCCGCACGGCCGGCAGACGACCGAGAAAACTCGGTAGAACCTGTGGACCCGTCCTTCATGCTCGTCCCTAACCCAAAAAAGCACGATTATCCAGTCGGGCCCTCAGTCTCGACGATTGCTCCCGCGCTCGCAACGCAGCATTCGCGGTCGATCCTCGGCGAAATTCGGACATGCCACGGCGGCAGCCGGCGAGCGAGGCCGGCGAGCGAGGCCGGCGAGCGAGGCCGGCGAGGAAGAGTGTGCCCTTCTAAAAAAAGAAAACCCCGGCGGCGTCTCACGCTAAAACCGTACCCCATCGACAACCAGCCGATCATCGACCTCGCGGCCAGTGTGCTCCAATGCCGCTTGGTTTCTTCGCCGCCGCCGCCGCCCAATCGGACCTCTCCGATGCATGGCCGACTGTCGATTGCGGCGCGCTTCTCGCAGACGACGGCGGCAGTCTCGCGGCCAATGGCGGCGGCAGATCCGCCCGCGGCGCCGCACTCGCGTCCCTCCGCTCAGCGCTTGAGACGCGAGGCTTCTTTTACTGTTCGAACCTCGATGTGCTCATGGACGCGGATTACATCGCCTCTGTCTACGAATTTTCGCGCCGAGCGCACGCGCTGCCGGCCGACGTCAAGCGCCGCTTCGCGCGGCCGCGCGGAGGCTACAGCGGCTCGGATGCTGGCGTCGAGGAGCTCGCGTACGAGGCGGGCACAACCTCTGCCGTCCGCGCGTGGGACTACGCCCGCGAGAACAACTCGTCCCAGGGCTTCTGGTTCCGCAACCGGTACCCCGACTTCTCGCCGTCCTTTGAGGAGTTCATCGGCGAGCCTGGGCTGAGGCTGGTGGTCGGTAGGCGGGACAGCGTCGTGAACTGGGCGACGGCCGTAGGCGACCTGTTTGCGCGGCAGCAGCGGCTCGCCGTCGCGTTGCTAGAGGGTCTCGCCGAGATGCTTGGGCTGGAGCGCGACGCCTTCTCCAGGCGCCCTCTCCGGCCAGCGCCTTCCCATCCGCCTCTCTGGGGCCGGCCTTCCCATCCGCCAGGACGACCTCGCGCCGCTCCCCCGCCTCCTCCCGCCTCACCGCACCCCGCCTCTGCCTCACTCCGTCTCCGCCTCACTCCTCACGCCTCGCGCCTCCGCTCCTCGGAGCCAGGCACTTGCGCGACGGCGCCGAACTTGGCACCGTCCGCCTCCTCCGCTACCCAAAGGCGGAGGCCGCAGCCGCGGTGCCGGACGTCGGCATCGGCGCGCACTCGGGCGAGGCGCGCGCCGCTGTCCGCGCCGTGGACGCGTCGTGGACGCGCCGTCGACTGGCGCGAGTAGGCGCGCTGGCGCACACACGGACTTTGGTGGGGCGCGGTGTTTTGAGTGCAGGCTGCTTGCTGCTGCCGTAGGCGCGCACACGGACTTTGAGGCCTTCACGCTCATGCACCAGAGCGCGGCGGGGCTGCAGCTGCGGGCGGTCGGGGAGGGCGCAGGCTGGGAGGACGCGCCTGTCCGCCCCGCCGAGTTTGTCGTCATCATCGGCGACTTGTCATCATCGGCCGAGATTGGCTGAGATCGTACGGTCGGCCAAGTCATTTCGTCATCACCGCAGGCGATGTCTTGGAGAGGATGACGAACGGCGTCCTGCAGGCGAAGTGCATGTCCCAGACGCACACGCACATGCACACGCACGCACACGCACGCACACGCACACACACACACACACACACACACACACACACACACACACACACACACACACACACACACACACACACACACACACACACACACACACACACACACACACACACACACACACACACACACACACACACACACACACACACACACGGACGGACACACACACACACACACACACGGACACGCCAAACACACGGCCACAGCCGCACGGACACACTCGGCCCCGCACACGCCCCGCAGGCGACGCCGCACCGCGTGCTGCCGAGCCTGCAGCCCGGCTTCGCGCGCGGGCAACCGCCCACCGCTCCACCCCCCCTGTACCGCTGGCCCGTGGGGCACGCCCCCTGCCCGTAGGCCGCACGAGCGCTACGCCATCATTCGGTTCAACGCGCTGCGCGCCGACACGCCCGTCGCGCCGCTCGCGCCCTTCGTGACGGCCGAGCGGCCGAAGGCGTACTCGGACACGACCATGGCCGAGATCATGGAGGTGCGCGTGTCCGGGTAGCCTCCCGTCCCCTCCCCCCCCCGGGTGATCAGTCTAAAGGCCTTCGCGTCGAGGGATGAGGGAGTGTTACCGCCGAGAGATCGGCGCGAGATCGGCGCGAGATCGCCGTCGGTCGGCGCACTTCTCCCCTGACGGACGTGGAGATGCGGCGGAGAGCACCGCACCAGCGGGAGGGACGCCTCCCACACCGCCCTCACCGCTTACGTCTCGCCCCTCGCCCCAGGTGACGATTGGCAACCTCGAGGCGGGCAGGGGCGCGTGGGACGCCGTACAGGACCGGTCGAGCACCGCACGCTTCGACTACGACGAGTGGAGGCGCCGTGCCGCAGCCGCCGGCGCTGCGCGAGCCGCCGCGAGCGCGCGCGACGAGCTGTGAGCCGATGCAGTCGCCCGCGGCGAGCGCATCACGCACTTCGGTGTTGCCACACCACCGCACCACCGCCCCGGCCCCACAACCTTAGTCCGCGCAGCACCGTGTAACCTGAGGGAGGGTGTGAGGATTCTGAGTGTAGAGCACGCGAGCACTGTAGAACCCCCCCTACCTAGCAATGGCATAGATTTTCGGCGTTATGACAGGGATTCGTAGAAGTGGTTGATCGCGCATGGATTTCAGAGGCGAGAGGGGCCTCGTCACAGTTTCAAAATTCACCCACATTGCGGTGACCCTCCCACTTCAATTTTCACTGCTTTTTCATGCGAATTAGGAATTTGAAAGTGCTCCCGGGAGACCCTTTCACCAATGGCGAGGAGGGGCAGAGATGCTAGTCCCCCGGGGAAGACAGTGTATCCTCAACATATAGGCCAGACCCAAATGCGCCACAAAACCTACTCTAGACGGGCCTGCTACGACGAGTGGGCGAGGCAAGGCGCCTACAAAGCGTCTACAAACAACCTAGTGAGCAGTACCCTTGACGCGGAATACTTTTGGACTCAATGTCGCGAGAATTGTGCCCGAACGCGGTAGCCAATAACTGGTGGAATGGCGCTCTTGGCGCTCTTGTACGAAACCTCGATGGGCGGTGAAGCCGGGCCGCTAGGCACGGCCCGCCCGTTCCAAGGCGCTTGGGCGAATGGGCCGCTTTCCGTGGGCCTGGCTGGCGGGTCGATTTTCAAACATGGTATTTGCCATGTTGTTTTTGTGATTGCCCTCTTCATCCAGCTCACCATCTATGTGGCCGACGTCGTTAGGTTTGAGCACGTCAGGGTCGAAGCCATCTTCTTCAAGTGTCTTCTTCGCCCAATTCCGAACTGCTCTGCGGTAATTGGCCGTTTGCTTTGCCTTCCGATCGTATTTGTCCAGCTTTGACGGATTAGTCCCTGTCCCTGATTTTGGCGTTTAGGTGCTTTATCCCTTCCGCATATGGTTGTGACTCAACTTGCGGTCCTCCCTGTCTTGGTCCGCGCTCATCGATCGAGGTGTTGTCAACGCGGCCGGATTCGAGGGAGCTCAGGTCGGGGTCGGGGTCGGGGTCGGGGTCGTGGTCGGGGTCGGGGTCGGGGTCGGGGTCACTTGACGACTTGTGCTTGCACCAGCAGTAGAGACCGACCGCGACGACGAGGAAGGGAGCAGGACTTTGCGGAGATCAGCAGGAGGATGTACGAAGAGATTAGGAGCAGCAGGGACCCGAGGGACCATGTGGAAGACGGCTAGTGCTAGTCCCCCATCGGGAGGACGACCCCGGCTAGTCGCCGACCACACCCACAAAGAACCCTGCACAAAGATCGCACGGGCGGGGGCCTGTTCCTCTGTACCCATCTCACAGTAGAGGTGTCATCCGTCCGTTTTATTTATTTATTTCGGATCATTCATGTGTGTCTTGCGGACTGACGACCACTGTGCTCTGTGGACCACAGCCTTCACTGTTGTACGGCCATCTCTGTATGCTCTACGGCCCCCAACGTGGCCTTGAAAGGCCGTGGGCCCACCCCCCTACCCGAGAGCCGAGACACGCATGTTCGAACCCATATGTTCGCGGAGCGACCACCTCGAGCTCGGCCCGCGGTCACTTTGGTGACCGTTGCGATGCGGCAGCCGTTTGAGAGCAGCATGGCGGGGCTGCGACTTGCGGCAGCGCGGATGGGCTTCGACCGCTTCCAGGGATGGACAGAGTCGGACTTCCTGCGGGACGCACGTACACGGCGGCATTTGGAAGCAATGCTCCGGCTCAACCGGAGCCAACGTGAGAGCGTCCTGTGCAAGGGCCTGCGCAGGTGGTGCCGGCCCTACTGCAACGCCTTCAAGCCGGTGGCGCTCCTCCGCGCGATGCAAGAGTCGCGCGCCGGCGACTATGTCGTGTGGGCTGACTCGTCAAAGTACGCGGACTACTCCAAGGTGGAGCGGTTCAGCAGCCTGGACATCAAACAGGCGATTTGGGCATTGGTGCGCCGGCAGGGTAAGTATGCGAGCATGTATGGCGCGGCGTCGTGCAGGAGAGGTGTCTGCATGAGAAACGGTGCCTATGCGCAGCCTCCGTTGCCTCTGAGGCACTTTCCAAAGGGCAACTTTGAGGCCTCGGCGCTGGCCGCCTTCAACATCTCATCCTGCAGCGCCGTGCATGGGCTGTGGACCCTCAACGCCAATTTGATTCTGGACCGTAGGCCAACATGCGGAGCCCATATCCGCGGACCCATCGGTCCTGAAGCAACACGCTCTGCCCCGTAGGCCAACACAGCCTTCAACACAGCGCTGCTTCGAAGGTGGCTGTCCTTCGCCCTGACGAACCCCGAGGCGTACTGCCGCTCCCATCCTCAGGACCAGGCCGCGTGGTCCATCCTCGTCGCGGAGCACGACCTGCCCCTTGTCGACTTCACGCGCGAGTTTGACAACAAGGTGTTCTGGCACGTCGTGGCCGAGCTGTCCCGGGGCGCATTCAGTTGGAGGGACCGGCGCGACGAGACCGTCCCTTTCGTCCACGGGGCGCAAGGCTACTCACCCCAGTACGCGGCCCGCGGGCTGTGTGCGGACGACGGCGGGAGGGCATCGGAACGTCACGTTCGTGGGCAAACGGCTGCACTTTTGAGATCTTGAGGTGTGCGCTCCGCCGCCAACAGCCTGTTTGTTGCGAAAACACAGGAAGGCCGAGAAAACGGACTCGCCAAAAAGTGGAGGGGGGGGGGGGGGGGGAGGGAGAAAGAAAATAGACAGCCCGAGAACGGCCAAGCGTTCACTTTCCCTTCCCGCTTCCGCCACATAAAATACCAAACAAAATCTAACAACAGATTTAACAACAAATCTAATACACTGACAGGACATCATTCGTTGGGGCAGCCTGCCCTGTTCACGCGCTCGCGCGAGACGTGCGTTGTTGTTGTTGTCGCTGCATCGGGCGGGCGGGGAGAGAGGTGGTGGTGGTGGTGCTGGTGGGTGGGGGGGTGGGGGTTGGGGGGGGGGGGGGGGTGCATGCCCAGAGTCGGGCTGGGCGTGAATACTGGATACCTAGGGTGATGCAAAGAAAGAAAGAAAACAGACAACCCAAGGGAGGGATGGGAGAACGGCACGCCGCCACCACACAGGGATTTTAAGGGTGATGCGGGCGGGGCGGCGGTCGCCTGTGAATTCTTCTCGCCCATTGAGCCTGCCTCATCTGCGCTCCCAGCACGCGTCGACATGCTGGCCCCCGGTCTGCTGCTGTTTGCCCCCAGTGGGGTGGTCGTGTTTTCCCCAACGAGGGTCCCCGCCATCGCTGCTGCGCCGCGCCCTCGCGCGACGATCGCGCTGCAGGCCGCTGACGGTGACGAGGCGCTCGGATTGGCCTACCGTACGCTGGGCATAGCGGAAGACGCGACCTACGATGAGATTACTGAGGCGCACATTGAGCTGTCGGAGCGGTATGTCGGCGACAGCCCGCGGCTTGCGGCTCTCGACGACGCAATGGAGCGCGTGGTCAACGAGATCATGAGGCGGCGGCTGCGCGGAGAGATGCGGCCCAAGGTGGCAATATACAGGTGGCGACGAGGAAGGCGGAATGGCCGCTCACGTCTCTAGCTGTGACCAGGTGGCGGACTCGCCGTGGGACGAGAGGCCGGTGCAGCGCGAAATGCCGTGGGTGCGACTGCGCGTTTTCCAGGCGCACGTCTCGGCTCCCTCGAATTGTGTCTCGGTTGCATGTCAGGTGCCGATCCTCATCTTCCTTCGGAAGCTCATCTCGCCGCCCGGCTTCGACTACGCCAAGAAGGCAGCGACACAGGATCGGGCCGATGTTTGGCTGGGATCTCCCTGCACCCGACACTCCGTGTCGTTGAACCGCAGGTGCTTCCGACAATGCTCTTTCTGGCGTTCGTGCCATGGGTGGCTCCGCGCGCCGCCGCGACCGCCGGCCTCATCACATACATGTGCGGCTTCGGCTTCATCTACAACCGAGACAAAGAGGATGTGCCTCGCGACGAATTTGGGCAGGCATCAAGACACTCTCGGACTCCATCCCCTCCCCCTACACACCGCCGTCTCCTGGTTCATCTCCCGTCCCTCCCCCGCTCCAAACCCGGCCACCCTCCCAGCCCCTCCTCCGTCGCAGATTGGCGAGATCCGGCCCTACGAGACACAGCCCCTCTACCTGACTTGCGCGCTGATGGTCGGCGTGCACTTTGCGTCCAAGGTGCCCCAGAGGCCCGAGAGGCTGTTGTGATGGGTACAGCCACTGCGATGCCAGAAGCACATTTCCTTCTCCAAGGCGCTCGCCAAGCGGCTGGTGGCGCGGCTGGTGGGCGCGCCGGACGGCCTCGAATCCATCCTCAAGGCCGGCCCTCGCGTGGGTTGGCCCTATGTCTCTGGGCGTCCACCACACGTTCATAGCATGTCCATAGGCCAGCCTCGTCCCGCTGGGCCTTACCTTCTGCGCCCTCTTCACCCGCGTCTCGAAGCCTTTCGCGTAGCCGCGAGGCGGTGCTCCCAGACCGCCCGCCCGTTGCCGTCGCTACATTTGTCGCTTGAGGTTCGGGCGGACGGAAAGGGATGTGTCGATGAGTAATTGCGCTTGCCCGGCACCACCCAAGTCCGGTTTTGGGACATGGGAGGTTATAAGTCTTAAGAGCAGGTTGGGCACTCAGTCGTGGGCGGAGATCAGCTCCTTTTTATGCGGCGTGGGCGGCGGGGGGGGGGGGGGGGTCGCGGCGCCCCACCGCCCCAGCGGGGGGAGGCTCGGAGCGAGAGAACCTCTTTGCGATTGCGTGTTTTGACTGTGTTGTGGCTTGTGGCTTGCGCGCCTGCGCCGTGCGCGGGCCGCGGCGGACGCGCTTCGTTATTTTGCATTAAATTGTGTAGCACAAAAAGTACATCAATCCGCACCTCTTCGCCGCGGAGCCTGATTTTATCGTCGTCAACGAGTCTGCGGGCCATCGATAGCTACGGGCCCTTTGCCTCGTCGCCAACGGCAGCTGTCGCACGCCCCGGGTGAGGGTGAATTGTCACCCGCTCATGTTGCTGCACGGAGCGCCTCAAGACGCAGACGAGGCAGATTTGCAGCCACGCCATAACCACAGCGGTCACGAGGAGCTCCGTGGTTGCAAACGTCTGGAAGTTGCATCCACTGGTTCGCGCGTCGGTTGCGCACTTCGTGCCGAGTTCCGCCAGAGCTTTGCCGTTGGGAATCGCCGTAACGTAGCCGGCCAGAGGCCAGCCCTGGTAAGTTGAAGGCACAGGCAAGCCGTTATCCTCGAAGCTTGATATGCAGGCATTGACTGTGGGTGTCACATCTCCCACGAGCCCAATCTTACTCAGGCTCGCCTGGCCATGCACCACCTGTCCGTTCCCAATGTTGGCCTCGTCCTTACCAATCTCAAGCAAGGCTTCCAAGCACTCTTCTGTGCACTTTGAGAACACGGCGGTCGTATGGGAAAGGTTCGACACCTCCTCCTCTGACTCGTCCCCACTCATAAAGAGCGCTCGGTGGTAGCAATTTTTGGTGGCCATCATGTTGATGCCCGTGCACACGAGCCCGCCTGCTGCTGTTCCGAGAATCAGCACCACCGCCACTCGCGACACAGCAAACCGCACCCGCCGCCGCGGCCTGCGTGTGGGTCGGACAGCGAGACGGTGAGGCAAGAGCGGCGGCCTGGCCCGGGAGTGTCGAGGAGGGGGAGGAGCAGCGGGATGGTAGTGGATTTGCGTGTGGCGTGTGCCGGGCGCGGGGGGGGGGGGGGGGGTTCCGTTTAGGTTGGGCGCCGACCCCCTCCTCTTGTGGCGCGTCAGCAACGGTCATGTCCCAAAAGAGGTTTGCAGCGGCCTGCAAACACACAGCGCGGCGTCAAATGGTCACACCCTGATCTAGCGCTTGGGTGCTGGCGTTGTTGCGCCTTCTTTTCAAGCTCAACTAGCTCGTCCTCGTCCCAGAACAGGCTGAGCCGGACGGATGAATAGAGCATGAGCGAGTCCCGAACGGTGTTGTTCGTGCCTGCATCAGCGGAATGCATGGTGTATCAACGCTCCCCGCTGTAGGAACACTTTAGCAGAGGCTGCGCCGGTGACAATGTCCACGCGGCCCGCGACAACGGCGGCAGCAAGCAGGGCGCAGACCACGTAGAGGGAGCCTACGGGTAGGGACGAGGGGCGAGGTGCGCAACGTGAGATTTGGCGCGTCGCGGCGCAATATTTGAGGAGAATAGGCACCCGTTAGCAGGTCAACGTAGAGCGCACGCTTGTCCTCCTGCATGGAGGCGGTTAGGGCTACGATGGAGAGCATGATGACACCAACAACCCCGGTGCTCGCAGAAAGCATCTGCGCGGCTTGGCGCAGATACCGTGTGTCGTTTTTGTATTCCGGCTTGAATATTCGCCATGTCACACCAATGCAGCGCGCGTGCCAGTAGCACAAGTGGCTCGAGGAGCTGGAGGAGGTGTTGGAGGAGCGCGTGCTCTTAGCGCGCGTCGCCTCTTTCGGCACGATGGTGCCGGTTGCTTGCCTCTTTAGCGTTCGCCCCTTGGGATCGGTCGACTCGGTAGGGGTGCCCATTGTAGAACAGGTCTCTTGTGGGGGATTGGCCGCCACGTCGACCATAGTGACATGCGTCCTTGCCCCACCCGCCACACGTCCCCTCACGACCGCCCATCCATTTCTGGACACGGAGCTTGCGCATGGTGTGAGGGGCGGGCCAGGCTCGCCAGCCCTGGAGGCGTCGGTGGCGGTCTCCATTGCACAAATGAGGCCCTCAATAGATCAACTCTCCTCTCTCCATGAAGGGAGCGAACCTGGCTGACGGCAAACGCGTCCAGTTCGCCGGGGGGCCGCCGTAAAACTTGAGCGGTGAGATCTGGCGGAGAAAAGACTTCGAATTGAGCACTGGATAGGGTCGATTCCGCATGCTACGGGACCCCTCGATCGTCTCTTTCCTTTGACAACGACACTTGATTGCCAACCCTCCCCAGCCCCCCTCCGTGTCGCGATGCGCTCGCTCCGCTCCCCACTCCCGTTCCCCTGTGTCCCTGATCGTCCTTACAAGATCCTGCTCGCGCAGGTGGGGACCCTGTCATCCTTCTCCCACCCCTTGTTTGTTTGGTGTGTCCGTTTTATTTATTTATTTATGATTGCCAAGCGCAGAGTTTCCGGCAACCCAGCCAGCTGGAAATCCTGTTTGGTGCTCTGCTCCACACTGGAGATCACAGATCACTGGGGCCAGTCTCGAGTTTTCCCAAGTGGCATGAGTTTATTTAGTTAGGTAGGCTTTGCGTATGTATGTTTCCTCTCGTACCCTCCCTGCCTGCCTGGTTTCCTTTCCGTGTTTCCTGCTCATTTCCCTATGGTTTCCCTCTGGGTTGCCGGAAACTCTCGTAAAGGCCACAAGCGCATGAATGAGCAAGTCTCGTTCCACGTTCGTGACACGTGAGCAAAATCAAATCGGCAAAAATAAATCCCGAGTCTATTTTTCCAAATACGCTTCCAAGCTCTAACGACGCGCGTAGGGCCTTTAGGGGCCTAGGGACTTTTCCTTGTTTCCCTTCAGCACCCTCTCGGTTTCCCTCCCCGGCCAAAATCAGCCAAATCGGCAAAATACCCTCTATTTTGGTGGCATACCTGGAAAACATCCGGGCGTTTTGCCGAATTCCCCGATTTTTGTCAGATTTTGCCTCACTCAGACCAGCTCTCAGGTCAGCTTTCACCTTTCAGACTCAGGGAAACGCGAGAGTTGCCAGTATGGAGCAACAAACACCCTCTGGTTTCCCTGGCTGGAAATTCCGGAAACTGCTGGGGGTATCTCAGATTCTTCTTCTTCTTGGCGTCTGTGCCGTCTCTTTTTATAGATAGATTTGTACAGGCCAAGCCCCGGCCGAAGGACCAGCCTCGACAACAAAGATCAAAGTTATTCAAGTATCCAGCTTACCTTAAATAAATAGAGCGGACATCTCCCAGGCGACTGAGAGGTGATGGCGAGGCGTGCGAGCGATGAAGGGCAGACACTCGACTGCGCCGACGGGCGCAAGTCTGCTAATAATTGGGACTGAATCTCATTAGCTTCGACGCCTCGTGATGTGAAGTAGATGATGTGGCACAGAGGCCTACGGCCTGCAGGGCGAGCGCCGCACGAAGCCCAGCACCACCCCTCAGCAGAGCTGGCGAGAATCCTGGCGGATTCGCGCTACGGAGAGATGGGCGACGCACGAACCCAGCTAGGTATTTTTTCTCCTGCGCAAAAAAATAGTAAGAGCCTTTCGAATTCTTTTGTTCTTGCAGTCCCGTGCGCCGTGCCCAGAAAGAAAGAAAGAAAACAGACAACCCAAGGGAGGGATGGGAGGACCGTGCCCAGTGTCGTGCAAGGACTATTCTCAAATTCTTTTGTTGTGCGCGGCCTCGCTCAAACGCGCGCCTGCCGGGGCGGGGCAAGACCGGCTGAAATCGCGGCCACAGCTGCTTCGGGGGGTGAGGATGGCTGGCTATGATCAGCTTCTCGCGAGGTGCCCGCGTCCCGACGCAGCAGCGATTTCGCATCTTGTATTTTTCGCGGCCTTCGCCGAGCGCCGCGAGGCGTTGGCCCGTATATACTTTTCCGGCAAACAAAAAGGAAAACAGAGGGCCCCCAGCACTTTGCGTTTCCGGAAATTTCCAGGGCGAAAACAGAGGTGTTTGGTGCTCCATTCTGGAAACTCGCGAGTTTCCCTGAGTCTGTGAGCTGGTCTGGGGGGGAAACTGAGCAAAATCGAGGAAACCGGCAACATACCCGGGCATTTTCCAGGTATACCCAGGTGTGTATTATTTTTGCTTGGGGCGGCCCTCATGACGGGTAGGTAGGGTAGGTCTGGGGCTCTGGGCCCTCCCGTCGGGTTTTTCCCTCTCTTCACGCTGGAATTTTCACAGCAGAAAAAGAATTTTTCTGGAAATCACGATGTCAACCCTCCCCACACCTCTCCTTAAAATCCCTGTGTGGTGGCGGCGTGCCGTCCTCCCATCCCTCCCTTGGGTTGTCTGTTTTCTTTCTTTTTTCCCTCCCCAAGTGAGGTGATCTGGTGCTTGTAGGGCTTGGGAGTGGCCTGCCATGTCACAGGAAGGACTAGGGGTGCAGAAGAGTACCACCAGCCATCACTTTAGTTGGTATAGTACCCCACCTTCACCGGTCCGGTGATTTCTTTTTTAGTTTCCCATAAGTAAGGTAGGTAGGTAGGTAGCTAGGTGGGGGCAGGGCAAGGGCCGGCCAGGGTTTTGCATAATTTCATCATGAGGGCCGCTGAAGCAAAAATAATACACACCTGGTATACCCGGGGTTTTCCAGGTATAAGCAAAATACCCGGTATTTTGCCGATTTGGCTGATTTTGGGCCCAAACCAACCTCAGACTCGGCTCAGATCCCGGAAAATTTGATGGTTTCCCCGGGAAAATAGAGAGAGAGGAAAAGAGAGGGTGCTGTAGAGAAAAAAGGAAAGGAAAAGAGACGGGGTGCGCGAGGAAAAGTATACAACCCCTGCCTAGACGAGTACAGCTAAAGAGTACCGGGGCTCCGCCCTCCGTGTGGGGGCCCGTGAACATCTTTAGCTTGTGAGCCAGGAAAAGGGTTGAAAAGTATATACAGCCGAGCCGCAAGCGAGGCGTAGGAGCACAGTGTTTAAATTCTTTTTAGTCGCGCCCCCGGTAAATTTTTAGTCGCGCCAAAGGAGCTCCGCGGAGCCGCCGGTTCACTCGCTCCGCTTGTTATCGACGGGGCGGTCGCCTGGCAAAAAGAATTCAATAGCGCATAAAAAGAAAAAGGATTGCCTAGCTCGTCGTACGCCGCACCATAGCCCCCACGCACAGGAGGCACGCTTGACACAAGCTAGCCCGTGGGGGGGCGTCGCGACTTTTGTGGCCGGCCTCTCGCTCAAGCCGGGATGGACAAAGGCCGGGGCTCCGCTCCAGACTACGCGATATGGATGGACGCGGCAGAGGAGCAGGCCCTTCGCGAGGCGCTGCACGTTGCCCAAGCGGCGCAGGCCGAGGTGGACCAGCAGCGCGGCGGGGGTGGCCGGCTGCTGCGAGACGCGAGGAAGCTCCATCAGGTGTATGGCCAGCTGGCGCGGCTGGGCTTCGGAAAGGAGGATATCGAGCAGTGCCTGCCGCACATGCGCTCCGACTCATCCCTCAATGACGCTCTCGACTGGGCCTGCCTGCACCTTCCAGAGGCCTCGCTCCCCCCGTCCTTTCGCATGGCGACGCCCGATGCCGAAGACGGCGACAAGGAGCTGGACAAAAGCTCGCTGCTCAAGAAGATCGTGTCGGCACCCGCAGTGGCCAAGCCAGAGGGCCGCTTTCTCGAGGCAAAGAAGCGCGCCGCCGCCTTTGCAAAGAAAGCAGCGGGCGGCGGTGCTTCTGCGAAGCGTGGCGGCGCGGCAGGCGCTGCTGACGAGGTGGTGGCGGCGGCGGCGGCAGCGGCGGAGGCAGAGGTGGAGCGGGCGGCGTCCGAGTGGCGGGGGCGTCACTCGGCTGCGCTCGCTGCAGACAGCGAGGAGGAGCACGACGAGGATGAAGAGGTCGCACTGCTCACCCGAATCCCTCTCCCCTGTTGCGCGCCGAAGCACTGCGTTTGCCCCGCTCCAGGACCTGGCCGATCTGCTGGGCGTGTTGGACCTCGAGGAGCTGGGAGAGGCGGCTCTGAACCGCATGCTCGGCGAGAAGGCGCGCGCCTCTGCGAGATGCGGTCGAGATACAGTGAGATGCAGCGGAGATCGAGCCGAGAGGGGCAAGAGAGTTATGGCGCCAGTATTGGACACGCTCAAGCCGGATGCGCTTGCACGCCCGATCCCTGCGCTACGGGCTCGTGCTGCCCTAAGGCTCCAGGCCGTGTCCCACAGGAGACCGCTCGCCTTACCTTCGCGGCCGAGGCGGACGCGCGGCTCTCGGCGGGAGAGCTTCGGCCGGCGGCACGCGCCGCGCGGGCCTCGCGCCGATCTGCTAGGCAAGCTGACACTGTGGAAGCGGCGTTGGTGCGGTTGGTGCCCAAGTTCGAAACCCGCGTCGCAAAGCGCCGCTCGGCGGTAGAGGCAGAGGCGAAGCGCGCGGTGCGCCGCAAGAGCTGGCGGGTGAGACAGTGGGTTTGTGCCCATCCCCCCCCCCCCCCCCCCGGCGGAAAGGTGAGGCAGGAGCGGGAGGCAGAGCGGCAGCAGGCAAAACGGGCCCCAACGAGCACAAACCCATCCGCCGAGGAGGAGTTTGCCGTCGATTTTGGCGACGGCAGCAGCCAGGACGGCGGAGCCCGGGATCGCACTCCCCCACCAGGGGCGCGCGGCGAGCAAGCGCTAGCCTCGTGGCTCAGCGAGGAATGCGGTATCGGGGCGCCCGAGGTGTGCCCCCTCGCCTCACTCTCGCTCGGGAAGTCTTGTGTTGGCCATGCCCCTTCTGCTTGTGGCGTAGGCGACCGCGTTTGCAGCAGCGCTGGCCGCTGACGGCCGCACGAGAAGCAAGCGCCATTTGACGGGGCGAGCGCTAGCCTCACTCGCTGCTTCTGTCCCAATAGGCTACGATTCGACGCTCGCGCTCTGCGAGATCGAGGAGACGGATTGGCCAGACATGGTCCCGGCGCACCACCGGGACATCATCAAAGCCAGTGCAGTCGCGGCGGGCGGCATAGGCGGCGGGGGGCCCGGTCAGGCGGGCGAGGCAGAGGTGGAGGTTGCGAAGCGAACGGCTGCAGAGCGGGGAGCGGCTGAGCGCGTACAGCGAGGGGCTGCCGATCGTGCGCAGGCGGATCGGATTGCTGCAGAGCGTGCAGCGGCAGAGAAGGAGGCGGCGGAGCAGGAGGCGGCGGAGCGGGAGGCGGCAGAGCGGGAGGCGGCGGAGCGGGAGGCGGCAGCCCGGGAGGCGGCGGAGCGGGAGGCGGCGGAGCGGGAGGCGGCGGAGCGGGAGGCGGCGGAGCGGGAGGCGGCGGAGCGGAAGGCGGCGGAACGGGAGGCGGCGGAGCGGGAGGCGGCGGAGCGGGAGGCGGCGGAGCAGGAGGCGGCAGCGCGGGAGGCGGCAGCCCGGGAGGCGGCGGAGCGGGAGGCGGCGGAGCGGGAGGCGGCGGAGCGGGCGGTGGAGCGCGAGGCTGCGGAGCGCATGGCGGCGGAGTGCGAGGGGGGGGAGGTGGCGCTGAACGTGCCAAGTCAGGGGACCGCGCGCGAGCGGGCAGGAGAGGCGGGATCGGAGAGCAACTCTGCTCCCGCAGTTGCGAGCGGCGGGGCAAGTGGGGGAGGGGGCAAGAGCAAGAAGCGCTCGGGTGGGAGCGGGAAGAAGAAGGGCGGCGGCGGTGGCGGCGGCAACGCAGCGGCTCAGCGCGCCGCAATGCTCGCGAAGTATCAAACCACTTCGGTTGCAAAACCTGTGGTTGAGAAGGCGGCAGAGAGGGAGGTGTCGGCAGACGTCCCCGAGGCAGCAGCTACAGCAGCGAGCCCAGGCCCACCGCCGCCATCGGCGACGGATGCTGCTGCAGGGGTCGACGGCGTGAGCTGCGCGGACGATGACGTGGCGAATGGCGGCACCGGAAGGTACGACTTGTCTCGCTGGTCAGGGAAGACGCCAAAGACGATGTTGCTCGAGTGGTTCCAGAAGATGCAGGCACCGCGACCAAAGATCGAGCTCGAGTCGGTTGGGCGCCGCTACCGCGCCTACGTCGTCGTGGTCGGGGACACGAAGCTGGAGCTCCCCGGCGACGAGGTGTTCGACAAGCGCGAGCAGGCCGAGCAGGCGGCAGCAACCGCCGCTCTTTACCATCTCTTTGGCACCGGCAAGGAGAAGCAGCCGCTCTACCGCATGTTGCCCCCTGCGTACCGCACCCTCTGGCTCGGCTGGGTCTCCAACCAGCAGACTGCCGCGGCGCAGCTCGAGGCAGACTCGGCCGCGGCCGCGCTCATCGAGCGGGAGCGATTCGTCGACCGGCTCGTCGACCGGCCGATCGCCCCGTGGGAGCTCTCGCGCTCGAAGCGCGCAAAGATGCGCGAGGCGGCTGACGCGGCAGCGGCGGCCGAGGCCGCACGCGACTTCGGAGCGCTGGGGGACGAGGAGGCAGCTGCGGCGGCGGCGGCGCGGCAGCGGCAGCGACAGGCGGAGGAGGAGGAAGCCGCCTTGCTAGAGTCGGCTGCGCGCGAGGAGGAGGAGGCTGAGGCGGCGGAGCGGCAAGAGCGGCGCGAGGCGCGCGAGGTTGAGACGGGCTCGCGGCTGCAAGCCGCTCACGCGCGGTGGGTCGAAGCGGCGGCTGGCTGCGCCTCAGCCGCGCAACGCGCTTCGCTCCCAATCAGCAAGCTGGCGGAGCAGCTGTCTACGGCGATGGCATCGACGCAGGTCGCGGTCTTGTGCGGAGAGACGGGCTCCGGAAAGTCGACTCAGGTGCCGCAGATGCTGCTCGAGGAGGCGCTCGCTTCCGGCGCTGGCGGGACCACCTCGATCCTGTGCACGCAGCCTCGTCGGATCGCCGCCACCTCTCTCGCTCGCCGCGTCGCGTCTGAGCGTGGCGAGCAGGTCGGCGGCCGCGGGTCACTGGTCGGGTACCAGGTGCGTCTCGAGTCGAAGCGGACGGAGTCGACTCGGCTGCTCTACTGCACCACGGGCATCGCATTGCGGATGATGTTGTGCGAGAAGCCGCTCGAGGGCATCTCGCACGTAGTGGTGGACGAGGTGCACGAGCGGGACACGCAGACCGATCTGCTCCTCCTCCTCCTTCGCGAGCTGCTTCCGCTGCGTCCCGACCTGCGGGTGGTGTGCATGTCGGCGACGGTGCAGGCGGAGCTCTTCTCGAGCTACTTTGGTGGCTGCCCGGTGCTCACGGCGCAGGGTCGCTCGTATCCCGTCACCGACACTTTCCTCGAGGACATACTCGCCACCACAGGACACGTGTTGCCGCCCGACTCGCCGTGCCGCGTCTCGGATCACGGCACGTGGAACAAGGCGACCTTCAACCTGCACCGCGGCGGACAGGCGTCGACGCAGGAGTGGAAGGAGGCGGGCGCCGCCACGAACCCCGACTACGACGAGGGTCGATACGCAGCGTATCCGCCAGGGGTACATGCTGTCTTGTCGCAGCTCAACGAGAGCGCCATCAACCACGATCTCATTATGGAGCTCGTGGATTACATCGACCTCAACCTTGGCGACGGAGCCGTCCTGGTGTTCCTGCCCGGTTTCGCCGACATCTCCACGCTCTACAACACGATGAGCTCCTCGCGCCGGTTTGGTGACCGCGCCGCCTTTCGCGTGCTGCCACTCCACTCGTCGCTCTCGCCCGCCGAGCAGTCTGCAGTCTTCGACGTGATGCCGACGGGCGTGCGCAAGGTGGTGCTGGCGACCAACATCGCCGAAACGTCCATCACCATCGACGACGCCGTCTTTGTGATTGACTCCGGCCGCGCGAAGTCGGCTATGTTTGACGAGCGGAAGCAGATGCGGCGGCTGGTCGACGTGTGGATCTCGCAGGCGGAGGCGCGGCAGCGCGCCGGCCGTGCCGGTCGCGTGCGTGCCGGGCACGCCTTCAAGCTGTACACGCGGCAGCGGTACACCCAGTCCATGCTGCCAGCACGGGTGCCCGAGATGTTGCGCGGGCCACTGCAGGAGCTCTGCTTGCAGCTCCGGCTCGCGCCGCTGCTCGAGAGCTACGAGTTGCGCGCCGCGTTTGCGCGCGCGCTCGACCCGCCGAAGGCGGCCACGGTGGAGGCCGCTATCATCGCGCTCCAGCGCTCCAATGCGCTCGACGCTGACGAAGCCCTCACGCCGCTCGGCCGCCACCTTGCTGCCTTGCCTGTCGAGATCTGCATCGGCCGCCTCATGCTCTACGGCGCGCTCTTCAGCTGCGCGGACCCGATCCTCCTGATCGCCGCGGCGCTGTCGGACCGGTCCCCCTTCTTGCAGCCGCTGGCAAGGCGCGACGAGGCGAAGGCGGCGCAGGTTTGCTTTAACCGCGACGAGTCGGACCATTTGGCGGCAGTGGATGCGTACCAAAAGTGGATGCACGTGAAGCGCACCGAGGGGAACGGCGGCGCCAAGCGGTTCTGCGACCGCCACTTCCTCGCTGAGCGCGCCCTGGTCGGCATGGGCGAGGCTGCCGACCAGTTTTGGGGCAACCTCGCCGACCTCGGACTGCTGCCCGAACTGCGACGGCTTGGGGAGGCGGACAAGCAGGCGGCACGCCGCTCCGCCAACCGGCACGCCGACTCGCCGCTGCTGCTCAAGGCGGTCCTCGCGGCCGGCCTCTTCCCGAACGTGCTGCTCGTCTCGCCGGGCCGCGCGAGGCCGAGCTTATCGCAGCAAAAGCAGTCCGTGTCGATCCACCCCTCTTCGTTCAACCACATGGCGAGCTCCTTCACTACCTCGTGCGCGCGCCACCGCAGGCGGCTACAGCGGAGCTCTCTTCCCACTGGCAGCTCTCTCCCCCGAGTAGGTACCTCGTTTTCCACGAGAAGGTCAAGACCTCGAAGATTGTCGTCCACGACGTCACGGCCGTCACCGCACTCGACCTCCTACTGCTCGGCGGCGAAATCAAGGTGCTCCACGCGCAGCACCGCGTGGTCATCGACAACTGGATCGATCTCACCATCTCGCCGCGCGTCGCCGTCTTGTTCAAGGCGTTGCGGCACCAGATGATGTCCCTTATGCGGCGGCGCATCGCGGACGCCGGTGGGGCGCGTGACGGGGGACACGCCCCACAGGCTGCGGTGTTGGAGGCAGTGGTCGAGATGGTGAAGCGCGGGACCGTGGCTGCCGAGATCAACCCGGAGGCGATCAAGGAGCGGGCCATCGCCGCGAGGGAACGGGAGCAGCAGGCCAAGCCTTCGGGAAGAGGCGGTGGCAACACAAAGCCAGAACTCGGCAAGGGCAAGGGAGGAGGGCGCGGCGGGCGGAGGTGACGACGCGGAGGGTCGGGGACTCGCTGTGCTTTCCGGTTGTCTTGTCATATGGTTATGAAGCGCCTGCGTCTTTTTTGCTTGTAAGCGGTCTTGCCGATATCTCGCGATGCATACTGATTACGGCTTTACGGCTTTTTTTACTGTAAAGCCGCGTGGGCTAGAGGCAGCTGGGTTCACTCGTCTACACGTAGAGAAGAGTGAGTGACAATCGTGAATCGACTGATAAATGACTCAAGAGGTATGTACGTACTCTACAGTGTCAGTGAAGGCCCCAGGTGCGGCGGCGATCCGCGGCTCCGCGCCCGAGTCACAGCAACGCGGCCCGTGACTTTTCGCTCAAGGGCAGGTAGGGCCCGTCGGCGTCGCGCATCGCCGTCGGCCACCAGTTCCACTCGCCGAGCAGAGCCATGACGGCGGGGACCAGCAACATGCGGACGACAAGCGTGTCGGCGAGGACAGCAAGGACGACGACAAAGGCAACCTGCCAGCGCGAGCGTGGTCTTGCGTGAAAGCGCCACACTGACAACTAGCATGTCAGGCATCTAGAGTGGTGACCTGGTGCACCGCGAGCGTCGATGAGGCGAGCAGCCCCGAAAAGGCCAGCGCCATAATTGCGCCAGCCGTGGTGATGACGCCGCCGTTTGAACGCAGGCCCGAGACGATGGCGTCGTCATTGGAGGCGCCGAGGGCTCGCATTTTCCGGATGCCGGCGACCAGAAACACATCGTAGTCGGTGTTGAGCCCCGTGAGTACCGTGAACGTCATCACTGGCACCAGCCAAGCGACGCCCGGGCACTCCCACGGCGCCCTCAGCTCGAGCTGCAGGAGATGGTACGGCGCGCCGCCCTGCACGATCTGCAACGTCGCGTAGACAAAGACGAGCGTGCACGCCGTCGTCAGCACAGAGCGCATCGGCACCAGCACCGACCCAAAGGCGCAGCCGAGCAAGCAGAAGACAGTGAGGGCAGTCGTGCCGATGACGAGCGGAAACGCGGCGAGGACGGAGTCCTGCGTGTCTATGGTGACGGCGCCCATGCCGGCAATCTGCCACTCGTAGCCGCCCGCCTGGGACACCTCCTCGAGGTAGGACCGCGCCTCGTGCAGCCACCTGCGCGAGACGTCGCCAAAGGGGTCTCCCTTGATTACGTAGAGGAAGGTCGCATCGCCGTCCTTGGTGAAGAATGTCTCGATGAGGGAGCGCAAGTGCCCCCCGGTGGTGGTGTTGGAGAAGGACGTGCCCGCGTCAAACGCCATCCGGACGAGCTCAAACGGCACCTGCTCGCCGGGGCGGGGGGCGTGTCACAGTGAGGAAGCGCGTTGGAACGAGGGCCACGACCCGAACGGTCACCGGCTCGCCATTCGCAAAGAACGCCCCCGTGATGTTTTGACGCGGCGTGCCGGGCACGGCGAGCACCATCTGCTGCAGCACCTGCAGGGGCAGGGGCAAGGGGTCGCTCCCACCAACACCCAATGGGAGTACCGGGGCTGCGCCGCGCCTCGTGTGCGGCGGCAAAAAACGGGGCGGAAAAGAGCGGCTGCGGATTGGAGGGCTTGCTGGTGACGAGGATGTAGTACGGGTAGAGCAGCCCGGTGCCAAAGCGCGTCTCCAGCTCCCGCAACGCCAGCCCAGCTGGCATGGAAGCGGGGACCAGCGAAGTGAGCTCGGCCGAGTACACCGAATCGACACTGGTGACGTACAGGAAGGGCAAAAAGAGCAGCGTCAGCAGCGCCAGCACCGCCGAAGGACTCGCCACCACCCACCGTCCGACGAGCTCCCACACGTCGCGCGGCGGCGGCGGCGGCGGCGGCGGCGGCTGCGGCGCATCCAAGAATGCGACACTCCCACGCTTGCGCGGCGAGTGCGGTGTGCGAGCGCCGCTCAGACCTCGCGCAGCAGCGGCAGCCTCGCCAGTGTGGGCGGGGACCGAATCTGCTGCTCTCGCGTTCGGCCCGAACGCTTCCAGCGCCAACGACGGGCTGTGCAGACCCGACGGCAATGGTTGGCCGCTGCTCCACGCGCGGCCGCATCCGCCGCAAAACCGCCCGCCCGCATTAAGCGCGCCGCACTGCGGGCAAATCGCCTCGACGGCGGAATCCTCGGCAACCCCCCCCACTCTGCCCGTAGTCTCGGCTGAGGAGGCACAGGCCGCCCCCGCAAGGGCACGCGCCCCCTCGACGTCGAGCGAGCCTGCCGCCGCCGGGGCCTCCAGGACTGCGCTGGAGGGACTGCCGCCACATCGGGAGCTCGAGTGTTGCCTGCGGGCAGGGGCGGTGGAGGGGGGACTCAATGCCACTTTCGGGGAGGAGCGGGCAAATCTAGATTGGGCGTGGCGAGGCCTCCAGAGCGGGAAAGACATGGCAGAACCAACGGCAGCGCCGACAGCGTTCCCGACAGTGGCGCCCCCAGTCCGCTCCCACCACGCAGAGGAAGACGAGGATCCGACATCCGCTGTTGCTGGGTCCTTGCCGGCCCGGTGACACGCCTCGGTGCCCGAGGGGGCGGCCGTTTTGACAGCCTCCCCACCGTCAACCTCTGTCGTCGCTGTCGACTCTGCGAGGATCGAGAGCAAATCATCGTCCGCAGCCAGCGTCGGGTGATACAAGAGGCCGTCGTCCGCCGACGTCGCCGGCTGACTCCATGCTTGACCGCATCCACCGCAAAACCTGCCCCCCGCTTTGGGCGTACCGCACCGCCCGCAAAACTTAGGAGCGGACGGCTTCGGCCTCACTTGCCCCTCCACGAGGGGGCGTCCGGTGAATGGGTCGAATCTGGGTGGCGGCGCTGCCGGCCCCGGCTGGGGGCCCCATGCGCGCATCCAGTCGGCCCAGCTGTCGTTTCTGCGCATTGGCTTGTTGGCTCCAGAGCCCCCCAGCGGTGGTGAGGGTGGCGGCGACACCCCTCTCGTCGATGGCGGTGGCAGCAGCAGCCTCATCCGCGTTGACGTTCCTGATTGCGGCGGCGTGCTTGGCGCGAGGGATGGATGGGCGAGGCGCGAGCGCGAGGGGGGCGGAGAGGGCGGCAATGACAAGGTGTCCGGGTCCCCAAAGCCGGTATCCCCAAAGGGGGGCGGAAAAGCGGGATGGTGCGCCGCCGCCGCCGCTTTGCTGTCGATGCTACTGCTGCTGCTGCAGTGAACACGACGGCCGGTTGGACCGGCCTCGCCGCCCTCACCGCCCTCGCCGCCCTCGCCGCCCTCGCCGCCCTCGCCGCCCTCGCCGGGGGCCAGAGAAGGGAAGGCGAGGAGGAGTGCGGGGGCGAGCGACATGTTGACGAGCAGCGTGGTCAGGACGGACGCGCACGAGCATAGCCCGTTCGAGAGCATCCAATCGAGCGGAAAGAGCGCCGTCGCGAGAAACGCAGCAGCGAGGACGACGCCGGACATGATGATCGTGTGACCCGAGTCACGCAGCGCCACACAGATGGAGGTGTCGGTGGGCTCTCCGCGCCGCCTCGCCGCAGCGAAAGCGGCAAGCAGGAAGAGGCAGTAGTCGATTGAGATTGCGACAACAGTGCAGCAGACCAGCGCAGGGACGACGAACTGGATCGGCAGCCCCGCGAGCGCCGCGAGACGAATGATGCCGAGGGAGACGCTGATGGAGACAGGGATGCAGATCAGGGGCACGAGCAGCAAGCGGAGCGAAGCGGAGAAGACGCGTGGCAAATCGCGCGCGCGGCCAGTGTGCGCTTGCGACGCTAGGAAGAAGAAGAGCGCGACCATCGCCAAAGGCATTGACACGAGGTCGACGCGGTGAAAGTCCTGCTGCGTCGCCTGCTGAGTGTCGATGCGCAGACGCGCATCGCCACCGACCAGCACCGAGTACTGCGTCGAGTCCAAACACTCCTCTGCTGCCGCCACCGCAGCCGCGTCGAGGTACTCTTGCACCATCGCCACACGGGTGCGTGTCGTCTTGTACCGCGGGGATAGCGGCACCGCAATGAGGGTCGATGCGCCGCTGCCGCCGACGAAGAGGCGCCGGATGGCGGCGGCAGAGTTGGCGGCGGCGTCAGTGAGCGAGACGAGTCCCTCCTTCATCAGGTGCGTCTCGCAGAGGAAACGCAGCTGCTCGGAACCGCGCAACGTGCCTGCCTCGAGCTTAGTCACGGCATTGGGTAGCAGCTCGGGCATCAGCCCAGCCACCGCGTCCCCCGCCTCTTGCCACACCTCGGCGAGCGCCTCCTTATCCCTCTCGCGCTCCTCGTCAGACATGTACCCGCCCGACGTGAGCCCGCTGCTCACGCCGAAGCCGACGTCCCCCGCCTCGCTTCCCACCGCACCGAGCACGTCTCCCAGGCCCGAGGCCACGCCTCGATCGGCGTGCACGCCGAGGGAAACCGAGAGATGACGGCGAGCGGGGCCTGCCACAGCACTGCTGCCGCCGCCGCCGCCCCCCTCACCCGCCTCCTCGTCGCCCGCCTTGCCCTCCTCGCCATCGTTGCCACCATCGCCGATGCCGTCGCTGCCCGGCCTCCGCCCGCGGCAGAAGCGCCGCACACGCTCCGCGGCAACACGCGAGAAGGGGATGTGGCCAGGATGGTCATTTCCGTGCAGTGTCGAGTAGAAGGCGTCGCCCACGATCTTGGAGACGTCGTTGAGCGCCACCTGCGGCAGTGGTGGGAAAGCAGCGTCGAGGGCCGTGTGACACGGTGGCAGGAGCTCCCGGGTTGGAAGCGGAGGGGAGGCGGATGGGAAGAGCGGCGTGGCATCTAGGATGGGCTCGCCTCTAGCTCCTCCTCCGAGTACGGGTCCTCCGAGGGCGCCAGCCATTCCGGCTCGGGAGCCGGCGGCGGCGGCGGTGAGAGTGGTGATGGAGACGGCGGCGGCGGCGGCGGTTGCGGATGCAAAGGCAGCGGCATGACCGGCGGCAGAAGCAGAAGCGGCGGCGGCCGGAGAGGGGGCGGCGGCGGCGGCGACTCTGCCGGTGGTTGTGGCGGCAGTGCTGGGGGTGGAGGCGGAGGCGGCGGTGATGACAGCAAGTGCGGAATTGCAGGCGGCGACGGACGAATCTGCGCTGCGAACTTTGCCACCTCTCCCTCCGGCGGCGGTACGGTTCCGTCGTAGGAGAGGGGGTCGTACGTATCGTACGCGATGGAGCTCTGTGCGAGGTGGAGGCGGAGGCGGCCGTCGGCGGCCAGGAGGCGGGCTAGCATCCGCTCCTTGTTTTAAGGGGGCGATGAAGAGGAGGAGGGGGGGGGGGGGGGGGGAGGGGGGCACCTCTTGCGAGATGGACTGCCGAATGCCCTCCGTGAAGGACGAGGCGAGGGAGAGGTTGGCGGGCAACATGGCAGCGACCGCCGACACGTTGCCGAACGGGAGCGCGTCCAGGCCTGATCGTGGTGTGTTGCCGCACTGTGAGGGACGGGTGTCTCATGATTGGGGATGGCCTGGTGCTGTATGGAGAGTTCCTGTCAGGACGCCGAGGCCAAAGGACTGCCCGGCGCCGCTTACGCGCTCCATCAGCTCCGCCTCCGCCTCTGGTGAGCGCGTCGCCTCGCGCAATATCTGGTTGGCGCGGAAGAGGAGGCGAGCGAGCGTCGCTGCGTCGTAGATGGCCGTCGCGTTGGCGAGCAGTCCCGCTACGGACGCGGAGACATTGGGGAGTAGCTCGCCTTGCACCCGGGCCTCCGCCTGGGCGCGCCACTCGTTGAAGTAGCGCTGCAGCTGCAGGTCCGCCGTCCCCGCCGAGATGGGCGCGTCGACTGGCGCCCCGTCCGGCAGCACCGAGAAGAGCGAGAAGGGGGTGCCAAAGATGCCGCGTGGCTGGTGGGCGTCGAGCTGCGCCGCGAGCTTTGTCGCAAACTCACGGACCGGCTGAGTGACGATGTCGCAGCCCTCGAGGCACGTCACGCTCACCACCGCCTTGTCCCAGACCAAGCTCGGGAAGGCCTCGCCCAACGCTGCCTGCGCGAGCGCCGACTTTGTCGGCGAGAGGCCGTTTGACTCGGTGGTGGCATAATCGAGCGCGTCGTGGGCGCCAAGCAGGACGGCGGCGGTGACGACCAGCCACACACACAGCAGGCACTCTGCAGACGTCCGCAGCCAATTGTAGTAGGTGCGGGCGTACCTCTCGCGCCAGGAGTCAACCATCGACCAACGCAAGCTCGCCGTCGTGCGGAGTCCGCCTCTAGGCGCACCACCGCCGAGGGGTGGCAGACCCCTGCCCAGCTCTGGCGAGGACCAGGCGGCCCGCATACGTAGACGAGTAGACGATGATGTTGTTGTCCTCGCCGCCGCACCACCTGCGGTCGACATCGCGTGGCGGGTGAGCAGAGCAGAGGAGAGGCCCCTCTCTCTCGTCGGCCCAGCCGGCTCACGCTCGCGAAGGGGCTGTGACGGAGGCTGGCCGTGTGCGCGCGCGGCAAGGGTGGCGGCCGAGGCGGCGGCCGCTCCAAGCTCCTCTGGGTCACACCGCGGGCGAGCGCGGTGGGAGCGGCGGGCAAGGCGTCTCGTGGAATTAATCACGGGGGTGGAGTGGTGTCGGGTGTTGGCGTCGGGCGTGCGTGCACCTGTGCCGTGGAGGCGCGCCAAGGCACTAATCTCCCGTTTTTTTTGTGGGTTTATGGTCTAGAACTGGGGGGGACAGCTAGCTCCAATTTATTTATTTCTACAAAAAAAAGATAACTTCAGATTACCCGGGGGTTTTGAGATTCGCCTCGCAGATCACTCGGCGTTTTCCAGATCACCCGGCGTGAGCGATTTCAGATCACCCGGTGCGGCGAAATGTCGTTTCCAGGTACCCAACACGGCGAAATGTCTGCAGGTTACCCGGCGGGCGAATTTTCTTCTTCCAGTTCACCCGGTAGTGGGATAATCTGAAACCGTTTGGGATTCACGACTGCGGTCATTCAAGCAAACGAGGCCGGGGATTCCGAGTGGGAGCTCTCCTTAGGACCACGTGCCGCAGGTGGCTGGACGAGGTGCACGCTCGCAATGGCTGCGCACGCCGTGGTTCACGCTGAGTCCGGCCTTTGCGCCTAGCTAGGCAGCCGTCCGTGTCCGGGTAAGCTGAAACGAGAGATCCAAAATTTGCTCGAGCGGGTAATCTGAAAGAGAAAAGTATGTTGCCGTCGGGCCCTGAGAAATTTTAGCGACCGGGTAAGCTGAAACATGAATTGTGGGAGACTGGGTAAATCGCGCTAAGCAGGAAAATATCGTTGGCCGGGTAACCCATCCCTCCGTGCTCAGCTGTTTCTTTTTTCACCTTTCCGCGTCGCCACATGACCTGTATGTCGCATGTGCCCCCCCCCCCCCGCCCCCCCCTTTTCGTTCGCTTTTTTTGGCCTTCCTTCCTTGCAAAATTTGTTTGACACTGCTTAAAAAATCACAGCGAATTCCCCCAGCCTACCCTATACCCCTATTCGCTATTGGCCTGCACTCGAGCGTCGAGGGCCTGTGCAGTAAGAAGTTTCTCCTCGAACCTGGCCTGTGCAGGGTTTCCGGCCCCAACGGCCAGCTGCCAGAACTAGAAAGCCAGAGCCCAGAGGGCCCCCAGCAATTTGTGTTTCCGAAATTTCCAGGGAAACGAGAGCGGGTGGGTGGTGCTCCACTCTGGCCGAGCTCTCGAGTTTCCCTGAGTCTGAGATGAGATGCTGGTCTGAGAGATTTTTCAAACCAACAAGAAATGATCTCAGGCAAATCTGAGGCAAAACTTGACAAAAATCGGGAGAATCGGCAAACTGCCCGGCCCCGGGTATTTTTAGGAAAGGTCTACCCGGGAGGGGGGGTCATTTAGGTATACCGGGTATCGGTAATTTGCCGATTTTGCTGATTTTGGCCCCAGACGCCAGACCCGGAAACTCGGCTCATGTGTGCTGACACAAACATCTCTCTCTTAGGTTCTTCGGGCCCCTTTAGGGAGGCAAACCCTGGCCGGCCCCTAGAACCCCAGGTAAGGCCCAGGTGTGGCCTAGGGCATCAGAAGGGACCAAGAGGAGTCCAGTCTGAGCCATAGAGCCCATGTCTTTGCCCCCGAAGCAGGCGTGGCTCGGGCACCCCCCACGACCCACGTGATTATGAGAAGTCATTCCTAAATAAAAGAATAAAACAAAATCTTTCAAAGAAAAGAAACATGCGCTGTCTCCAAGCCGAGACTCTTTTTGCAGCGGTCTTTTGCAGCGGTCTTTTGTTGGGAGTCTAACAAAATTCTCAAAAAAGAAACACTTTTTAAGGGGGGTTCGAGTCAGCACATCCTTGTACAGCGGACCGCGAGGTTCTTCTCTCTTGACATCAGTGAGAGAAGTCATTCCTAAATAAAAGTTTGTTGACAGAAAAAAGAAACATCCGTGCGCACTCTTGCAGCGCCCAGCCGCCTCGCCGCGCCAGTGAGTGTCCGCAAGGGCCAGATCTATCGCGACCTACTCAGCCACATGCCTTCGAAGGCCGCGTCCAGAAGAGTCGCAACTGTGGCTGTCTGTTGGCTGATGCAAGCCCGGGGCGTGGCCCCGCCCGATGCGGACCGGCTCGAGCGGCTTGGGATCACAAAGATCGTGCAGCTCGTTCTCGTGCGCTCGATCGGCCGCGGCGCCTCGGCGATGCTGGACTTGCTTGCGCGGGTGCTCCTCCTGCTGATCGCGCTGCTCCTCTCGTGGTCGCCGGAGACACGGGCTGCTGCAATGCACCGCGTCGTCTGCGAGATGCGCCGTCACTCCCACCACCTAAGAAACTTGGGTACGATCCCTGAGATCACCGTTGACGGCGACAGTGACGATGTTTGCGGCGAGTCCGATGAGAACTACGCCGCCGACGCGCCCCGCCCCACCCCTTCGGGCGGCTCCGAAGACGCCTGTGCGCCCGCGGTCGCAGACTCTGCCGATGGCGGTCCGCCGCGCGTGCTGGTGTTGGGGGAGAGGGGCGTCGGCGGCAGTGCCCTCGTGGAGGCGCTTCGCGCCCTCGCCGCCGCCGAAGGCATCGACCTCCCGATCGAGCGCCACGTCGATGGTGCCCCGCCGCACAGTGTCGCCGTGCAGCTCAGCCTCGTCGTGTGGGAGGCGTCGCTCGAGCGGCCTCTCGCCGAGTACGTCGCAGACCACTTGCGCGCAGACGGACAGGGGGCGGCGATCGTGGTACGCGCCGCCCAGACGCGCGCTCGCTGTCACTGCTGCCGCCGACGCCCTCTCCCCTTCCCTGGCCATGCCTCTGCCCGACGCCTCACCCGCCGCCCCCGCCCCTGATTTCCCGAAGGTGTGCAGCAAGACGGACCGCCGTCCATGCCCGCTGCCCCAGATCCACGCGCTGGCGGAGGCGCACCCCTTCATCGCGGTGTCGGTCGAGAAGCAAACCAACGTGGCGCTCTTGTGGGGCATGGTGCGAGCCGCTTTGGCCGCACCGCCGTCTCCACCACCCCCGTCAATCGACGGGAGCGGGGCACCATTGCCAGGCAAACTCTGCGCCCCTCTTGCTCTCGCCGCGAATGCGCCAGACCAGATGGGGTCCCATGCGCCAGACCAGATGGGGTCCCTCTCTCCGGCTGCGGCGCGTCTCAAGGACAGCATGCTCTCCTTCACTCTCCGGACAGAGACGGCTTCGCTTCACCGTTCTCGTGGGCGCTGAGACGTCTGCGTCATCCCCTGCGCAGGCACCTTGCCGCTCGCAGCTCTCGGCACATCGAGGCCATCTCCACGCCGAGGCAGCAGCGGGGTGTTCGGCGGGTTGCGACGGCGTTCTTCCCATTCCTCAGCGTGACCCCCCACACACACAGCGCCCGAGACCCCCCCCCCCAAAATCATACCATGCGGGGCGGCGGACCCCGCCGGTCGCCGCGCGCTGAGTCCCGCTGCGCGCTGCGAGAGGCGCCCGGGCGCCCCCGGAGTTGCGAGTTGGCTCATTTATCTTTACCACTGCGCAAGAGCCGCGCGCGCACCACCGCATACATGGTGCACCGTCGGTCCACGCTCCACGGCGGCAGCGCGCACCCCGCGCCAGCACACCGCACCTGTCACCTCTCGAGCAGCACGCACTTCTGTCTTCTCACGAGAAGCGCCGTCCACTCCGCGCGTTGCCGTTGGGCTGCAGAAAGGGCCAGCCAGGGGGGGGGGAAATCCAAAATTCCGTTCCGTCGCACCTGATGCTACTACAGAGCTCACAGGGTTGCAAGCACGTTGCAATGAGTAAGGAGGAGAAATGGGAAAAGAAATCACTCGTGGGGGCGAGGCCCCCCCCGCGCCGCCTAGACGTTTGCAGCGAGGCGACCGGGCGATAGCTGGCCCTTCGTTTGTACTGAGCGGCGCCAGCATAGCTTGCATGGTGCTCGAATCCGCTCCTCTGCCGACTCACCTCCTCCACTATCTCCTCACGCTGGGAGTGGCCGCGCTTCTCAGCGTGGTGGCGTTCAACACGCTCTCCCGTCCTCGCGACTTTCTTACCGCGTGTGGAGTCGCGCTGACAAAGGTGCAGCGGACAGCGGCGGAGATCGAGCGGAAGACGTTCCACATCGCCGGGCTCCTCGTGCCAACGACCCACCAGTTTTTGCTCGCCATCGGCTTCGAAAATATTGCTTGCGTCCAAATCTGTGTCGTCATCACGGTGGTCGGCTGGACGCTCGACCTGCTGCGAGTGGCTTTTCCCGGCGGCGTCATCGCGCGTAACTGGCCGCTCGCTTCGCTGCTGCGCGAGTCCGAGCGACAAAGGCTCACTGGTGCGCCCGCACGTTGCCCCCCCTAACAGCTGGCCCGCTGACCCTGCGCGGCTGTTTTTCTTTTCGGACAGGGGGATGCTACTTTTCTCTCGGCTGCACCCTCACGATCGCCTTTTCGCCGCCGTCGATCGCCACCGTTTCGATGCTCTTTCTCATACTCGGCGACATGTCGGCCGCCATCATCGGCGTCTCGTTTGGCGGAGAGACTTGCACCATGCGACTGGGCCGACAGGGCAAAAAATCGCTCGAAGGCTCACTCGCGATGTTTGCCGTCTGCTTTGCCACCTGCTGCAGCGTCTTCCTGTCGGTGGGCCGCGGGGCATGGACCCCGCCTCGCAGTGGCCCCCGTCACAGAGGTTGGCTTGCGTGAGTAGGTCGAACTACGCGAGTACCCTGCCTTTGCCGGTGCGCTCGCAGCGACGCTGGTCGAGCTGCACGAGCCATTCGGGATCAACGACAACTTGACGATACCCATCATCTCCTCGCTCGCAATGCAATGGGCCTTTTCGCGAGTAGCGGCTTGCGATGCACCCGAGACGATCGAGTGGGTGCGCGCGATGGCCCAGCAGGCGGTTCACCACCCGGGAGGCTTGTAGACGTAGAGCGCGTGACGTGATAAACGAAACAAACATTCAGGAGCGAGCGAGCGACGTGTACGGCCGGAATAGCGTGTGACCTTACAACTTTGAGGGGGAAACGTGACTCGTGAGACCTCCCTCTAAAAATATTGCTATCCGCGCTAAATAAATAAATAAAAACGGACACCTCTCTACTGTGAGATGGGTAAATGCTATCCGCGCTATTTTTTTAATATCAATTTAATATGTAATATCTAATTAAAAGGTGTTAAAGGGGAAAATAACAACCCTCAAGGTTAAAGGACAATTCTTAATTTACAAGCCTCGTGCAACGACAAACAACGGACGGATGGTCCCTAGACTAGTAGGGCCTAGAGCTTGTCGCATGGCGGTCGCAGTCACACACACACACACACTGCACCGCGCCGCGCGCGCACACACGCGTCACGCCCGACCCCGCCCCTACGCCCTAGGTGGGAAAGAGATGAGGAGACGGAACAGCCCGGGGAAGAAGCTAACAAACACGTACGGGAGGTTAGCCGACAAATTCTTTTTCGGTGTTGTGAAATTCTTTTTCGGTGCGCGCCAGTCCCGTGTGCCCAGAAAGAAAGAAAGAAAGAAAACAGGCAACCGCCAACCCAAGGGAGGGATGGGTAGGATGGGCGCCACTCCCGTGTAGCCCCGCTAAAATTCTCAGCGGTGTGTGTGTGTGTGTGTGTGTGTGTGTGTGTGTGTGTGTGTGTGTGTGTGTGTGTGTGTGTGTGTGTGTGTGTGTGTGTGTGTGTGTGTGTGTGTGTGTGCTCGCATATGCCATACTGTGACCTGGTAGCATAAAATGCGAGATCGCCCCATATTACCCGAGAGATTACCTGAGATTACCCGAGATCACCCGAGGCTACTAATGATGGGGACTAGCTTGGGATGGCTGGCTGGCGGGCCTCGAGTTGACGGACGGACACCTGCGAGGGCAGGCAGGGTGCGATTCTCACGGAGCCCCGGATGCCGCACCTTGATGAATGATGGCCAAGGCGAGCAAACCCTGGAAGCCACCTGCCGAGCAAACCCTGGGGAGCCCAGCCAAGTGTAATTTGGGAAATCACATTCATCAGCGCGCGCTCGCTGCTCGCTCGCTCGCTGCTTGAGCACTTGAGCACTGGATGGGGTCGATTCCGACCCCTTTGCGCTGTGATCTCGCGTTTTCAGCGCACGCACGCACGCACGCACGCACGCACACAAGAGAGAGAGCAAATCACACACACACACACACACACACACACACACACACACACACACACACACACACACACACACACACACACACACACACACACGATTAGTAATCTATCTCGCTCGGGTTACTCTCGGGTAATCAGCAGGTAATCGTTCGTTACACAGATACACAATACCAGCGAGGTTAGGCACCTTACACTCCCCCGCAGTATCGCACCTCTTGAGCGACACTACGTTTCCGCAGCTGGGGATTCTCCGGGCCCCTCTTTGTACCCGAGAGAGATTTTTAGCAATACCAAACAAATCTAACACTCACGCGTCATTTGGGGCCTCCCTGTTTTGTTTTGTTTGTACCCGTGCTGGCCGGATTCCTCCTCCGAACAAGTCAAGTTCGATCGGCCCCAGTCTCGAACTGGCAGCCACTATCTCACCGGAGGTACCATGTCCGAGGAGGCCACCGGCCAAAAGCGCATGTCTTGAAGGTCCGATACTGGAAGCCCATAAAGGCTCCTTTACAGTGCACTTGGAGCACTTGGAGTGCAGTCATTAGCCTCACATCCAGGGCCGGGGAGCTCAGAAGCGCACCCAGCGGGCCGGATGATCGGGATCGGGTTGCGGGCAAGAAAGCCCTAGCCCCGGGGGTGCGCGTTCGCAGGGCAAGGGCCTTAAAGTAAACACGGGTCTCCGAGGGTTAGCCCCGCGTACCGGGTTTCCCCTTAACTGCAGGACGCCCCCTCTACTCGGAGCTAATGAACACCATACTGCACGCCCCACACCACCACTCTACACTCACTTGCGTCGGCGTTTGAGTAGACCCCCCCGCCTGAGGGCTCACCCCTCGCCTTCCTAGGGTCTCAACCCTCCTTGATTCGCTCTCTTGCTCGTCTCCCGAGCGTTATGCGACGACCGGTCTGGTCGTTTCCCTCGTTGTTGGTGTCGCTTCCTCCGCTGCCGCCCTTCATCTCCGCCAGCTTCTCCCGGCTCCACCGCTTCCGAGGGCACTTGGAGCACTTGGAGTGCGGTCAGACAGTAACCTCACGCCCAGGACCGGGGAGCTGAGAAGCGCACCCAGTTGGCCGGACGCTCGGCATCGGGTTGCGGGCAAGAGAGCCCTAGCCCTGGGGGGTGCGCGGTCGCAGGGCCATAACACGGTTCTCCGAGGGTTAGCTCCGCGCTCCGGGTTTCCCCTAGCAGCAGAACGCCCCCTCTACTCGGAGCTAAAGAATACTCTCCGAGGGTTAGTCCGCGCTCCAGGTTTCCCCTAGCAGCGGAGCGCCCCCTCTACTCGGAGCTAGTGGACACGACACTAGCTAGTGATACGAGAATACGCACCGTCCCCACGCAATACCTTACTCGAAGATAATACGAGAATACGCAGCTGCGAGGCACCTGTCGAGCAGCTTCCGCGGCGAGCAGCTTCCGCGGCCGTGGGGCGTGGGGCGTGGGGGGTGTGTGGGGGGGGGGGGGGGGAAAGGGAGGCGGCGGTAGCAGGGGCGGCGAGGGAAAGGATTAGGGAAACGGCGGCGGGGGGGGGGAAAACCACCGAGGTATAGGAGGGGGAACCGCCAAAGAGGCGGTGGAGGTGGCGGAAACCCCGGGGGGCCAAGGGGGGGGTCCGTAGGGGAAGCCGCCAAAGGGGGGGGGGGGCAATAAAGGAAGAGGCGGCTGAGGGGGAGGCGGTCCAGGCGGGGAGGGAGGGGACAACCTCGGGGAAGGCGGTGAAGGAGAGGATGGCGAGGGAGGTGACGGGGAAGGCGGCGGCAGGGGGGGGAAGGAGGAGGAGGCGGGCGGGGTGGACGGCGCCGACCAGCTTTTTCTTGCTTGCGCGAGCGACCCTTGCCCAACCAAGCCGCCCCATCTTGCGGCTCTCCCCGGGTGCGCGCCACGCGTGCGCATTTCCGTCACTCGGCCGTCGCCCTTGCCTCATTCTCTCCTCCGATGCCCCCCTGCCCCGGGACAGGCGGCGCAGCGGGCGGCGGCAGTCTCGGGCGACGTTTGCCATGTCTGATCAGCTCTCCTACCCAGACCTGGTGCTGGACCCGTCGATTCGGGACTGGGTGCTCATTCCCATCTTTGTCATCATGTTCCTGATGGGCATCCTGCGCAATAACGTCACGAAAATGATGCGGTCGAGCGAGAAGACCAAGCGCGACACGGTGCAGCAGAACAACTTGCTGATGCGCGCGCGGCGCCTGCGAGCCAACGCGGGGTGGGTGCCCGCTGCGGCGTTTGCAGCGCGCAAACACCATTTCTGTGACAAGGAGAAGGGCCTGTTGATGCAGAAGCAGGACGCGCCCAACCCGATGGCCGCCATGTCGGTGCGCATGTACATCCCGGCCCCGCCCGCCGTAGCCGCCGCCTCTCCCTGACGCCCACCGCCGCGTCCCCCGCAAAGGACCCGAACATGATGAGCAAGATGATGCAGGGCAACATGGCGATGATGGTGCCGCAGATGCTGATGATGGTGATCATCCCGCACTTCTTCTCTGGCTTCGTGCTGGGCAAGATTCCCTTCCCGCTCACCCCCTCCTTCAAAGGGATGCTCCAGCGTGGGGTGAACCTGTCGACGCTCGACACCGCCTACATCACCTCGATGTCATGGCGCGGCAGCCTCCCTCGTTCGCGCGCGCGCGCGCGGCAGCGCACTTGAGAGGGGCTGGCACCTGGTGGTAGGTACATCCTCGCAATGTTTGGCATGCGCGGCCTCTACTCGATCGTGCTCGGCGCCGGCTCAACGACAGATGACTCTGCGCTCATGCAGCAGCAGATGGGCATGGCGGCAGGCGGCGGCCAGCCGGGGCAGCAGCCCGATTACAACAAGCTCTACGCGACCGAGGCGGAGAACCTGCAGATCACCGAGCACAAGTTCCACCTCTCTGCTGCGGAGGAGAAGCTGCTTCGCGGCGGCAAAGCCGATGGCGTGACAGCCAGGGGCAAGGCGAAGCGCGCGTGAAGAGGACTTTGCCGACCAGCCTGGCGGAAAGCCGTCGACCGCATGGTCGTACGGCTCGTGTTGCTGCTGGTACACTGCGGCTCTCTCGCGGTTCTCCCGTTATTTGTGTCGAGCTGCAACTCGCTGTCGTCGGCTGTCGCTTTCGCTTTTTGGCTTTTCCCCCTCCCTGTATATGTTTATCTTCACACTCCGCATGGCCTCGGCGCATGGCCTCGGCATGGCCTCGGCACGGCCTCGGCTCATGGCCTCGGCGCATGGCCTCTCGGCATATGGCCTCGGCATGGCCTTGGCTCTGAGTCTGACGTTGCTCTGGCATCGCCCACCCCGTGCGGCACGATTCTGGCCATCATCGAGAGAGCGGAGGTGGCGAGGACGAGGACGAGGACGATGCTGGTCAGCACCTGTACTCATCACTTGTAAGCAGCATTGCTACTCTCAAGATGGGTATTGGTTAGCATTGCTACTCTTGAAGATGAGCATTGGTCAGCATTGCTACTCTTAAGATGAGTGTAGCTGCGCTCAGAGAAGAGGACGAGAACGAGGACGATGCTGGTCTGTTGAAGAGCTGCAGAGCTGCCACTCGCCGCTCGTGACGTGTGACTTGCACAGCTTGCAACTTATGGCTTGCAGCCTGTTGAAGCGCACCTGCTGCAGCGGGCAGCCCCCGCCCCCGTAGTTGGCGTAGCTGAACCAGGTCCACGCGCGAGCCAGCGTCGTCAGTGCGTCGTCAGCGCCGTGGTGTGCAGGCTGTAGCGATGCGCGGGCGAAGGGCTGCGCGCGCGCGTGCCAAGCACTGTCGTGCGCAACCGCCAGCCTAGCTGCGTCGTCGCAATCGACTTTTGTGCATTGCCACGTAGCCGTCCCCCCCGCATTATGCATTCGATCCGCATGTTGGTCGGACATATACTCTGTGCATACCACCAGAATATACCCTTTCTTATATTTTTTATCTATTATCTGAAACATATTCAGTAAATCACGCGTGTATTATGATATTCACGCGTGCATTATAGGATAATGTCCGCGGGAGTATTGCTTAATTCCCGCGGGACCGTGTATTTTATTTTTGCTTGGGCGGCACTCATGCCGGGGTAGGTAGGGTAGGTCTGGGCCCTCCCCTCGGGGTTTTCCCTCTCTTCACACCGGAATATATTTCAGATAATACACGCGTGAATATGGTTACTTCCCCCAGGATTGGTCTTCTCTGCCTGCGGGAACACCCTCGGGCGGCCGGGTGGGGCTGCGGCTGGAGCTAGCATGGCTCGATAGAGCCGAGACCCCGTGTTGAGGCGGCGCTCCTGTGGGCGGCTGTGGAATCGGGAGATTCGACCTTAGATCTCCAGTTATCTCATCCCAGTGGATGGACGTCCGGACGTCCCTTTGTGTTCCTCTCGCCGTCCGCCAGCGAGACGCTCTGTCGCTGGCGGCCGCAGTTTTCTGTGAGGTGGGAGGAGAGGAGAGGACGCAGTGAAGATGGCGCAGCAGCAGGCCCCGCCAGCTGCGCAGGCGCCCATCGTCGTCGTCGTTGACGAAGTTCAGATCACCAGTGATGCAGCGCTCGTTCTCGCTCCAGGGGCTCAGCACGTAAAGGACCACACGCCTTGTCTGAGTTGGACCACGGTGTACGACAATGCAGGAGCAGTGACCAACTACACCCTGGGGCAGAGTGACGCCAAGGGCGCCTTCCTGCCGCGGTGCCGGTTCAGCGTGGACCAGCAGACAGGCACCCTCCTCGATGGGAACCACGTTCTCAATGTGCTTTTCAATGGGGCATTCTGGTCGCGGCTTCTGACCGCTCTGGACGCGGCGAACCTCTTTGCCACTTCCATGGAGAAGATCGGCGTGCTGCACCAGCGGCTCGCCGGTCTGGCAATGGCCAACCCAGGGGTCTGGGTGGTCTCGCACTCGGACATCTTTCTCGGTGAAGACTTTGACGCGCCCGCCGTCCCGGCGCCGGCCGCGGGGAGAGGCCGGGGCCGCGGTCGAGGGGGCCAAGCCGCAGCCGTGGTGCCGGTCGTGCCAGGACCACAGGACCTGCTCTTCCTTACGCAACTCCCGCTTCGCGCGCTCGAGGCGGGCGGGGAGTTGCCTCTGCTGCTGTACTCGCTGCTCTCTTTCCATTTGGGACCGATAGCTACAAGGGCGGCCCGCCTGCCCCCGGCAGCCCCCGCGAGACTCACGGCCGGCCTTCTCCAAGGAGCTATCGTGCAAAGCGTGGGGGCGGCGGCCGCCAACCCTACGATGCTCGCGCTCCAAATCCCTCGCTTGCTCAAGGGCGCTTCGCTCCCCGTCATCTTTCAGTCTACCTCCGCGGACCCGCACACGAGGCTCGAGGACTTCACGGACTTGCTCCGCATGCAGGCCGGCGGGGTAGATGAGAGGCGGCGCATCGAGGAGCGGCGGATCATGCTCGCCACCTCGCTGGGCGCGCTCTACCAGCTAGTCATCCAGCCGTCGCCCTCAGTCTCGACTGCAAATACCTTGGTGAGCCGCCTGGCCGCCAAGATTCTGACCGCGCCTCAGCTTAAGCTCTCGCTGGCGGACCAGCTGGCCATCCTCGCGACGGCCGTTCATGATCGGCAGCACCTCGTCCAACCGGGGGCCTCCGCGGAGGATGCGGTGACCGCGCTGGTCGCGGAGGACCTGCAGGAGGCTGCGCTGCGCAAGCACGGGCGGGAGGGGCTTCTCCTGCGGAGTCGTGCGTGCGCAGGGCTCCTCTTTGCTTTCTTCTACTCCCTACTATCATCTCGTTCCCGTCCTACCAGAGAAGGTTACTTCCCCCAGGATTGGTCTTCTCTGCCTGCGGGAACACCCTCGGGCGGCCGGGTGGGGCTGCGGCTGGAGCTAGCATGGCTCGATAGAGCCGAGACCCCGTGTTGAGGCGGCGCTCCTGTGGGCGGCTGTGGAATCGGGAGATTCGACCTTAGATCTCCAGTTATCTCATCCCAGTGGATGGACGTCCGGACGTCCCTTTGTGTTCCTCTCGCCGTCCGCCAGCGAGACGCTCTGTCGCTGGCGGCCGCAGTTTTCTGTGACCCACCCACCTCTCCCTTGTGTTTTGTCTGGGGAGGGGCTTCTCCTGCGGAGTCGTGCGTGCGCAGGGCTCCTCTTTGCTTTCTTCTACTCCCTACTATCATCTCGTTCCCGTCCTACCAGAGAACGATAATACTCGCGGGAATATCGATAATACGCGCGGGAATAATCATAATACCCGCGTGAATTCCAAATGGCATCGGTGCCCACACCCCACCCCCAATCTTAGTGCACACATCCCCTCCTTAATACACCCTACTCACCTGTGCATCGACGGCGCGGGCGACAACGGGCCTGCAAGCCCGACTGCCTTGCGTGGTCCACAACGGCATGTTCATCCCGCAACTACTACCCGGTCATGCGCGCGCAGCGCGAATTCCGCACACTGATTCCGCAAGGCGGCCGAAGGCCGCCATTTGTAAATGTAGGGCCTACTCGCAAGGCCTGCCTGTTATCAAAAGAAATTGCGACCAGCATGGTGCGCCCTTGGCCAATACACGCCTTTCGGGGGCATTGGCTGATTTTGAGGAGAACTCAACTTTGCTGCTCGACTTTCGTGACTGGGAGAATGCGAGCTGCGTGTGCATCGTACTTGCGCCTAAAGCGCCTGTAGTCCGCCGCCGTGAGCAACGGCGTCGGGCGCAATGCACTGTAGTCGCCTTGCTCGACGCCGCGCTCGTACAGCCGGCGACGGACCGTGACTTCGCGGCCCTTGCGGAACCACGCGCCCGCGTCGTCGATGTTGTGGAACACGTGCGCGTGGTCCTCAATCTTGTGCACGGCACGGAAGTCGAGCACAGCGTTCTTGGCGCCCCACAAGGAGGGCTTGGAGGCGTTGGTGCCTTCCGCCCAGCCGAAGTCGTCCATGATCACGAAGCCTCCTACCTCAACCAGGTCGTACAAGTTGTACAAGATGTCCATCGTCGCGTCGTACATGTCGCCGTCCAGTCGCAGCAGTGCAAGCCGCTCGCTGCGGCCCTTGAGCTGGTCACGCAGCTTGGGCAAAGAATTGACAAAGAAGCCCGGCACCAAGCGAACTCCATTCATTGGGACCCCGTGCCGGCCGAAGTTGCGCGTCACGATATATTCGCTCTTGGCGAGCGAATCGTTGACCCACTGAGCCGTGTACACCGTCTCGTCGGGCCGCAGGCTGCCTGAGCGCGGCAGCGGCAGCCCCTGGAACGAGTCGCATAGGTACACACGCCGCTTCATTTGGTAGACCTCAATCGCCGCTTTTGCGAAGATAGACATTCCACCGCGCCACACGCCGCACTCGACGTAGCTCCCCGAGACGTTAGCGGCGCGCGCGTCGAGCAGCAGATTGACAATGTTCTTCAGACGCTTGTGGCCGACCATCGTCGTGCCGACCTTGGGCCAATTGGCCTCACCGACTGGACCGCCCGTGCTGTACCGCTCCACGCACTTCAGATACTTTGCCATTGTTTGCGCGGCGTCACACATGAGCGACGAGCTCGTCAGAACGCTGGCCAGCATCCGGAGGTAGGCGGCGTGGACGTCAACCCGCCCCACTGGACGCCCCTCCGCGTCGTGTCCAATGCCGGCCTCCGCCTGCGTCACATCGAGGTCACGAACCCAGTCCAGCGGCGGTGCAAGGAGCGGTCGCGCCATATCTGGATGGAGGCGAGGCTGCACTCACTAGCTGACAGGCTGCAGACGAATGCGCGCAGCCTCCGCGCGAGCTGGCACACAAGCCCTGGACACGTTTCGTAATCACGCGACGCGAGTGTTGCATAGTTTGAGGCCCTACATTTACAAATGGCGGCCGGAGGCCGCCTTGCGGCCGGCGCGCTGCGCGCGCATGACCGACTGGCAGTTCTGGACTGGAGTACAAGGTGTGAGCTGCAGACTCACATGGAAGAATTGAAGGTAGGGATGTAAAACTCGATAGAGTCAGCCCACTCACCCGGCTTCTGCGCTGAGCTGTCACACGCACCTTGGCTGTGCACGTGCTGCTCTCTGCATTGCTGGTGTGAATCGAGCCGGAGGCTCGTCTGTCCGGATGTAAAACTCGATAGAGTCAGCCCACTCACCCGGCTTCTGCGCTGAGCTGTCACACGCACCTTGGCTGTGCACGTGCTGCTCTCTGCATTGCTGGTGTGAGTCGAGCCGGAGGCTCGTCTGTCCGGATGTAAAACTCGATAGAGTCAGCCCACTCACCCGGCTTCTGCGCTGAGCTGTCACTAAGCTGTCACACGCACCTTGGCTGTGCACATGCTGCTCTCTGCATTGCTGGTGTGAGTCCAGCCGGAGGCTCACCTGTCCCCCAGCCCTCACATGTGTCCACGCATGTCACACGGACCGTGGGGCTGACCTACCTAGCAGTTGTGTCTTCTGTTGGCTCACCGAGCCGCGTATGGGGGCGCATCCTGGTCACCCAGTGTGTTCGCTGAGGCTCGCGAGCGGAACCGCGCCTTGCCATCGCACACTCTACTAACTGCGTCATGACAGCTTGTGTCCGTCATGTTCGCCGTCGCACACCGTGCGCGGCTGTCTACTGCACGACGGGCGGGAGGAGCCCGCGCGCCAAACGGCGTCGCATCCGTCGTCTTGCCGTCGCACACCGTGCGCGGCTGTGGTGTCGGCCAAGCTCGTCGTCTCGATCGCGCGGCCTCGCGCCGCGTCGACGTCATGTTGAACTTGGCCTTGTGCACCTCTCCGTACTCATCTTCTTCGAATTCACTTGGTGGCAGAGCGGGGATGGTGGTGGGAGCGTAAAAGAAGAGGATGGAGTTGCGGAGCTGGCGCGCGTTCGCTGCGTCGAGGCCTGAAGCACAAGTCGAAAACTGTGCGGCAGACGCTGAGATGGGCGAGTTGACAAGAAAGGTGAGCTTGTTTGCCGACAAGACCTTCGTGCCAAATCCGCTTTCTCGTGGGCTCTCCATAGCTTGTTGGGCTCTCCTCGGCGTTGCCCTGCGAACTTTGGTGAGCCTATTGGCTTTCCGATCAACGATGGGGAGCCGCCCTCGCGCTCGGCGCGCTCTCATCGCGGCCCATCTGGGCGCGGGTGGGGATGGCCGTGGGCACCTCGGAGAAAGAAATGTGACACATTTCTTGTTGGCTTCTAAATCTACCTCGGAGAGAGAGAGAGAGAGATTTTTAGTTGTTTGTTTTGCACCTCGGCGGCGCCCCTGGCTGTCGTTGTTGGATAGAGGTACGTCATACGCGGTTATGTATAAATACAAGTTCGAGTGTGACTCGTAGCTCCTCTCTCCATCCGTAAAAAGAAAGAAAGAAAGAAAACACACAACCCAAGGGAGGGATGGGAGAACGGCACGCCGCCACCACACAGGGATTTAAAGGAGAGGAGTGTGGTGCGCTCCGTAGTCATGTTGTCGTGAACGCTGCAGCTTTTCTTTGTTTCTGCATAAGCTGTTGCGCTCACGCGCGGAAGAATTGAAGGTAGATGTAAAACTCGATAGAGTCAGCCCACTCACCCGGCTTCCTGCGCTGAGCTGTCATTGGCCAGCTTGTGTACATCGACCCGGCTCTCGTAACGGCATTGCTCAAGCCGCTTCTCGACCACCGCCTGAACGCCGCCGACGGCTCATTCGACCGCGTCTTTGCGGAGCGGTTGGTGGCGCGTCATGTTGAACGCGAGCCGGCGGTAGTGGTGGCGAGCTCTGTGCTCCTCGCGGGCCTCGAAGCGCTCGCCACGCGCGGCGAGCTGCGTGAGGAGCTAATGCCGCTGTTGTGGGCCTGCAACGAGGGCGGTGGTGCACCGTTACTCACAGCCGACGACTTTGGCGAGGTGCTACTCAATGCTCTGCGAGTCGGGCGTGCTGCTGCTCGCCTCCGCCACTGCGAGCGGCTGCCTCTGGATGATGCCCATGCGGCTTCCGGACAAGCTTCCCGACGGCGTGCTAGAGAGCTGGAACCAGACCTTCGCGCCGGGCGAGGAGCAGCTAACCCTCCGTTGCCAGCTGCCGATCCTGCCGCTTGCCGCCGAGGTTTCCGCAGACTTAGGTGCGGTTTCCGCAGGTGCTTCTGTGCTTTCCGCAATTGCGTCTTGGCTTTAACTAGTGTGCTCCCCACCACTTTTTCGACGGCCCCTTTGCCACGGGCTTGCCCTACCTCCTCCTTCCTCCTCGAGTGCCAGTCGGCGCTCCTGCATGTGCCGCGTAGTTGCGCTTGGCATGCGCCGTCGCGTGCTCTCTAGTTGCATACCCGGTTAGGCCCCACCGTCATAATTGCCACTAGCGCATCTCGCGTTCTTCTCGGCGCGCAAGCTGTGCTCCCTCTTCTTAGCTATCCACTGCGCACGCCGCGACGCGCCGCCTCGCCGCCGCCCTCCATCTCCGGGGGGACATGCGGCGCCCCTTTGTCCGACTCCTGGGGGGGGGGGGGGGGGGGCAACGCGTTCTCGTGGCGCTTCCGTTTCGTTTGTGTGCAATACATGATATACATCTGTGAGTTGCATCGGCACCCGCTACACTGCTCGGTGCAAGATCTGCTGCTTCAAATCGCACAGCTCCCGACGAGTGTGAGTGTGAGTATCTCTCATACCTCAGTCGGGGTCGGGGGGGGGGGGGGGGGTCGACGAGGGCGAGGACCGGGGAACCGGAGAGAGGTGTGAGTCAGTCTCTACAGACTAGCGTAGACACAGACTCCGAGACGAGGCCGAGAGTAGTTACCGACCGCCGACCGCGGCGGGCCGCAAGCCGTGCTCCACACAAGAGACTCTTGTCAGCCCACCGCTTCGGCATACAGCTCTTCATAGCGTGCGAACTCCTCGCTCGTCATGCGCTGCTGGTCCTCCTCCGTGACGGCCGAGAAGGGCATTGGCAGCCCTTGAACCAGCACCACTTCCTCCTCCTCCTCCTCCTCCTCCTCCTCCTCCTCCGCCGGCGCCGCCGCCTCCGTGCCCGCGCCCTCCGCGCCCGCCCGGGACCGTGCGTCGGGCGAGTGTGCCGGCGCCGCCTCGCCTCCCTGACCACTAGCGCCACTCTCGCTGACGGTAGCCGCCGCTGCCCGCACCCGCTCCTCCCACGCTTGCGCCTGTGCGTCGCCTGCCGCGCCGTCTCCCGCCGCCGCCTCCTGTGCGTCCGCTCCCGTCGCGCGCGCCGCCGCCGCCGCCGCCGCCTCACTTGCCGAGAGCATCCACGGGACCGACGTTGGCGGCGCCGAGGTGGCTTCTCGAGCCGCTGCCGGCCCTCGCGACTTGCCGAGTGTGCTCTCGCCGCCGCCGGCAGCATGGCCCAGCCCGACACTGCGGCTGCCGCCGGCACCTCCCACGAGGCCGTCGGAGGCGTCACTGGCGGCTGGGTCGACACGGAGAGGCCGCTTGTAGAGTGGCGGCTCAGCGTCGCGGACGTCACACAGCGCCGCGCGAAGCTGCAGCAGGTCGGCCAGCTCCTCCTTCCGCTGTTCAAACTCGCGCAGCTTGACCGAGTTGTCGACCTCGGACAGCTCCGAGCCGCACGCCTACTAGGCGCGGGCGGGGTCCCGTGCAGAGTGCGCTGGGCTGCTGCTGCACGGGCAAGGAGCTGCCTCGCACTGCAGCGAGCCCGACGACATCATCCACCTACAAGTGTGAGTACACCAACATTGGGGCGGGAGTCCGGTCTCGTGCCGCGTACTCGGAGCACCGCGTGCATACACGCGGCTACGGGTACAGCGAATACAGCTGTGAATGCATGCGCTGAAGACGTCCTCGAGCATTGGGAGACAGCGATCCGTTTTCCGCTTCTAGGGTCCGCCGCTCCTCGCCGAGGTACGGGAGATACGGGGAGATACGGGGAGATACGGGGAGATACGGGGAGATACGGGGAGATTTCTGCTTCTAGGGTCCCCACGGGTTGACGGACAGCGAGTCTATCGTCGTGTGGCAGCCGCCGCAGCGGTAGAGCTGGACCTAGGCACGGTAAGGTAAGGTACACTTCTCCACACGCACGAGGTGGTGGGGCGAGGGCCAGGCTGGTCCCTCGCGACTCCGCGACGAGACGACAGGAGAGCCCCACGGCATTCAAAGTCCAAGGCCCGGTGCGCGTGGGTGAGTGGTTTGTGTGTGTGTGTGTGTGTGTGTGTGTGTGTGCGTGTGTGTGTGTGTGTGTGTGTGTGTGTGTGTGTGTGTGTGTGTGTGTGTGTGCTGCGCATAGCGGTAGAGCGGGACAAAAGGGAAAGAGACGGCCCGATTTCGGTGAGCTTGTGTCTTGTGTATGCTGATGGCAGCCCACGGGGCGGGCGGCAGGCACTGGGGTGTCTGTGTGGGGTCACCGGGGCAACTTCCACACGATCCGTCTAGAGTGCTGGACCTCGTTGGCGGTGCGCTTGTCCGCCTCGATCGTGCGCTCCATCGCATCGAGCTTGTACGCGACCACGTCCACCTGCGACAGGGCCGTCGCTGGCAGTCAGTCTGATCCCTTTTTCCTGCCCCCGTCTCGGCTAGGCAAAGAGGCGCACCAAAGTCGAGTAGTCGAGCCCATAAAAGCAGCGCACGTCGCCCGCGGCTAGAGGCCCCTCTTTCTGCTCCAGGATATCCGCACCCTGCGCCTTGGAGGCGCCGTCGGCGCGCACCCGCACAACCATGCGGTCAGCGTGCAGTCGGCCGAGGAACTGCCGCACTTGCTTTGTGCCTAGGTGCAGCCGCGCCGCAACGTCCTCGTCGAGCTGGAGCAGCGGGCTCCTGCGCGCGGTGGGCGAGCCTGATCAGAGCCACACCTCCGGCAAGACTGGACGCGAGCTGCCAGCACTCGCCTGCCGTTGGCAGTGCGCGGAGCCTGGATGAGCGCCTCCATAACCTTGGCCTCGCCCAGATCGAAGAAGGTCTCGGCCGTGAGGCGCGCCACGTGTGCAAATGCGGCTTCTGTGGAGTCTTCGTCTTGGGCGTGCATGGTGGCGCGGGACGGAGGCGGTGGCGTCGCGCAGGCAGTGCCGAGCACTCGAGGCGGCCTGGCCGGAAAGGGACCACGGCAGCCTCCACTGACTCGCGGTGTGTTGTCCTTCGCAGACGGGCTCGCCGCCGCACCACCTGCGGTCGACATCGCGTGGCGGGTGAGCAGAGCATAGGAGAGGCCCCTCTCTCGCTTCGGCCCAGCCGGCACGCGCTCACGGGCGCGCTGTGACGGATGCTGGCCGTGTGCGCGCGTGGCAAGGGTGGCGGCCGCTCCAAGCTCCTCTGGGTCACACCGCGGGCGAGCGCGGAGGGAGCGGCGGGCGAGGCGTCTCGTGGAATCACACTGGGGTGGAGTGGCGTCGGGTGTGGCGCAAGGTGTGGCGCAAGCCTGCGTGGCCGCCGCTTACAAGGCAATGCAAGAATTCAGACCCGCGTGGCTTCCAACATCCTGCTCGTGCAGGTCGGGACCCTGTCCTTCTCCCATCCCTCGTTTGCTTTGTTTTCTTTGTTTTCTTTCTTTCACACAGTTTCTCTGGTACACAGAATCATGCACACATACGTGCAAAATAAAGGCCAAGAGGCAAGCGTGAAGCGAGGAGCGAGGTGCAGGTTCGCGTGGCATCTCTGTACAGATACAGCAGCTGTAACGTGTAAGTAAGTACGGTTAGCGTTCCAGTGGCGAGAATTTATGGTCGAACCCCAAACCAGTGGTCTCACCGGCGTACCTTCCTACTGCCAGCCGGGCGCGGGGCACGCCAGTCTCTCTTCTATCTACGCCTCGTGCCGCGCGCGTTTTCGTATTTCGAAAAAAGAAAAGTGTGAAGAGTATACGCTCCACTACGACAGCTCAGTCGATCGATTCGACGAGCGAGCGATCCGAGGATCGAGCGGGGGACCGATAGGCTAGAGAGATCAACGCTGATCGATCAACGTCAGCCGAGACGCCCGAGTGAGTGGCTCACTATACGGCTTTTAGTGTGGTAGTCGAGATAGACTCACATGGTCACATCTCACAAGTCTTTAGTAAAACGCCAGCACTCGACACGACGAAGGTGTATTGGGCTCGAAGGCGCGGTGAACAAAACCGCCTCGAGCGTACCGCTAAAACACGAGCCGAGGAGGGAGGGGGCGGCGGCGGTGAAGAGGCGGGAGAGCTGGGTCCAATGTCTTCTGCTGCTGGGGGGGTTTATTCTCTGGCCCGCAACAGCCAACACTCGCCCGACATGAACTTTAGCCCGCTCCCTCGTTACGCCGCCCTCCGCAGGCTCAACGTCCGAGCTTTGTCCCCCGTCACCACTCCTCTCATTTCAGACCCCACACATGCGCATAGCTGTTCGCACTTCCGACCAATGGACGACCTATGGTGCAACACACGCCGCTGGTTGTGGGTGGGGAGGACGTGCCGCTCGCTCGATGCTGCGGGCGGCGTTGACGTTCACAGCGTTCACGAATTTGGCCCCAGCTCTTCGGCTCGCTCCGCTCGCCGGTGAGTTGGTTGGTTGCTGGCAGCACCCCAGCACCGGGGGGTCCTGAGAGCTGTTTGTTGGTTGCCGCTCGATTCACAGCACACAGTGCGAAACTAGGGTTGCAAATACGTAAAAATACGACGGCTGAGCACGGCGGGCTGCTCGAGTGAGAGAAGTAAGGATGGCTGGCATGCCTAGTTCTCAGCCATCCTTAGCAAGCCTGGCACAGTTTCTTCTCTACACGGCGGGGCAGTCGGAGAAGGGGCAACTCCGTGCACTGACGGTCGGCCGTCAGAAAACACGCCTCCGTGGCTCGGGTTACACCAATCCTCGCTACCCAACGCGGCCAAAGGATATCCACCTCGAGAACCTCGAGAACACGGCGGGCTCAGTTTCTTCTCTACACGGCGGGCTCTTGGATGGCTGCTCACGGCCAGCGCAGGCAGTGAAATGACGATGTGTGGCGCTCGCCGCTCACTCTGCGGGCTAATGTCGCTCACCATCCTGCTGCACGTCGCACAGATCGTGCTGTACCCACCGCTCGATGCAGCCAGCCAGCGGTCGGTGCGACAGAGCCAACCGCCAGCAACCGCGATAGAGCCGGCCATTTTGCGACCACTGGCGACCACTGCGGCGGCGGTAAGGGGAGGCGGCGGCGGCGAGCGGCTGATGATTGTGACTGCGACGCAGCCCGGCCCGTGTACCACCCGGCGCGGTGACCACGTGCTGAGGTGACATCGACATCCCCTCACCGCCAGCCGTTCCAGCTCTCTCTCTCTCTCTCTCTCTCTCTCTCTCTCTCTCTCTCTCTCTCTCTCTCTCTCTCTCTCTCTCTCTCTCTCTCTCTCTCTCTCTCTCTCTCTCTCTCTCTCTCTCTCTGACGCCTGTCTGACGCCGTCCACCCCTCCTCCCTGCAGCCTAGCGCTCAAGAATAAGTGGCAGTTTGCGACGATGCACGGGCACGGCATGTGGCTGTCGAGCGAGCTGCTCTCGCCGTGGGACCTGGCCGGTCAATGGAACAAGGTGGCCGCCACAGCGTACACCACCCAGCCGACCCTCACGCCCACATCGAGCCTGCTGCAATATGGTCGTTAGGTCGCCGTCCTCGCGGCGCTCATGCAGCCCGCGTCTGAGGCGCGCGGTGGCGCCTCGTGGCTTCTCTGGGCGGACGACGACGTCCTCTTCTCGGATATGTCCTTCCGCTTCCCGCTCGGCCAGTGCGAGAGTAGCCGAGAGGAGTCCAGACGGCCAGTGCGAGAGTAGCCGAGAGGAGTCCAGACGAGAGGAGTCCAGACGGCCAGTGCGAGAGTAGCCGAGAGGAGTCCAGACGAGAGGAGTCCAGACGGCCAGTGCGAGAGTAGCCGAGAGGAGTCCAGACGAGAGGAGTCCAGACGGCCAGTGCGAGAGTAGCCGAGAGGAGTCCAGACGGCCAGTGCGAGAGTAGCCGAGAGGAGTCCAGACGAGAGGAGTCCAGACGGCCAGTGCGAGAGTAGCCGAGAGGAGTCCAGACGAGAGGAGTCCAGACGGCCAGTGCGAGAGTAGCCGAGAGGAGTCCAGACGAGAGGAGTCCAGACGGCCAGTGCGAGAGTAGCCGAGAGGAGTCCAGACGAGAGGAGTCCAGACGGCCAGTGCGAGAGTAGCCGAGAGGAGTCCAGACGAGAGGAGTCCAGACGGCCAGTGCGAGAGTAGCCGAGAGGAGTCCAGACGAGAGGAGTCCAGACGGCCAGTGCGAGAGTAGCCGAGAGGAGTCCAGACGAGAGGAGTCCAGACGGCCAGTGCGAGAGTAGCCGAGAGGAGTCCAGACGAGAGGAGTCCAGACGGCCAGTGCGAGAGTAGCCGAGAGGAGTCCAGACGAGAGGAGTCCAGACGGCCAGTGCGAGAGTAGCCGAGAGGAGTCCAGACGAGAGGAGTCCAGACGGCCAGTGCGAGAGTAGCCGAGAGGAGTCCAGACGAGAGGAGTCCAGACGGCCAGTGCGAGAGTAGCCGGGAGGAGTCCAGACGGCCAGCCGCTCGACCGACGGCGCGTGACCGCACGTCTTTCAGGTACGAGGCGCAGGAGGCGTGGCTAGTGCTGTGGGGCGACGAGCGGATGACATACGAGCTCGGCGACTCGGAGGGGGTGGATGCTCGGATCATGCTGCTGCGCGTGTGCGACCCACCGATTCGGCCATCCACTCGATCCTCGATTAGGTCAACACAGGGACGATGCTGCTGCGCGTGTGCGATTGGTCGCGTGCACTGCTCGAGGCGATGCGCAGCTCCGCCCCCGCGCTCGCCTCCCCCGCCCTCACCGCCTCCACCCTCATCGCCCCCTCCCTCACTGCCCCCTGCCTCGCCGCCGCCCTCTCCGCCCACCTCCCTCCCCGCCTCCGCCGTCCCCTCCGCCGCCGTCCCCGCCCTTCGTCACCTCCACCCACCCCTCCTCGGCCACTCGCGGTGGCCCACGCGAGCTCCACCGGCTACAGTCTGAACTAGGCGATGGAAAAATAAACTAGGCGATGACGCGGCTCGCCTCTTCCTCGCTGCGGCCCGTCCTGACCAACCACGACCAGGCGCGCTCTCCCTCCCTCCCTCCCTCCCCTTAGCTCTCCCCGCCGACAACCCGGCCGTGTCTCTACCCGGACTCTCGCCGGCCACCGCCCAGAGCGGCCTCGTGTCCACACGCACGCGGCCGCTGCGTCCAGGGCGGCCTCGTGCATTTGCTGCACACTGCGCCAGAGCTCTGGCGGAGGCACACGCGGCTTGAGCGTGACCCTAGAAGCGGAATGCGTGTTTTTGTCTTCCGACTAGCGCTCGAGAGGACACGTACCTCCGCTGTGCTCGACCGTATTCAGCTGTGGTCACTGTGTTTGTAGCCCTCGTCTTCACGCGGTGCTCTGAGTACACTGCACCACAACACCGTCTTCCCGCCCTGAGGTTGGTGTCTTCAGCATGTAGGAGCGGGACTACACGATGAACGGCCACTGGCCATCGTACACCGGCGCGGAGATATGCAGCCGAGATACAGCCGAGAGATCGCCGTGCGTGCCGCGCGAGAACATCCACCACCAGCCATCGAGCACGCCGGAGACGACCCACACCTCGCTGCAGCTGAGCTGAGTACCCACGTCAAAACCCGACCGCCACACCTCCATCCCTCGTAGGCGCCTTCACGCTCGGCGCCGCGACGCTCCGCTCGCCCGTGTGGGGCTCTTCAGCATTGCCTGTCATCGTGCACTACTCGGGCGAGATGTAGCCGAGATTGCACTACTCGGGCGAGATGTAGCCGAGATTGCACTACTCGGGCGAGATGTAGCCGAGATTGCCCAATCGGGCGGCTGCCCCGGAGAATCGCGCTTCGCTCACAATTCCAACGGCAACAGTCAGTCAGTCAGTGTGGCACACCTCCGAGCATCGAGGACGGGCCCACACGCACACACACGCTGCACACGATTGGCTCGGGAGCCGACACGAGGCACACTGCCACCGGCCGTATCACTGGGTCCGGACTGCTGGACGCACGTATCACAGCTCACAAGATTCCACCGGCAACCAGGCTGCCAGATGTGTCGCGGACACTCCTTCAACGGCACCTGGACCGACCGCGGCGTGGCGGAGTGCGTCGCCGCCTTCACGGCGAACTACATCTTCGCGGACGACCAGTCGCTGCGGCGGCTCGGGCTGCGCCACACACGACTGGGCATGCCAGGGGTGCGGCGCGGCGGGGCGTGCCGCCGCCGCTGGCAAACGGCCTCTATTCACGCCGTCAGCGCCGTGAGCAGGTGCGGCCCGTATACCGCCCATGTCTCGTCCATCTCTCGTCCATCTCTCGGCCACATCTCGAGCAGGTGCGGCCCGCCGCGAGCAGACCACGTTTCTTTTCGGTGGGCAGGTGCGGCCCGCCGAGGGGTCCCCCCTCTTTGCTCGGCACGCAGAGCTGACTCGCTGCATGCCACGCTTCCTGGTGGCGCTCTAGAAGAGAGGACCCGAGATATAGCCGAGCTGATGCGCCGTATGCCACGCGTTTTCCGGTGTCCGAGGGCCGCAGCATGGGCATGGGGAACGGCAGCCCGCGAGTGATTGCGGCTCACTCGTGTGTCGTTGTGCGCAGGTTGTCGGGACGCAAAAGGGAGGCGGACTCTCCCCGCGAGGCTTGCCCGAGGCTGCCTGCCCGCCCGGGCTGAGCCGAGAGAGTGCGCGAGCTAGGCACCTCGACGCTGCACTACGTGCTCCGCTCGGGCTGGCACCCGCGCGTCGCGCTCAACAAGGGCGAGAAGGAGGTGCACCACTTCTCCCTCGACGACAACCACGCCATGGGCCCGGCCCGCTACCAGGCGCGGGAGGGGGCGGCGACACAGCAAGTGGACTCCCCGCCAACAGCCGTTCTCCCAGACTCAAAGCCTCCCCGCGCTTCTCCGCGGTGCCGCGCGAGGCGCGTGCTCGTACCTCGCACACACCTCCGGCGGGAAGGCACCAGCCCCGCGAGACGTCACTGGACCGACTACGCTCCCACAAACCTGCTAGGCACGGTGGGACGGCGAGGGCGCGCAGCTGGGCACTTGCCCAGGCCGGGAGGACGAGGTGCTGCGGTCTCGCCCGCCCATCTCGACTGTGGTCGGCGCCTCTTCACAACGGTCGGTGTCGGCAGGTCCGGGGCGAGGTCTCGGCCACTTACCTCGACTACCCGCGCGCCGCCGAGCGCGCCTCTACGCGGATTCGCTCGGTCTCTCGCGAGGAACCGCACTTCACCGCGGCCGGTGTGAGCAGGCGCGCGTTTGCGCTGCTCCCCTTCGCCAAGGTCGTGCTGCTGCTGCGCGAGCCTGCGGCGCACCTCGCCTCCTCCTCCAGCAGCAGCGTTGACTGTGTGAAACCGTCCACGCCCACGTCGCTGAGCACAGGCGCGCCTCGTCTCCTCTTTTAACATGCGATGGCAGGTGATGGCGTTGGAGCACGGCGTAAGCGGTGTGAGCAGCGTCTCTTCATACCTCTCTCTCTGCGAACAGGCGCGGCCCGACAGCGGCTCTGTGCTGTGAGTGTGAGCGGCGTCTCTTCACAGCGACCCGTGCGTGGCGCAGGTCGAGGTTTGCGGCAAGCTGACCTGGACGCGGCGAGACTGCTTCAAGGGGCTCTCCTCGCGCGAGCAGGCTGGGAGCGCACGTCGGCGCTCGGCGGGAGGGACGGAATGGTCACATCTTGTCGTCGTGGGCAGGTCAAGGAGCATGCAGTGGGCCCGTTCCAGCTCGCCGCCGCCCTCAAGGTGTGGGCGCGCTGCCAAACGCCGGGCGGCGACGGCCTCGACGCGTCGTGCCTCGGCGCCGATTTTGTCGAGAAGCTCCCCAATCGCACGCGGCGCGAGCGGCGCGAAATCGACGTGTGCCTCGCAGCGCTGGAAGCCGACGCGCCCCCCCTCTCGTTGGGTGGCCGTTGCCTCCCCCCCCCCCCCTCCCCCCCCCCCCCCCCTCCCCCCCCAGTCGCCAACGGCAGACCTCACCGCGGGCCTACCATGCGTTAGGCCGCTGCCTCGGGCTGCCGATCCTCTCGCAGCGCAAGCTGTACAAGCGGATGGAGGACGGCGCGTACGTCTATCGATCGATGTGCGAGACGCCACCACCCGAGATGAGCCGAGATCGATGTGCGAGACGCCACCACCCGAGATGAGCCGAGATCGATGTGCGAGACGAGCCGCGGTGCGGGTGCGGGTGCGGTGCATTAGCGGCGGAACTGCGTGCAACTGAGGGTGCGCAGAGGTGGCAGGCACCGGCTACTGCTGGCGCTGTGGGCTAGGTACGCTGAGCACGTGGCAGTGTGGCTGAGCTACTTTCCTCCGGAGCAGCTTCTGGCGCGGCCCCTCGGAGCCGCTCGTTGTGCCGCCAACGGTCCACGAACGCGTCCGCCCATGTGGGGTTAAGGTGCTTCCCTCGGAGCCGCTGTTCGAGCGCGCGACCGTCGAAGCCCAAATGAGCCGCCTCGCTGCCTTCCTCGGCCTCGACTACAAAGAGACCAACCAGGCCCCACCCCCCTCAGTAGAGATGGTCCGTTCTCGTCCGAGATTGACTGCACCGAGGCCCCGCGTGCCCCGTTCTGACCCCGGTTGCTTGAGATCGCAGGAGGTCCTCTTCTCAGCCTCGCCCGCCTCGGTGACTGGGGCGCCACACGAGAATGGGCGCGAGGGCGTCCCTGTGCGGAGGAGGCGTGAACATCATCACTTCTCACACCCTTCCGGGGTAGGCGCGAGTATGTCGCCACGCCGCCGCCAGAGATGCTCGCGGACTTGCGCGCTTGGCTCTGCCCGCACAACGCACGGCTCGCCGGCCGTCGCATTGAGCTGTGGCCGCGGCCTCTTTCACACCTCGATTGGTGGACAGGCACGCCTCGCCGGCCTCCTCCTCGCAAACGGCCTCGTTCCTTCAGCCTCGGACCTCTCCGCGGATCTGCCGTGGGCGGCCGCGCCGCCAGGCGGGCCGACGATTGGATGCGAGCCCGCTCCAGCCGGCGCAGCGGCACCCTCAACACGCGCGCCGCCGGTGACCACCGCCCAGCCGCCGCTGCCAACAGCCGCCAATGCGGAGACGCGGCACGCCAGAGATGAAGGCCACAAGCGGCGAAGGGCGAAGGGGCGACCTAAAAGAATGAATGGTGGCTGAGTTGTTGCGAGATTAAATTTCTGATATATGTAAAAAGCGAATGCAGAAGATTGGGGGGCGGGGGGGGGGGGGCGAGCGTCAAGCATTGAGGGAAGAGGGGGACCACGGAAGGCGGCCTCTGGCGCCTGCAAATCGATATCGGCCTTGCGGCGACGCGTGGGGGCTGCTCCGGCCGGGCGGGCGGGCGCCTGAGGCCTGAGTGAGGTGCATGGGCGACTACGTGGTAGTAGAGAGCAGGGCTGCGGGCTCACGTGGCGCACGCGCCGCCGCACGCGCCGAGAAGGCGGCGGAGACGGGAGAGGCAGAAAAGGCGGAGCGCCGCGCCAAGACACTCTGCCACCGCGCATCGCGCCGCGGTTAACGGGGTGGAGGGCGGGGTCCCGGAGGAAGGAGACCGGGTAGCGTTCGAGTGGAACGAGGTGCGGGACGAGGGGGAGCTCTTTCACCATTCTCACGAATGCCTCGCCAGGGCGAGGCGGGAATAAGAGGAAGAAAACGCGCCGGCCGAAAGCCGATTCAAAACTAGAAACAACGCCCTTCTCGCATGACAAGCGATCCCACGACAGCGTCGGTGCACGGTGGGGACTGGACATGAAAGGTGGAGGGGCAGGCCTAGGCAACACAGGCACCCCCCCACTGTGGCCGCTGCCCGGACCAACACACACGTCTCAAGAGAGACTAGTGGCAGGATACCGTCGCTGTTTGCTCGCTCCTAGCAAGCTGGCGGCTCTACCTCGCTGCATTCTGCAAGAACGGCGAACGTGCCTGCAGGCAAGTTGCCCACGGTGACTTTCGTAAAGTCCTTGATTTCCGTGTACCAAAGAGGCTGGTCGATGTAGACCATACGCTACGGCATGCATGTCGAGCCTGCCGCGTCGTCGTCACAAAAGAGCGGCCGACCCGTATCGTTCTTGCCATAGCCCGGAAAGGAGCCAACCCACTGCTTGACACGGTAAGCCCTAGGGTAAGCCGGGACGTCGGGTTCGCCGTACTTGTACTCGTAAGTTCCGATGTTTGTGAAGTTGGCCATGAAGTTCAAACCGCACGGGTTCATGCCATTGGCGCCGCCGGTACACTTTGCGGCGCATCGGCGGAGCGTCACTCGCACGTCACTCAACAGCGGCCGGATCTCCACGCGCGATTCACCTTGCGTGTCCCGCCTACAGTGTAGACCCACTCCCCTACCACCGCGCTCGCCATCCTCCGCCCGCACCATTTCGTGCTACGGCTGCACCATTTGCTGCGGCTCTTGGCGCGGCTCGGCGGGGCGCCGCCGCACGAGGCGCGCTATCGCCATGCGGCGGCGGAGGAGCTGCCACCGCCGACGGAGCGGCCCCGCATCGCATGGGACGGCTCCCATGCCGCTCAGCACGAGGCGCAAGCTCACCTTGCGGTGCTCCGGAGCCGGGTAGAGCGGCACCGCCACTGTGTCGTAGAGCTTGTACGGCTGCTGCTGCAGCACCTGCGGCGTCTGCTGGAAATAGTTGCGGAAAGGAACGCCGCCGCAGCTAGGGTCCTGCTCGTGGACCAGCACGACGGCGATGCGCCGGTCCATCGCTACTTGCACAAGGCGCGCAACGGCGCCGCCCGGGTCCAGAAAGGTCTTCTCGTTCAGGTAGAGCAGGAGCACGACGTGTCCGGAGAGCGGGGCCGCGTTGGCTCCCTCGAGCGCCTCCTCCGCCTCGCGAATCACGACCACCGCAGCGCTAGTTGCAGCAGAGCAGCGCCCCTTTCCCGCTGTCTTCTTGACCTCCTCCGCCAGGTGGAAGGCGCCCCTGTTGCCACGGCACACGAGGATGGTGACGGGACCGCCGAAGGCGAAGGGCCCTGTCTCGCCGGGCACCATCACGCCGTCGGCAAGCTCGGCCGGATCACTCACGTAGTAAGGAGAGTGCAGCAGCATGCGCAGCGCGACGGCTTTGAGCGACTCGAGCTGAAAGGCGTTCACCCGCACCCACACGATCGGCTCTGTCTCCCAAAAGATGCGCCTGATCATCTCGTCCGGCCCGCCGTAGGAAGGGTAGGCATCAGGAGCGGCCTCGACGCAGTTCTCGCGGCACTCGGCTTGCAACACCGCGAGCGAGGCGCCGCCCTTTGCCGCGTCAGCCTCGAAGATTGGGATGAAGGGCCGGTTCGAGCCGAGCGCCGCGTACAGCTCGCGACGACAATTGAAGCTCCTGAAGTAGCCGACACTCAGGAACACGAGGAAGGACATCGCGTCGGCTACTGACTCCTCGAGCCTGCTCACGTCTTCGAGGTTGTCGACGTCGAGCCAGATCCGGACGCCGGGCAGGAGCAGCTGCAGTCGCCGCACGACGGTGTGGGTCTGGTCCTGGCCGGTCCCCCAAGAGTGCGAGATGAAGCCGTGGAAGTGGCATTCGGGGGGCAGCTCGAGGACTGGGGGGCGACCGGAGGAGGCGAGGCGGATGGTGGGCATGCGGACGGCGCTGGCGGTCTTCAAGACGACGACAAGCAGCGATATGATGAGCATCGCGGCGGTGAGCGCGATGACAAAAGCGCTGGCGCCGCGCGCGCTGTCGAAGCCGACGAGGGTCTTGCACATGTCCTCGTAGGCTGCGCTCTCGCACAGCTTAACCACAGTACCAAGCATGAAGCAGCAGGTGAGCAGCAAGTTGGCGATGCACGCGAGGAAGAGGTCGTCGGATTGCTTGAAGGGACGCGCGAGGGCGAGGGCGGCAAGAAAGAGGGCAGACACCACAGAAGCGACGACGAGGCGGAGGAGCTTGCTCGATCCATGCTCGATATTGATGAAGAGCACCAGCGAGGCGAGGAAGAGCTTGCGGAGCAGGTCGACCACCTATCAAGACGCACGCGGGGCTCACGATAGGTGTGCCCGACGCTTGGCAACACAATGCACCCACCTCCCAATGCACACCTCCCAGAAGAGGAAGCCTGGTTCGTAGTCGCGCCAGAGAAAGCGGCACGCCCCAGCTATGTCCCCGACTCGCTGCGACACCACCTCGGGGCGGATCCAGAGCAGCAGCGAGAAGAATGCGAGAGGGACGAGCACCGGCCAGAGTACGAAGAAAGCCCAGAAGTAGGCGTCGAGGCCGCGGTACTCGACGTCGGCGGCGCTACAGAGCACCTTGAGGTCGGCCACGAGGTAGCTGCGTCTCTCCCCGCTAAAGACGTTTATGTCGTACGACTCGCACTGCTTCGCCTTGAAGATGGCGCGCGAGACGGAAGGCAGCAGCAAGTAGGCGACAATAATCGCCAAGTAAAGCAGGCGGCTCTGCGCGTTGCGGATAAGTCCGCGCCGGAGGTTTTCGGTGCGATCCGACAAGAGCCACTCTGTGAGCGCGTAGCAAGCGAGGGCGGTGCCTCCGAGCATGATAGCTGCTATCGGCCAAAGGGCGGCGATCAGGATCCGATCTCGCATCGAGCCGATGCAAGCATTCGGGTAGGCGAGGCCGAGGAGGTCAAAGGAGATCGCGTCGACGAAGTTGGTCCAGCGCGTGAAGTCCTTGTGGAGGTGGACGCCGTAGACGGGCCCGAGCGTCGCGGCAACTTGGTAGAAGCTGACGAGGATCTTGAACTTGGGCTGGAATCCAACCTGCGACTCGGAGCGCGCGAGCCGAAGCACCGCGCCATAGCGGCCGCACTCGGTGCGGGCGAGCGCGGGGTATGAGAGGAGCGCCGCCCCTGCGAGAGCGGCGACCACTACCTTTAAACCGACCCGCCCCGTAGGCGGGCAGTCCGCGCAGCCTCGCTCCGCGCGGTCAAAGTACTGCTCGTCGCTCACGCACCATTCGCAGAGCGGGCCCGTGTGGCCTGTGTCGCAGCCCGAGCCGTCTGCCGTCGCACCAGTACTGAGCGTAGCCGTGAGGCGGCGGCGGGAGCGCTCCACCTCCGAGCCGCTGCAGTGGTCCGATGCGTCGCACTCGTGGATCTCGGTGGTGAGGAGAGAGGCGCGCCAGTGGTTGCGCGGGATGCCGAGGGTCTCGAGTGTAGTGTTGGTCGCGCAGATGGCGTCTGGCGGGCAGGGCTTGCAGTGCTTCGTCGGCGCCTTGAAGATGTCGGCTGGGTCGCCGTTGGCGCCGTCGAGCAGGTAGAAGCCCTCCTTGCAGGTGGAGCAGGTGACGTCGCCGCTGCTGCTGGAGAGGGGATGAGGACAGGGGGTACACAGCGAGAGGCCCTCGCTCGCCGCATAGGTACCCGCCTCGCACTCCTCGCACGCGGTGCGGGAGGCTGCGTAGTGGCCTTTCGGGCACAGCTCGCACGCGGACATGTTGGCCGAGGGGGCGATGCTACCTGGCGCGCAAGCGGTTGGCTGCGCGGCACCGCCGGCGCAGAAGCTGCCAAGCGCGCATCCGACGCAATCGTCGAGGCTCTCCAGTGTGGTGGACGCGTTGCCGTTGTAGAAGCCGGCGGGGCAGCTCGCCGGCAGCTGAGCGCTGCTTCCCTCCGGGCAGAAGAAACCGGGATCGCATGGAATGCAGCTCGCACTCCCCGCATACGGCTGGTGCGTGCCGACGCCGCACATTGCGCACTTGTCCCTTGCAGGCTTGGCTGCGGTTCCTGGAGAGCACACAGCAGGCGCGGCGCCACCTCCTGCGCACGACAAACCCGCGGGGCAAGCAAAGCACTCAGGGTCCCCGTCGGCGTCCGTTAGGTTGGCGTATGTGCCCGGATCACATTGCGCGTCGAGCTCGAGCGACGAACCCTTGGGGCAGAACTTGCCAGCAGCGCAGCGAATGCACTCGGTGGCACCGACCGCGTTCTGGTAGTAGCCTTGTGCACACGGCTCGCAAATCTCGCTGCGCTCCTCGGCGGCGACGGTGCCTGGCCGGCACGGCGCGCACGTTTCGATGCTTTCCGCTCCCCGCATTGCGCTCGAGGTGCCGATGGGGCAGGACTCGCACGCGGCGCTCGACTTGCAGCCGGTGGTCGGGTTGAAGCTGCCCGCGGGACAGGGCTCCCAGACCATGCGGGTGGCGGCGCCCGCCTCTGCACAGTAGCCTCCGAGCGGGCAAGGGTCGCAAGCGGCGAGGCCGACGTCGGGAGAGAAGCTGCCCGCGGGGCAAGTGAGGCAGTCCGATTGACCTCTGAAGGGCTGATGCTGGCCTGGAGCGCACGGGATGCAGCTCTCGTTGCTCGCCGCGCCGAGGGCGGGCATGTGAGTGCCGATCGGGCAGGGCTCGGGGTCGGCCGTCCCCTCCTCGCAAAAGTGGCCCCTGATGCACTGTCCGCTGCAGGAGGGCTCGATGAGGCCTCTCGCAGCCCCATAGTAGCCAGCTGGGCAAAGTCTGCACTCGGGGGCGCTGAAATCGCCTTCAAGGGCGCCCTGGCGCGGCATCCAGCGGCCCAAACGGCAGTCCCAATCTATCGGCGAGCCTGTCTGTATCGCGATACCGTTGCCGGCGATGTTGCCGGCGAAGGAGGTGTCGCTGATCGAGGATCGATCGAGCTCATCTAAGTACAGCACCGAGCCTGAGGGCGCTGAGTTGTTGATGAAGGCGACACCCGCGACGGAGAGGGATTCGCTTGTCACCGCCCTCACGACGCCGCCGATCTGCGGTTGCGAGGAGAGTGCGGGGTGAGGCAGCGCGGGCGTCTCCATTCTATGCTACGTCGCGCACCCTTTCAGCCGAGCAATCCATCACGGTCGAGTTGGTTAGCGAGACCGCACCGCTGTACACCGCGTAGACGACGCCGCCGCGCTGCGGTTCCGAGGAGGGAGGAGCGAGGTGAGGCAGGCGTGGTCTCCATCTCTCGCCCCGCTGCCGTGTGGCGTTGCAGAGTGGATGCTAGCTCTACGCGGCGTACAGTGCCAGCAGAGCAGCCCGTCACTGTCGAGCGGGTTAGCGTGACCGCACCGCTGGACTGCGAGTAGACGACGCCGCCGTCCTGCGATTGCGAGGAGAGAGGTGGAGAGGCAGCCGTCCACCTCTCGCCCAGCTGCCATGCGGCGCACCCAGTCAGCCGAACAGTTCGTCACAGTCGAATCGATTAGCGCGACCGCACCGCTGGACTGCGAGTAGACGACGCCGCCGCGCTGCGTTGCGAGGAGGGAGCGGGATGAGGCAGGCAACCTGTGGCCGTCTCCATCTCTCGCCCTGCTGCCGTGTGGCGTTCCAAGTCGGCTGTAGCTCTAGCAGTCAGTCACAATACCAGCCGAGCAGTCAGTCACGGTCGAGCCGATTAGCGAGACCGCACCGCTCCTGAACGCGGAGATGACGCCGCCATTCTGCGGTTGCGAGGAGAGAGCGGGGTGAGGCAGCCGTGGCCATCTCCATCTCTCGTTCCGCTGCCATGCGGCGCTGCAGGGCGGCTGCGAGGCTGCACGGCACACCTGACCAGCAGAGCAGTCCTTGACAGTCGAATCGATTATCTCCACGTCGCCTCCGGTCGCGGACACAACGCCTCCGCCCAAGCTCAACGCCTTCCCGTTGACGAGGATCAGCCCCCGCAGGGTGAGGCTGCAGCCCTCGAGGCGAAAGATCCCGGTCTGCCCCTGGCCGTCGAGCGTCGCTCGCTCGCCGCTGCTCGCGACGGTCACCTTGATGTTGGAGGTGCACTTGATCTGGCTGCTCAGCTTGAGGTGCGCGCCGGGAGCCAGGAAGACAGTGACGTCGGAGCCATGATTTTGAGCTTCGTCGATCAGGAATCGGAGATCGCTCGATGCGGAGACAAGGCCGGACAGCGGCGACGGTGAAGGCGGCGTTGAAGGCGGTGTCGAAGGCGGCGGTGAACGCGGTGACGGCGCGTCCTGGAGATGCACCTCAGAGAGTAGCAGTGTTGTGAACACGAGCATAACGACGGCGACGCGAGTTGAAGGAGTTGCTCGGAGAATGGAAAGGCTGCTGGACACGCTGGCTGGACACGTCCAGAATTCTCCGGTCCGCCCCGGGCCTCCCCGGCAGAATTCTTGTCTTCTTTTTTGAAGAAACAAAGGAAGGACACAAGATCGCTCTCGGGCCCACAGACATCCCGCACACCCGCCGCCACCCGCGCGCGCCCCGCCCCACCCCGGCCGGGAGAAAGGGGAGTGACTGACAGATTGGGAAGGAAGGAAAGTCGAGCGAGTATCTCGCACTCCATGTGCGAGAACGCAGGGTACATACATGTAAGCCGGATGGCTCACAGGCCACCTCTTGCGCCCCGAGCTCACCATCTACCGCACTGAACACTATCTTCCGCCCCCTCGCTTTTTTTGTGAAGCCGACTTGGAAGAGAAGAAAGGAACTCTTTTACCGGCAAAGCTTGTGCTGTGAACCGACCTTCCCCCCCCCCCCCCCGCAACGCGATTTCTTTCCTTGTTCTGTTGTGTTATTGATTTTGGTGGTAAAACTAACTCCTCCTCCCTCATGTTCTTGTTCTTTTTCTAGCGTGTTAGTGCCAGTGCGAGCCAGTCCCGTGCCCAGTGTTGTGCGAGGGAGCTTTGTTGTAAAATTCTTTGTCTAGATCTATAGTGTTCCCGCGCACGGAATTCTTTTTCGACGCCGGTGTGAACGTTCTCTCTGTAAAATTCTCTCTGTACTCTGATGTGTTTGTCGTTGCATTTCGGTCGGGCTCTTCTCTGAGCCATAGGCCTGTTGTGGATTGTGGTAGTCCTGGGCACTGCGCCAAAATCAACAAAATCGGCAAGATGCCCAGCTATTTTGCTCACCTGAATTTCCCAATTGCTAAAACCCCCCGCCAAGCGCCCTGGTACATGGTCGGCTCTTTTTGCCCGCCAATTTTTAACCCGATTTTTCTCAGGACTGTAGAGCCGCAAAATACAAACAATTCGGCGACTACCTTTACAACAAGGCCCACCACCGGCGGCCCCACGACGTCGTCTTCGCCGCCTGGGCGGACGCGATGCGCGCCCCGGCCAACGCGCCGGTCGTGCACGGTGACAAGGAGAAACCAGAGCTCACCCGGCAGTACAACGAGGGGTACAAGGTCGACCTCGCGGAACCCCACGCTGGCCCGGGAGGATGCGATGAGGTGAATGAAGTCAAGCTCTGGACGCCCCTCCTCAAGACCTCCTCGGCGGGCGTTGGCAACGCCTCGAGCGGCGGCACGCCCGCCTCCGTTGGCCACTCCTACGCCTTCGGCAACACCGAAGAGAAGGCCCGCCGCCTAAACATGGGCTGCAAGGCGCGCGGGCAGCCCGGCCAACCCTTCGACCACAAGAACGGCCACGGCTACGTCAAGGCGCATCGCGGTTTCTACCACGACGCGATCTTTGTCAAGCGCAACAACTTCAACCTGCTGCTCCACGAGACGTTCAGGCGGCGGCTTCTCGCCCACCGCCGTTCTCAAGCTGCGCCGCCTCGCGCGCAAAGCCGCGCGCGGCAGCGTCGACCGCACGGCCTACTCGCCCAAGTACTCGCTTTCTTTTATGTCCCACCATGCAGAGCGCATCTCTCTCTCTGTTGTGCGAGGCGTGAACCGCGCCATTCGCTCTCACCTGGCAACCCTGTCTGCACGTCTCGAGCGCGCGTGAACAGGGCTCCAGGCCCCAAATGACGTGTGAGTGTTAGAGTTGTTTGGTATTGCTAAAAATCTCTCTCTCAAAATACCCGGGTAGATTTTGAGAGAGAGAGAGAGAGAGATTCTCAGATTTTGTGATCAGACTTGGCTCAGAGCCCGAATCAAACAAATTCTACTCGAATTAGAACATGTGGGGTTTCAAAAATCTCTCTCTCTCGAATTATTCTTAGTGCTCAAGCAAGAAACGAGAGTCGAGAGAGAGAGTCAGAAAAAAACGAAGAGGAGTGCAAGAGGAGAAACTTTCGTTCGTTATTATGTGTATGGCCAACTTGGAGAAGTACCCGGCTGCGGGACCGGCGGCCCCACCCAGCTTCGGCTGAGGGCTGACAAGCTGCCGAGCCCAAATCACTGTGAGAGGCGTGTGAGTGAGACACACTGTGAGGGGCGTGATTTCTTGCACAGTAGGTATATTGTTGGCGTGATTTTGAGAGAGAGAGAGAGAGAGATTTGTGTTTGTGTTTTGTTTTGTGATTTCTTGTTGGTTTTCAAAAATGTTTCAACTGCTCTCTCTCTCTCTCTTGGCTCAGACCCTGGATGGAAACGGAGGCCCTGGAAATTTCCAAGGATGCCAAAAAAAGAAAACTGTGCTCCCCGCAGAGCCGCGCATCACTCACATACAGCTCCGCGCCCTCAGCGTCGCCCATTCCCGGTCCGTGGCTGGGCACTGAGGACATGTCGCTCGTGCTGCAGCTCGCCGCCTGCTCGCCTCCTGCCCTTCTGCCCCACGCGAGGCCTGCCGGTGCCCTGGTGCCTGCCGGTACCCTGCTGGTCGCCGTCCGGCGCGCCGCCTCTCCCGTCGCCGCCTCTCCGCCCGGTCCGCCGGCCGGCCTCCTGCTTCGGCCTGCTGCGCCCCCGGGAGTCGGCTACGTGCAGAAGCGGGTCGTTGCCCCGCTGCGGCTGGCGCTGCTGCTGTCGTGGTCGGCGATGGTGCGGCACACCGCGACGCAGCGCAAGGCTGATCTCGAGGAGGAGCTCGATGAGGGCAGCCGCATCACCTGGGTGGGCGCCGCCGTGAACTTTGTCCTGGCATTCCTCAAGCTCTTCGCCGGCGTGACGGGCCGATCCGCCGCGATGATCGCCGACGCGGGGCACTCGTTTTCGGACCTGATTTCGGACGGCGTGACGCTCCTCGCGCTGCGGATGAGCACGCTGCCCGCCGACATCGACCACCCCTACGGGCACGGCCGCTTCGAGTCGGTCGCCTCTTTAGCAATCGGGGCTCTCCTCCTCGGCGCGGGCGCCTCCTTCGGCGCCGGCTCCCTCGCCGCGCTCGCCGCGCCGACGCCGCGGCCGCCGATGCTCATTGCGCTGTGGGCTGCGGTTGCGTCGATCGGGTCCAAGGAGCGGCCGCTCCGTGCTCTGCGGGGCGGAGCCGTGGAGGCGAGCCTCACGGCCTGTGCGTATGTGAACAGGAGGCACTCTACCGCGCGACGCGGCGCGTGGGCACGCGGCTGCGCTCGCAGGTCTAACCCTAACCCTAACCCTAACCCTATCTCCAGCCTAACTCTTATGTGCAAGAGCTGCGCTCGCAGGTCCTCATGGCCAATGCCTGGCACCACCGCTCCGACGCGCTCTCGTCGGTGGTGGCGCTGGCGGGCATCGGGGGGTCGCTCCTCGGCCTTCCCGCGCTGGACCCGCTCGCTGGCCTCGGCGTGGCCGGCCTGATCTTCTGGATGGGGCTGCGCATCAGCATCGAGGCGCTCGCGCAGCTGACCGACACCTCCGACTACGACGTCGTGCAGGCACTTCCTCGGCACTTCCTAGACACCTCCTAGACACTTCCTAGACACCTCCGACTACGGCGTCGTGCAGGCGGCGGGGCTGGTCGCGCGGCGCGTGCCGGGCGTCGAGTCGGTCTCGCACATCCGGTCGCGGTCGATGGGCGGTTCCGCGCTGGTCGACCTGGCGATCCAGGATGGCCCGATGCTGTCGGCCAGGTAAGTGGTGAACGAATGAGTGACTGCGCGAACTGTTTTCTTTCCAGGTCGACCCGATGCTGTCGGCCTCGTGCGCCCACCACCTGGCGGAGGAGGTGCGGCGGAGCGTGATGGAGGAGGCGAGCCGCATCGCCGACTCTCCTATCTCAGAGGTGCTCGTGCACGTCGACACCGCCCCCCACGACTACGATTGCCCGCTGCAGACGTCGGTCGAGGCAGCTGCGCCGGACCACGCCGCCGTCGAGGCGGACGTCCGCTCGCGCCTCCTCGCGCTGCCAGGCGTGGAGTCGGTGCCACGCGTGCACGTCTTTTACCTCGGCGCCGGAGTCGCGGTTGAGGCGCGGGTCGGTGCGGCGGACAGCAGCGAGACGGTAGACGGTCTGCGCGCAGCGGCGGCGCGCTGGCGGCAGCGGCTGCTGAGCAGCCTGCCCTACCTCTGCCAAGTCTCGATCGGCGTCGACCTCGCCGACGAAGGGGCGGCCGAGAAAGCGAGGGCGGCCGAGGGCGCGAACGCAGGTGCGGCGCTCAGCTGAGCCCGCCGCCGCGGGTGTTTTGTGACGAAACCCGCTGCTCGGGACTGTACCGTGTTGGAGGTTTTTAAGTTTTCGGCGATGGCCGATGGCGATGCTGCCCGCCCCTTTCTCGAGCCTTTCTACACAAAGCGAGAATATAACAACTTTTGTTTCCGCTTCGGCTTGTTTGTGTGAGATGTGCACACATGGACATGTGCATGCACATGCACATGTCATTGTCATGTGCATGCACATGCACATGCACATGTGCATGTGCATCAATGTGCATGTCGTGTGCATGCGGCCATGCTAAACAACTTTTAAAATAAATAAATAAAACGGTCAAACTCTGAGACGCGAGATGGGATTTAGGGACATGTGTCCCCGCCCTGCATGATCTTGGTGTGAGGGATATAACTTTTTAATATGTATGTATTTTAGGGATCGTGAGTTTTGGACGGAGGGTGGACGCGTCCAGGGGGGGGTCGGGGGGGGGGGGGGGGGGGTTACTTCGACCAAAAGCGTGACAGCTGCAGAGGGGCTGGAGAGCGAGTCGTAACACATCGCAACACATCGGAACGCCCCTGCTAGCGATGCCTGGGCGGCGATGATGCCGCAGGCGGCGACCACGAAGCACCGCGGGGACGGCGTCGTCCGTCCGTCGATCGACCTACGTCAGTATCAACCAGCGCTCCAATCCGACCGGCAACCAGCGCTCCAATCCCCGCATCGTGTGCCCGCGAGGGGGAGCAGCAGAACCTCGAGGCGCTCTCAAAAAGAAACCAGGAGGCAAAAACGGCGGCGGCCAACGGGGGGTGGGGAACGAAAGGGGAACGAAAGCCCATCTCGCATGCACGTTCCCTCCGAGGGCAAAGAACGCCGGCTTCAGCCATGCCAGTGGTGCCGGCCCCGAGCCTGGCTACTCGCGATCTGTCGGGAATGAACGCTGTGCGAGAGATCTTCAGATTGTTGGCTAGCAGCGCTGCCTGCGACAGTCCCGGTGAGCATCTGAGCCGCGCCTTCGTACTTCGAAAGCTGCTCGAGCGAAGTGATGTTTCTCCCGACGCCCGGGACCCTGACGACAAAGACGAGCCCACGCTGCTGATGTCGGCCGCCTACTATGCGGATCCGCCATTGGTGAGACTTCTGCTCGAGCTTGGTGCCGACGTGCACTTGACTGACGCCAGCGGCGGCACCGCTCTCATGAGCGCCGCCCTCACACTCTCCCTCAGCCAGAGTGCGGCCGCAGGAGAGGTAGTCGCTATTCTACTCCGCTCCGGTGCCCGCTGGCCGTTTCCAGCCGAGCTGCCGCCTGGCACCAATCGAGGCTGGGTGGCTCAGTGGTCAGCGATGCAAAAGGCCGTCTCAGACGTGCAGCGACGGCTAGACGAGCCGCAGCCAGCCGGCTCCATGACGTCGCAAGGCCTCATGGGCGAGCAGCGACGGCTAGACAAGCACGCATCCCCCCCATTGAGTGGTCCGGACCCGCTTAGCCGTCTGGACCTCGACAAGCCGTGGATGGAGCACATACTGGGTGGCTCGGCACAAGAGAGGGCGCGGGAGTTCCTGAGGCAGCAGAATCTGTTACCAGCGCAAGGGCACCCGGTGAAACAAGTGCTCTCTGTCCCCGGAGGGGACCTGTTGTCAGCACAACAGAGGGTGCGGGAGGTCCTGCAACAGCAAGGGCGGCAGGTTCGGCCGGAGGGGGCGGGAGCAGAGAGCCCCGCCGGCCGTCCCAACGCCTCGAACAGCGCCGTCGCCGTGATTCTGGCGCTGCTGCTCGTGGCGGTCGTCGCTGGCTGGCGCGCGTGGCGACACCGGGCGAGCCGAGCACACAGGAGGCAGAGGGGGCAGCGGCCAGCGGAGAGAGCATTCCGGGAGCGGGCTAGGAGGCGGGCTGAAGAGAGGGCGGCGGCGGCGGCCGCGGCGGCCGCGGCGGCGGCGGCGGAGCAAGTAGAGGCAGACGGGAGGGAGGGAGAGGGGCAGCATACTGACGGTTCACCCGACTCGGTGACCGTCCAGCATCTGCCGCAAGCATCGGCGGTAGACCACGGGAGGGAGGAAGAGGGGCAGCAGACGGCACCGAAGCCGGCCGTGGCGGAGGCCGAGGATGCGGTTGGCGAGGCGGGGGCGGGGCATGCCGGCCGCTCCACCCCCTCGGCACCGCCGCCTGAGGTCCTCTCGCTGGCGGACGCTAGCTTCGACACCGGCCGTCGAGACGCTCCTGAGTCCACCATCGGTGGCCAGACTACGTGTATCGTGTGCTTCACTAGGCCGAAGTCGCACGTCGCTGTGCCGTGTGGCCACCAGTGTGTCTGCGGCCCCTGCTCCGCTCGGCTGCGAGCGTGCCCGTATTGCCGCACGCCAGCCGAGCGCTGGTGGCACGTCCGCGTGGTGTGAGATCGTGGTTGCAGCCTTGCGGGTTGGCGAAAAAACGCTCGTGAAACTATAATCTCGTGTGAGAGACTAGTTCGTAGTGTGGGATCACGTTTCGTTCGTAATGTGGGATCACGTTGCAACGAACGAAACGTGATCCGTTCGGATGCCCCTGATCCACAATCCACCCGCACGGCCCAAGGGAGGGATATACTAATAATGGATAAATTTCAGTATCCGGGGTAGATCGGGAAGTCTCCGGTACTGTGAGCGACTGTGAGCGCCGGAGCCCCGTTTCCGCACTTACCCGCGGCGCACGGTGCCTCCGGGGGCCCCCGCGCCCCCCCAGAGTAGGCGTGTTGCCGCTGTCGCTGTCCTAGTCGCTGTCCTTGTCCTTGTCCTTGTCCCCCCCTCCCCTCCCCCTCCTCCGCCTCCGCCTCCGCCTCGCCCTCGCCCCCGTCCTCGCGTTCGTCCTCGTTGCGTTGAGGGGGCCGCTCACGGCAAGGAACGACACGACCGATCGAGAGGGGGGGGGGGGGGGGGGGGAGTTGGTCGTCACAACAGGCTTGGCCTGCACAAGCTTTTCCGGCAAACAAAAAGGAAAACAGAGGGGCCCCAGCACTTTGCGTTTCCGGAAATTTCCAGGGAAAACAGAGGGTGTTTGGTGCTCCATTCTGGAAACTCGCGAGTTTCCCTGAGTCTGAGAGCTGGTCTGGGGCAAAATCTGAGGCAAAATTGAGGAAATCGGCACGATACCCTGGCGGTCGCAGGGTATTTTCCAGGTAGAGCTCTATACCCGGGGTTTTCCAGGTATACCCGCAAAATACCCGGTATTTTGCCGATTTGGCTGATTTTGGGCCCAAACCAGCCTCAGACTCGGCTCAGAGCCCGGAAAATTTGATGGTTTCCCCGGGAAAATAGAGAGGAAAAGAGAGGGTGCTGTAGAGAAAAAAGGAAAGGAAAAGAGACGGGGTGCGAGACAGCGAGAGGAAAAGCTTGTTCAGCCTAAACAACAGCTCCCGCCGCCGAGAGAGCCGACCGGAGGGGGGGTCCGATCCACCTCGGGGGCAGACTATCGACCCGCGGGGGGGTCCCCACGAACTAGGGAGGGGGGCCTGGGGGGGCGGGTACAAAAGACGCTCTAAGTGGAGATGTGGAGTAAGAAATCGGCCGCGCGTGTGCTTCGAACATATTGCCACGGCGCCCACGGTGAGGCCGATAGACACAGTCGAGTACGCCGAGGAACCTGAGAGCCAGAGGAAGGAGAGCTGTGGGAGAGAGAGAGCAGGAGATCCCGAACCACAGAACTGCTCGATTCCCACCAATCACCCCTTGCATCCACAGGCGACGGTCACGCACGTATATTCCCGCCACGATGCCTGAGAAGGTTGCGCTCATCGGCTCCGGCAACTGGGGCTCCGCAATCGCCACAAAGATTGGCGTCAACGCGTCGGCGTGTGCAGACTTCGACGACAAGGCACGCCGACCGCCTCTTCGCCCGCGCGCGCCCCACGCTTGAACTTTGCCGCCGGCCATGCCACCGCCGCCCCGCACCACCCCCACGACAGCACCACGTCATTTCCGCGCCGGAGTCCACCCCGCCGATCGCGCCCCCGGCGCCGCCGCAGGTGTACATGTGGGTGTTTGAGGAGTACGTCAAGGAGGAGGATGGGAAGTGGGTACGCCCGGCGCGTGGAGCAAAGCCGCCCGAGGGGAAGGTGCTTCTCTTCTCTTTTCGAGACGCCACCGAGAGACGCCTCCGTGACGCGCGCCCGCGACACGCGCCCTTGTCCGGCCGGGAAGTGGCGCCAGATGGCACGAGCTGCCTCTCCGCACTGCCCGCGCCACCGCCGCAAACTCGGACAGCAGCGGCTTCGGCCGCACACTCTCACCCACCCCTCCTGCTAGCACCTGCAGCCAACCCCCCCCCCCCGCGCGCGCGCGCTCGCCAGACGTGGGTGGATGAGGGGTACACGCCGCTCACGCAAGTGATCAACGAGAAGCACGAGAACGTCATCTACCTGCCCGGTCAGCCGCTTCCCTGAGCCCTGCACCCAAACCCTGCACCGAAACCCCACACCCTCCATTCCACACCCTCAGCCCCACACCCTGCACACTACACACTACGCCCTAGAACGGAGCTGGAGTGTTGGGAGTCCTGCGACGGCCGGCCGTGTGACGTAAGGGTGGGGGTGGTGGGGGGGGGAGACAGGGAGGTGGTGATGTGAAATTCACATCACCGAGGCGAGGAGCTCCGCTGCCGCCGCCCTTTCCACCTCCGCCGTCGCCCTCGCTGCCGCCGCCCTCTCCGCCGCCACCATTACCTCCACCATTGGACCCGTCGCCCCCACCGCCCATACCACCGCCCCCCTGTCCGCCACCGCCACTACCACCGCCACAAGCACCGCCGCTCTGGAGACGGAGGGGGGGGGGGGGGGGGAAGGTGGTTGTGGTGGTGGCGGCGGAAAGGGTGGAGTTGGGGGTGGGGGTGGTGGTACCCCCCCGCCCTTCGCCGTTAGGGATCGAGCTCCCTCACAACATCGTGGCGTGCCCCGACGTCGCGACTTGCGTCGACGGCGCGACGATGATGGCGCGCCGCGAGAGTAGCCGGGAGTAGTGACGGCGTGCAGAGGCCCCTCCTCTCCTCCATCCCCCCTCCTCTCCTCCATCCCTCCTCCTCCCGTCCCGCCCCTCCCCCTTCCCCCCCCCCCCCTTTCCCTCCCCCCTCACACACACACACACACACACACACACACCCTAACCCACAACAGTCTCACGGCCCGAGGTCTCTCTCTCTCCTCCAGGTCTTCGTCATCCCGCACAACTTCCTCGCGCCCATTGTGCCAAAGATGGAGGGCAAGTTTGCAAAGGGCGCCATTGGCTGCTCCCTCATCAAGGGCATCGAGTTCGAGAAGGAGGGCGACATGAAGCCCATCCTCATCTCGGACTTGCTGCAGGCCGAGATGAAGAAGTCGGACGGTGCGCCCGTCGTCGACATGTCGGTGCTGATGGGCGCCAACGTCGCCAACGAGGTCGCCAAGGGCGACTTTGCCGAGGCGACGATTGGGTGCACGAAGCCAGAGAACGGCCTCAAGTGGTGCAAGCTCTTCAACACCAAGGACTTCGCGGTGCAGGCCGTGACGGACGTCGCGGGCGCCGAGCTGTGCGGCGCGCGAGAATCAGCCGAGATCGGCCGAGATTCGACGAGATTCAGCCGAGATTCAGCCGAGATTGGCCAAGATTCAGCCGAGATTCAGCCTAGATCGGCCGAGATTCAGACGAGATTCAGACGAGATTCAGACGAGATCTGGCCGAGATTGGCCGAGATTGGCCGAGATTGGCCGAGCTGTGGGAACGCGGCCGAGAGCACGCTCCGCGCGGGCGGTTGCGACCGGCGTGTGTTCACGCACGCGCAGCTGTGAACAGGCGCGATGAAGAACGTCGTCGCGCTCGGCGCCGGCTTCTGCGACGGCCTCGGCTATGGCGGCAACACCAAGGCCCGCCGGGCCGCCCGTGTCTTGTGCCGTGGGTGTGAACAGCGCCTCTTCACACCCACTGAGCTGTGAATAGGCGCGTGCTCTCCTCCTTCAGCCGCAAGGGCGAGAGGTGTGAACAGGGGCGGTGGCCGTGACGGCACCGCGGGGCGTGACCTGGGAGTAGGCCGCCATCATCCGCATCGGCCTCAAAGAGATGCAGAAGTTCTGCAAGGTGTTTTACGGCACGCGTCGCCGCGGCGTCGTACGGACGCGCCGCGAGGAGATGCAGCGGGCAGCTTTCCCCGTATGCACTTCCGATAGGCGACCGCCAGATCAAGGACGAGACGTTCCTCGAGTCGTGCGGGGTGGCAGATTTGGTGACGACGTGCTTCGGTGGCCGCAACCGCAAGTGCGCCGACATCTTTGCGAAGAACATCGCGGCGGGCACGCCAAAGGTCGCCTCTCCCCTACCCCACAGTACCCGAACCCACCCTCCCCTACCCCGCGGTACCCGAACCCACCCTCCCCTACCCCACGGTACCCGAACCCACCCTCCCCTACCCCCCAAGGCGTGGGATGTGATCGAGGCAGAGGAGCTGAACGGGCAGAAGCTGCAGGGCGAGCGTTAGCTGTGATGCTCCGCCGAGAGGCACACCCGCACCGGTTGAAGGTGTGTGTGTACCGTGATGCGGTGCGCTCCTTTCACCCACGGTGCGATTGCGGCGCAGGGACCGGTACCGCGCAGGACGTGATGAAGGCGATCCGCCGAGGGCATGGCGCGCACCCACCCATCTCGGCGCATCAAAAGCGAGCACCGGCTGTAGGCGATCAAAGCAAAGGGCGTGGTGGACGCCTTCCCGCTCTTTTCGCAGATCCACAAGATTGCGTTCGAGGGTCCGCACCGAGAGACTCGCCGAGAGCCGCAATGAAGATTGCGCCGGGATTCCCTCGCAGTCCCCGTGCGTCTGCCGTTGCGTGCGCGTGTTTAATGGTCCCCCCCCTCCCCCCCCCCCCCCCCAAACACCCACCCCCCCACACACCACCACCACAACCACCAATCGTTCTCTCCTCAACCATCTAACCACCCACCCACCCACCCACCAGGCGCCAAGCCCGAGACGATCATCGACATGAAGCTCGAGAAGTACTACTAAGGGAGGCTTCTTTCACGGCAGTGCGGCGGGAGGAACACCTGAGATGTTGTAGCCGTGGCGCGAGATGCCGCGCGATCGATCGCGGCCCATCGTCGCACAGCCCCCCTCCCCCACTCACTGAGGCTAGCCGACTACCCGCGTCTGAACCTATACTGCGAGAGAGAGAGAGAGGAGATGGTGAGTCGGTATAGTTTACCTTTGCACAACAAAACTCTTGTACCTACTTACTGCTGGGGCCGTCCCGTTTTGATCTGGTCTGTGGGGGGCCGAGCCGCCTCGGGGTGCAAGGAACAAGGATCTGGCGCTTACGTCAGTAGGGTCGGCTTTTTGATGTTTGAACAATAAGGGTTTCCCCAGGTTTTAGATCAGTACGGGGGAAGGACCGTGAGTTGACGGAAATCGGAGGACGCGACCCACTTCGCCACAGACGGTCCCGCGCCTCGCCGCTAAGACGGGGACACACCCCGCACCGTCCGCTGTGTCCCCGTCTTTGTCCGGAGTGAAAAGTCCAACGCGCTCGTCGGTGACGGCTTCCTCCAACCTGCGCCGCGCTCGGCGAACCTCGACAGCGCCTTCGGTGGCATGCAGCTCTTTGCGCCTGAAGCTTGGAGTGAAGCTCCTCTGCTGCTCACACGCTCTGCACAGATGGCACAGCCTACTGTGCGGCTGCCACAGCTGTGACAGCGATGGGCTCGCCCTCACTGGCCCTCAGTCACTTGTGCTGCGGCTTGTGTGAGCGACACTGCGCGGCGACTGCCGGCACACTGTGAGACCATGGGTGTGAGGTAAAACCATGCTACCAGCGCTTGGTCACATCGGCCCCGAGGTCAGATCCTTCTACTCTGTTGATGACAACACTTGTCTACTCGCTGGAGCCGAGCAGGAGGGCTTGGCGCACAACCCCTGTTCAACTCAGGGTCCTTCCCCTTTATTGGTGTCGGCACACATCCCCACACATGAGGTCAGCGGCGCGCAGTGCCTCTCTCGCAGGCTGGTTTTGGCTGTTTTCGAGCTTGTTTTTGTTTTCAGACTAGCTGACTAGGGTCTGGGGGGGGCGACCCCCTCAGAGGCGGCGGGCGGGCGCCCACAGACGGAGAGATCAAAATGGGACGGCCTGGGGGGCGTCAGTCTGATTTTAGCAGCTTATACGCAAATGCCCTTTCCCCTTTTGGAGCACTTGTGACATTTTGGAGCTCGTAAAGTGTACGAGCGTACGAGGTCCGGCACTGTCGAGCTGTCGCTGACGTGCAGAGGCGGGAGGGCGGGGGCGCGCTTTTGATTTCTTTTTCTGTCAGTGCGATTCGCGAGTCACCACGGTCCACCCGCTGGAGGGGCCCTAGGAGGGGCCGGCCCGGGTGTTGGAGAGAGAGGAGGAGGAGCGGCGGGATCGACGCGTGCGCATCGTGCGGTCTACACTTGGTCCATGTCCATGCCATGCCGAGGTGCGTGTGGGGGCGTGGGCGAGGAGCGACCAGGAAGCCTTGCAGTGCAGGGCGTCGTTTGTGAGGTCAGCCACAAACTTGTGCGTCGCGAGCGACACAAGCCGCACAAGCGCTCGTCCGTCGCCTGGAAGCCCGACTGCGCCAAGAAGTGCGCGGTCACCTCCTCAGGAATCGCGGGCGTGTAGTCGCCCATCGCGAGCAGCAGCTCCTCCGCCGTCTTCTCGTCGTCCGTCATCGCGGAGGCGCTCGACGCCGCCACGCTCGACGCCGCGACGCTCGACGCCATTTTGTCCCACCGGAGGGCGAAGAAGAATTTTTGCTCGCGGCAGACTTCAGACGTGCCATTGTTATTCATATTATTACACATTATCATCAAATTTGCTATTCGGCTCTCCGGGGTCTCGGCTCTCTCCGTTGCGCTTTGGACTCGAGCACTCTCTGGGCGAGAAAACTCCACGACGGTGGGCAGTGACGGTGGTGATCTAGCTGACTCACTCGGTGGGAACCGGTGCACCTGAGCTCTACCCGACTCGATGGCATTCAAGCGAGGCTCTCCAAGAAAGTGACGAGCATCTTCATGCGAGCCTTGGTGTAGATGTGGTCCGCCACTAGCTGGTTCAGCTCGAGATTGTTCGGGAACGATTTCGCGAGCCCGTCGCGCACCAATCCATCTGCGGCTTGACCGTGTTCACCCACCAATCGCGTGTCATCGTGACTGCCGGGACGCCCGTCTCCTGCGACTCTGCCATCAGCTTTGGCAGCGAGCGAAGGATGGGGATGATCATCTCTCCGTCGGCGTCGGCCTTCAGCAACTCCTTGACATCCTTGGCTGGCTTCAAGTCGGTCTTGGTCTGGAAATTCTTGACCAGCTCGCGCATCGAGGCGATGAACTTGCCTGGTCCGTTGGTCACCCACTCGGGCCCGAAGGTGTCCTCGCTCGGGTCGACTTGCGCTGGCGAGCTGGTTTGTGGGGAGAAGGGGGCGCCGACGACGGCGCTGCCTTTCTTGCGATAGTTGGTCACCAGGAAGGGCAAGACCGTTGGCCCTTTTTTGTCCGTGTAGGTGTAGCCGAAGGCCTTGATCTTGGAGAGGGCCTTGTCGGCTGCGACGTCGTACTTATCGTCGCGCTTCTTCTTCAGTTCCTTCAGCACACTGATGGTGCTTGGCAGCATCACGTGCAGCAGCGAGTGCAAGGATGAGAGCGAGAAGAAGTCGGGAAACATCGGCGGCAGAATGTAGTCGCACGACATCAGGATGACCTTGTTGAGGTAAGACGAGGAGGGGCCGAGGTCGATGATGACGTAGTCTGCGTCGGTGGCGTAGGCGGCCATCCGCATCAGGTTGCCGAAGGCGGTGTGCTTCATAATCTCGTCGCTGCCGTTCGCAGACTTTGAGATGTCGCCGTCGTAGTCGAACAAGTGCGGCGAGCCGGGGATCAGAAGGAGCCTGTCTCCAAACGTGTCTGGCAGCGGCTGAAAGTACTTCTCCGGTGGCGTGAGCGCCGCGTCGTTCTCTTGGAAAGGGCCGGCGAGGGCCTGGTGGATGTCGTCGATCGAGTTGATGGTAAAGATCGACTTGTCAAACATCCTGACGTCGGGTGCGTCGTTAATAGCCTTAGCCTTGACGCGGTCGGACTTGTCAAAGAGGGCCTGGCCGTTCGCTGGCGCTGGTCCGCTTGAGTCCTCGTCGTCGCCGGTTGAGGTAACAGGCGGCATCAGGAACGACGTCAGGTTCGTCTGTGCATCGGCGTCCACCATGAGGACGCGCTTGCCATCTTGCGCGAGCGCTGCCGCCGTGTTGACAGCCAGCGTCGTCTTACCGACACCTCCCTTGAAGTTATACATCGCGATGATCTTGGTCTTCTTGGTGGTGGTCAAAAACGATGTGAGTGTCGGCGCCTCAGCCGGCGGAACGGCTCGGCCCTGGTTGACGAGTCCCTTCCGCTTTGTCTCGATTTTGTCGAGCTTGTTGCTGGGAGCGGTGAAGATGAACTTGTGGTCGAGCTCGACGTTGTTCATGGCCGAAGAAGGTTGGTGTCAAGTGAGACGCGCGATGTCGATGGCACGCCACCTTGCCCAGAGACGACCTTGCGAAGCGTTCCTGATCGCGGTTGTCATTTATTCGCCGACAGCACCTTTGAGCACTTGAGCACTGGATAGGGTCGATTCCGCATGGTACGGGACCCCTCGATCGTCTCGCCCTCCCTCACTGGTGTGTTCATTGGGGGGGGTCATAACAAACACGGTGCAGGATCGAGGTGCACGCTGCTGAGGCAGTATCGTCCCCTCTCTCCCCAACGGCGATGGCGGTGTGACCGATCGAGCTACAAGAGGAGCTTGTTCAGCAGGACCTTTAGGAGTGTGTGTGTGTGAGTGAGTGTGTGTGGGGGGGGGGGGGTGAGAAGGGGACGTGGCCCCGAGTAGCGTAGTGCCGTACGCTCACTCGGGATGTGTGGCAGCCCAACTGGCTGGTCTTGTGAGTTTGTGTGTGTCTGTGTGTCGCTCCAGAATGTCGTGCCCAGTGTCGAGAGATTTTTAGAAGCCAACAAGAAATCGCACTGACAGTGACTTGGGCTCGGCAGCTTCGTGACAACAAGAATTCGTGCGAGCTCTCGTCCTCTCCGGCGCCATCCCTCCCTTGGGTTGTCTGCTTCTTTCTTTGAGAGCGCCTTCCCCGTTGTTTTGTTTAAATTCTTTTCTTTCTTATTCTTTTACTGTCCTTCCACAGACAAAGCAAACACCCACCGGCACGTGTCGCATGACACGACATGACACGAACCGAGCTAGATACACAGAGACATGAGAGAACGCCGGCTCAGTCAGAACAAACAACACAAATCGAATGTCAAAGCTCAAGGGAGGCACGCCAGCGAACGCGTATAGGTGTGTGTCAGGGCTTCCCGAAGCCGAACTTGACCCACTTCCCCGCGTGCCCCGGTTTCGCATCCATGCCCGTCGCCGTCGCCACGGCGGCCCGCTCGGCGCTGTCCAGCCCGAGCAGAAACTCGATGTCGTCGAAGCCCTCGGAGTCAAACGCGGCGGTGTAGGACTGCAGCCCGATGCGCCCGAGCGCCTCGGCGACGGCCACCATGCCGCCATTGTCGGGAGGCGCCTCCTTGTGGACGGTGCGCCCGTCGGGCAGGAGCTCGAACAAGCGGCTCGGAGGCAGGGATGGCGCGGGCGGGGCAAAGGAGGAGGAGGCGGCGGCGGCGGCGGCGGCGGGAGCGGAAGAAGGGGCGGTGGGCTCTAGCGCGGGCGCAGCGGCAGACTCGCGCGGGCGCTTCGCGGGGCGCGGCGGTGGCGCCGGCCCCTCCTCGCCGACCGCCCGCGCGTACGCCACCGCAGCCTCCACCGCCGTGCGGAAGGTGCCGAGGGAGACAGTCTTTCCGTCCACCTTGCGCTGCGCTCGGAAGCCGCCAGAATTCTTCGATACGCCCCTGTAGCCGGTGCTGCTGCTGCTGGAGAGGAGCAAGCGCAAGCCCTCCGCCTCCGCCACCACCGCCACTGCCGGCGCGTGAAGCGTGCAGAACCACGTCTTGCGCCCCGCCTCCGCCTCGCTCCTGAAGCCGGCGCACGCCAGGCAAGCCCAGCGCGAGCAGCCACCGGCGTCGCACCCGACGGAGGGCGCCATCACCTCGCCCGCCTCGTCGTCGAGCAAAGTGCCGCACTCGCAGCAAGTGGCGGCGGGGGCGGCGGGGGCGGCGGGGGCGGCGTGGGTGGCGTGGGCGGCGTGGGCGGCGGTCTGGAAGGCGGGCGGCGCGGGCGGCGGAGCGGGCTGCACGGGCGGCGCGAGGGGCGGAACGCTCGAGTCGGAGAGCGCCTGACAGAACAAGACCACGACCTGCCGAAGAAGTGAGGCGGCAAGGGCCCACAATGTCAGCCCCGCCTCCAGCGCCTTGATCAGCTCGATACGCGAGCGGTAGTGGCGGGCGGGCTCGGCGAGGCGGAAGGCGTAGTAGTCGCCCGCAAAGGTGGCCTGAGTAGCCCGCGGCCTCCAGTGCACCGCCTGCAGAGAGGAGGAAGGAGAGTGAGAGCAACCCCAAAGTACCGACCGCCTCCCCGCAGCTCGTCCTCACCCACTGGCCATCGACGTGCACCGTCGCCTCAGGCGAGCCCTCGTCCTTCAAGCGCGCCGCCACCGCCAGCAGCTTTGCGAGAAGCGCCGCCTCTGCCGCCCCAAGCTCCGGCGACTGCAGCCTGCCCTGCGACCCGAGCGCGGCAGCCGCCATGACGTCCGCCGGGTCGAACGGGCGCTTCTCGCAGCGAGCCCGCTTGGCCGGCAGCGTGAAGTCGTGCGGCCCGCCGTGGCCTGCCGGCAGAATGCAGCCAAAGGCGCCGCCGTTGCACTCGTGCGTGTTGCCACAGAGCAAGACCGCGGCCTCGGCGGGCGCGTGGGGCGGCGCGCTCTCGGCGGCGGCGGCGGCGGCGGAGGAGGAGGAGGAGGAGAGGGAGGCCGAGGACGGAGGGCCACGCGCCGCATCCGAGCGCCGCTTTGGCGGCGGCCCTTCCGGCGGCTCGTATGGACGCTTGGCCATGCGGACCCGCTTGTGCGGAGCGTCCGCCACCCCCGCCGCCCCCGCCGCCGCCGCCGCCGCCGCCCCCGCCGCCGCCCCCGCCGCCGCCGCCGCCCCCGCCGCCCCCTCCGCCCCCTCCGCCTCCGCCGCTCCTGCCGCCTCCGCAGCCACAACGTCGCCGTCTGCCGCCTCGGCCTCCTCATCCGTAGCCTCCTCATCCGTAGCCTCCTCATCCACCTCCGCGTCCACCCAGTAGGCCTCGCCACCCGCCTCGTCCTCCTCGTCCATCGGCTCCGCCGCCGCCTCTGCCGCTCCCGCACCCTCCTCCAAGCCATCCTCCGCCGCGTCCGCCGCCACCGAATCCTCCTCCCACTCATCCTCCGGCGCCTCGCACTGCCGGCGAGCCGGGTCCGGGTGCATCCAGCAGAACCACTCGGCAGGGAGCGGGCGGGGCGTCTCGGCGGGCAGCCGCCGCCACCTGTCGCACCGGTCGCAGGCGACCCACAAGCAGCGGGCCTCGCCCTCCTCGTCCTCGCCGTCGCCGTCGTCCGAGTCGAGCGCCTCGCTGCCGGCGGCAGATGAACCCTGGGCAGGAGCCTCGCCGACCGCCCGCGCGTACGCCACCGCCGCCTCCACCGCCGTGCCGAAGGTGCCGATGTGTCTGGACTTGCCGTCCACGCGGTGCTGCGTCCCGAAGCGCGAGCCATCCTTGTACACGCCCTTGTAGCCGGTGGCGTTGCTGCTGGAGAGGTGCAGCCGCAAACCCTCCGCCTCTGTCACGAGCGCTGGGGCACGCACCGGGACGGCTGGAGGACTGATCCCCGCCAGCACGCGCTCGCACTCCGGCCCCTGGGCAGGAGCCTGGCCGACCGCCCTCGCGTACGCCACCGCCGCCTCCACCGCCGTGCCGAAGGTGCCGATGTGTCTGGACTTGCCGTCCACGCGGTGCTGCGTCCCGAAGCGCGAGCCATCCTTGTACACGCCCTTGTAGCCGGTGGCGTTGCTGCTGGAGAGGTGCAGCCGCAAACCCTCCGCCTCTGTCACGAGCGCTGGGGCACGCACCGGGACGGCTGGAGGACTGATCCCCGCCAGCACGCGCTCGCACTCCGGCCCCTGGGCAGGAGCCTGGCCGACCGCCCTCGCGTACGCCACCGCCGCCTCCACCGCCGTGCCGAAGGTGCCGATGTGTCTGGACTTGCCGTCCACGCGGTGCTGCGTCCCGAAGCGCGAGCCATCCTTGTACACGCCCTTGTAGCCGGTGCTGTTGCTGCTGGAGAGGTGCAGCCGCAAACCCTCCGCCTCTGTCACGAGCGGTGCCGGGGTACGCGCTGGGGCACGCGCCAGGAGGGATGGAGGGCTGATCCCCGCCAGCACGCGCTCGCACTCCGGCCCCACCCTCTGCCGGGCCTCGAGCAGGATCCCGGCGCTGTCGCAGGGGCGCGCCCGATCCAAGCCGAGCGGCTCGAACGACCACGACACGCCAGAACCGACCCGACTCGACTTGAACCACGGCGTACGCCGACTCGCATCCGCCGGCTGCGTCGCCTCGTCGCCCTGATACGCGCGGTTGTTGCACAACAGGTTGCCAAGGCGCGAGGACGGCTCCGCGCTGTCCAGCAGCTCGCGCAAGCTCGTGGCCAGCGGCTTCAGCTCCTCGCCCGCCTGCTGCACGAACTGCTGCAAGCATCCGAGGAGCTGCTCCTTGCTCAGCGGGCCGTGGCGGGCAAGGACTAACGCGGCGACGTCACGGATGCGAGAAGTGAACCTTGCCGCTTGGGACAGCGCTGCCTGCTCGGCGGGCTGCTCGGTCGGCATTGCGACGTGGACCTTGCGGCTGGCGGGCAAGTCGGCAGGGACGGTGACGTCGAAGAAGGCGCCATCCACGACCTGCGGCGGTGGCAGGCAAGCGGAACGGTGAGTCATACCGGGCCTCCCCGCCACATCTGCTGCCTCGCACAGCGGTGGCGGTCCTTCTGGCCGGAGAGCACGCCCTCGGGGATCTCGAGCGTGGGGCGCGCAGCCGCTGGAGGCGAGGCCGCTGCCGCTGTCGTCGCCGCCGCCGCCGCCGCCGCCGTGCTCCATTCCGCGACCGCCGTGCTCCATTCCGCGGCCGCACGAGCCTCCTCCTTCTTCATCTTTTGGCGGCGGTTTTGGAACCATACTTCGACCTTCGCGAGCGGGGTGGGGGTTGAGGGTGGGGGATGGGCGCGGGCGCAAGGGGTCGGGGAGGGGGCGCTAATTGCACCTGCCGCGGGTTGACGGCGAGATCGGTGGCGAGGCTGGCGCGAAGCTGGCGCGTCGGGAAGCGGTCCATGGCGAAGACCTGCTCCAGCACCGCCAGCGCGGCGGGCTGGACGATCCATTTCGTGGACTTGTCAACATTGGTGGCGGTAACCATGAGGCTGCGCGACGCGGGGACGACCCGACGGTCAGTTTTGATGTGCGCGCAGCACACGGGGGGGGGGGGTCGCGGTGATGGAGGCGCGGGAGGCGCGGGAGGCGGCCCGGGAGGCGCGGGGGGAACGCGAGCGCGCAGCCGTGTGGCGCACCCTGTTTGAGCCGAGGCCGGTCCGAGCCGGGCCATATCCTCCGCACCAGCCATGCCACCGCCAGTCGCCTCCACGCTGCCGCCGCCGCCGCCTAAAGCCTCGACCCCATCACAGCAGAGGGCTGCCGCCGCCGCCTCGACCTCTGAAGCCGCCGCCGCCGCCCGCCGCTCCACCTCTGCCGCTGCCGCCGCCGCCGCCGCCGCCGCCGCCGCCGCCGCCGCCAGCCGCTCCACCTCTGCCGCTGCCGCCGTCGCCGTCGCCGCCGTCCCTGCTGCCTTGTACGGGCAGATGCGGGCGCGGCAGATCTGCTTGCGTACCCTTGGGCCGCCGAACTTGGCCTTGTCGTGACACTCCCGACATTGGCCGCAATCGGGCGAGCGGCAGGCCGGGCAACTCCCACATCGCCGCCTGTGCTCCCTGGGACGCCCAGCCGGCAGCGGATTGTCGGTACTGCTGCGGCTTGAGAGGTGCAAACGCAAGCCCTCCGCCTCAGCCGCGAGCGGTGCCTGCCGCGGCGGCGCTGCGGGCACAAGCCCCTCCTGCACTGCTGAGGAAGGCACAGACGCCTCGCCGGCAGCCACCGTGGGCATGAGCGCAGAAGAAGCAGCGGCTGAGGGGCTGATTGGTGACGCCTCGCTGCTATCCGCGACGACTGCAACCGCAACTGGCAACGCCGCCAGGCCAGCCCCCAGCTCGGCGGGCGGGGCGGGGCCCGGCACATAGGACCCAAGAGGTGTCGGTATGGCGACCGCCGACGCAGAGGGCACCTCGACGCTTGGCAGCTGCGGCTGCGGCTGCCTGCCCGGCATGTACCCCGCAGGAGCCCCTGTGGATGTCCCGTAGGTGGTCTGCGGAGGGTACAGGGCGGTGCAATGAGGGTTCTGCGATGGCGCGCGTAGCGGAGAGCGGTGCTGAGAGCGGCGAGCAAGCTCACCGTTTGCTGGCAGGAGGGCGACTTGTGGCCGATGCCGCCGCAAACTGAGCAACGTTGCGGCTTGTTCTTGCGCGACGAATCCATCTGCGAGGCGGGGCCGCCCTCCGCCTCCTCCTGCACGGGCGACGCGTCGAAGGTCGCCTCGCCCTCGCCCTCGCCTTCGCCCTCGCCCTCGCCCTCGCCCTCGCCCTCGCCCTCGCCCTCGCCGGAGGCCACCTCCCATGCCGTCTCGAGCAGAGCTGCCGCCGCCGCCGCCGCCGCCGCCTCCGCCGCCGCCTCCTCATCCATCCGAGCCGCCGCCGTCGCCTCCGCTGCCGCCTCCTCCTCAGCCATCCGCACCGCAGCCGCCGCCGACTCCTCCTCCGCAGCCTGCCCCGCCGTGGCCGTCGCCACCGCTGCCGCCGTCTCCTCTGGGACCGGCGGGCCAACAACCTCTGCAGCCGTGCTGCCGACGGGCGGCGGAGGCTCCTCGCTCGACGCGGCCGCCGAGCCAGCCGGCGCCAGGGCCGCAACGACAGCGGAGAGCTGGTCGGCGTCGAGCTTGCACGTCTGCTTCGTCTCGTCCCAAACCATCACCAGTCCCTTCTTCGTCGCACCGCCGCGCTCCGGCTTCATCTCGTGCGCGGCGATGCAGCCGCCGCAAGTGCAAGGCATCGCGATGCGAAGAGTGTAGGGCTCCGGCGACGGCTCGAGGTTTCGGACCCGCAGCTTTTTGATCCAGGGCGTAGCCAGGTCCTCTTTGTCGAGCGCCCGCGAAAGCTTGCCGCTGTGGGCGAGAGACTGCCAGGAGACGTCGGCCTGTGCCGTGTTGGTCATTTGCAATCACAGGCAATGAAGAGCAGGAAATGAAGAAAACCCGCGGACAATTTTCTTCTTCTTAGAGATCGCTTGAATGCCGGCATTCAAGCGCGACAGTGCTAGCCGCCTCCGCGATGCTGAGCGGTGCATGAAGGGCGGCGAGCCGCTGACGATGCGCGAGGCGTCCTTCATCAGCTCGCTGATGGGACACGCCCAGCACATCGACGCGGCCACCGTCCGGTTCACCATGCACATCGACGGCAGCCTCGACGGGCAGATCAACTTGAAGTCCGAGTACACACGAGAGCTGGAGCGCGCGGAGCGCGAGCGAGCGGGCACGTGCGCCGCCGCCGCGCCCGCCGCCGCGCCCGCCGCCGCGCCCGCCGCCGCGCCCGCCGCCGCGCCAGCCGCCGCGCCTGCGGCTCAGTCGTACGCAGCCGCGGCTGCACAGCCGCCTGCCGGCAGCCTCACAATCCGGCCGGCCAAGCGCGGCCGGCGCAAGGCTGCGCCCCGCGTCGACAGGAACGCGCTCTCCGCGCGCGGCGACGGTGTGCCGCCGCGGCGTTCGCGCTCCTCGTCGCCTGACGCGCCGCCTGCGAAGCGGGCCTCTTCTGCCGGCTCCTCTGTTTGCGGCTACGACTCCGAGGCGCCGGAGGAGATCCAGAACGAGGCGCTCTACCGGGCCTGCCGCGCGTACGGCTTAGGTGAGCAATTCCTCGCTGCGGCGCAGGACGAGGGCACATTCGGCGAGTGGCTCGACGAGCTACCCTTCGAGGTGGCTGCGGCGACCGCCCGGCTGCTCAAGCACCACGCGCGCTCCGGCGCGTGGGTCGAGCTCTCGCCCGGCAACCCTAGCCAGGCCTCACGCGCTGGCCGCGACCGCGACCGCTCGAGCCCGAACTGCCCGTCAGATATGTCGGAATTGTCGGAGAATAGCGACTAGCACACCTCTGAGTCCCAGAAACCCGAGGAGTCACACAGTCCACCTGTGTGATGCACGCCCTGCGAGCGGGGCGGGGTGCGCACTGTCCCTCTGTGTTCGTGTGCGTCGCCCATCTCTCCCTGGAGATGACTGCTCTATTTATTTATTTATATTCTGCCGTCACCGCTCAGCCAGCAGAGGTGGACAAAAACATTTCTGGTCTGTGCCATGCTGGTCAAACGCAGTGAATTCCTGTTGGAGAGTTGTTGAGAGTGTGAACTCAAACCTACCTACGTCTTCCCTACTAGTTACCGCGCCCTCCCACCGTCGCAAGGCGCTCGGCTTCCGCGACGGTGATGCACGCGTGTTTTTTTCTCCACCTCTGCCATCCCACAGACCAGAGGCCACCTTGCCCGTTTTGATCTGGTCTGTGGGGGGCCGAGGGCCGCCTCGGGGTGCAAGGAACAAGGATCTGGCGCTTACGTCAGTAGGGTCGGCTTTTTGATGTTTGAACAATAAGGGTTTCCCCAGGTTTTAGATCAGTATTGGTGTCGGCACACATCCCCACATGAGGTCAGCGGCGCGCAGTGCCTCTCTCGCAGGCTGGTTTTGGCTGTTTTCGAGCTTGTTTTTGTTTTCAGACTAGGGGGGGCGACCCCCTCAGAGCCACAGAGGCGGCGGGCGGGCGCCCACAGACCGAGAGATCAAAATGGGACGGCCTGGGGGGCGTCATGCTAGATCTCCGCTATGTGTCAGCAGTTGGGGGGGCAAAGAACTCACGCGCAGTGTGTGACTAGCCCTTTCCTTGGGGTGTGAATGCCCGCTCGGTCGCGCCGATCCGACACGACACTTGTCCTCAGTCTTGTATGTCGCTGTGCGCGGCGTGCGTGTATAGTAGTAAAAACACACACATAGACGCATGGTAGCGAGACAGTGGTAGCCAGTGGGCGAGGCCGGGGCTGCCGGGTGGCAGTGGTTATACATCAGCGCACCCTTGCCATGCGTTAAAGCTGGGACGTTTTACCTTACGCGCGCGCGAGCGAGTCGCGTTTACCGGTCGTGCGTCAGGCCAGCGCTCGCCTTGCGGATTCAGCGCTGCCTTCTGGGCCTAGGCGGCGTGCATATGCGAGCGCCGCCTCTGGCGCGCTGCGGAACGAGCCAATGGACTCCGTGCCCAGCGCGGCATGGAACATGCCAATCTTCGCCTTGTACGACACGCCTTTGAACCCCCATTTTGAGACAGATCCAGCCTTTCTGCCATCCAGAGACCCCGTGCTGGGCACGAGCGTGAGGCCCTCGACTGCCGCGAGCCGCTCTGCCTCTGCTGCTGACATCGGCTCTGCCTCCGCTGCCGCTGCTGAAGCTGCTGCCGAGGCTGCTGCTGCCGCTGCTATCGCTGCCGCCTCTGCCGATGTCTCTGGTCCCAGCCTGCGCGCGTACAACAGTGCCGCCGCCTCCGCCGTGGCAGCAGTGCCGATGCACTCTTCACCCAACTTGCTCCGAAAGCGACCAGATTCAGTGCGAGCGACACCCATGAAGCCCGTCTGATTTCGCGGCGAGTGTACCAGAGTGAGGCCCTCCTCTGCTGCCATACGCCGCGCTTCTGCCTCGTCCATCAGGTGATCGCATCTTCCCGCGGCGCGTGCTGCTGCGTGGGCCGTCCTCGGGGGGGAGGGGGCGGCCGGGCGCGAAGGCGGAGTCGCCGCCAAAGCGCTGTCCGCCGGCATCCGCAGCTCATCTTCCTCCGCCTCAACGGCCTCAACAAGCTCCACATCCCCGTCATCCTCCCACGCCTCCACAACAGCGGCGACGACTGGCATGGGCTGGCACGCGGGACAGAACCAGTCGCCTGGGGGGATGACGGCGAGCGGCCGCGGCAAGCACTTCAGGTGGTACGCAGCGCCGCAACCTGGCCCGTCGCAGAGGAGGATTTCGTTGCCCTGCACGTCGTCTCCGTCTCCACACCCGGCACAGTTGGCGTTGCTAACTACGACCGAAGTCGCCGGCAAGCGGCCCGGCGAAGCGAACTCGTGCGTCGGAGAACTTGCGTGGTCCTCCAGCGCGAAGTCGTCCATCAGTCGTGGTCGCTTAATGGACCGCCCGGAGCGCCGACTTGGCTCCGGACGAGACAGGTCGGTAGGTCCCATCCTAACGCGTGGTGCTGGGGGTTCTTGCAGTCCGAGCGACCGGGCAGCAGCAGCCAGGGAAGCGAAGCGCGTGCCACTCGCGTCGTAATAGAAGAAGTCTGTCCTTCCTCCCACAGTTGAACACATGCGCCTCTCCAGTCCACCCATCCAGCTGCTCCTCGCTGCCGCCGCGTTGGACGACATACTCTCGCAGCCTCTCCAGTGCTGCACGATCGGCCATCGCGGACTGACGGCTTTTACAGTGTGAGCGAGGACGTTTCTGACCCCCCGGGGGGGTCGGGTAGGGTCGTTTCGGCGTCCGGAGGAACGGATAAAAGCCAAAAACGTGAGCAGCGACCCCACACGACCCCCCCTGACCCTCCGACCAGGGGGGGGGTCGAGGGTCGTGGGGGGTCGTGGAGGGTCGCAGGCGACAAAGGCGGAAAGGCGAGGACATACACAAGCAAGGCTCTACAACAGAACCCTCCGCCTAGCACAAGCAGCACCGCCCCACCACGGTAGTGAGTCGGGTAGCCCACAAAGAACCCTGCACAAAGACCGCAGGGCGGGGACCTGTTCCTTTTTACCCATCTCCTAGTAGAGGTGTCCGTTTTATTTATTTATTAATCGTATGTGCCCGCCCCCCCTTGCGCGCCCTGGCCCTGCCTCGCACTCCTTTTGTCCCCACGTCACCCGTCCTTTGGTCTACTTCTCCTTTTTCGTCTCGTCTATTCTTGTTTGCTTTATCTTTTTCAGAGAGAAAATTCGCACAATTGGCTACGGGTCACCCGCGGCCCCGCCGCGCTGAGATATCGCGGTGCTTGACCTGGAGGAAAGGGGGGGGGGGGGGGGGTAAGGCGCTCTCGAGCGACCTCTCTATCGAGCAACACCGGCAAGTTTGCTAGCTCTGCCTGCAAGTCGCGGTGCGTCCACTCCAGCAGCGTCGCGGTGAGCGGCGGCACGTAGAGCTCGATGCGGTCGAGGTGCGCGTCGAGACCCTCGGCGTCGCTCTGGCCGCCTGCGGGAGACGTAGTCTTGCCATCTCGCCCGTTCTCGCTCGACGCCTCTGTCCACGCCGTCGCGTCTGCGTCGTCGCGCGAATCGGCGCCGTCGCCCAGCGGGTAGGGCGGGGCCACTTGCGGCGCCTGCCGGCGCGAGATCTCGGCGGACAAGCGCGCCATGAAGAAGGCGGAGAGGACGCCGAGCAAAGCAAAGTAGAGGAGGGGCACGTCGAGCCGCGCCTGTTCGCAGGCGGCACACGTGAAGCGACGCGGGATCTGCAGCGGCAGCGGAGGGACACGTTCGAGCCGCGCCTGCTTGGAGTAGAAGAAGATGGCCATCCACATATGGGCCACCACGGCGAGCGGGAGGACGTAGAGGACGGAGAGGGTGATGGTGCGGTCGGTGGTGCGCGGCGGCGGCTTGAGCACGCGCAGCAGGTTGTACCTGCTCTCAGCTCCTCAGCCTGTAAGGGGGTGCCCTCCGCAGGAACACGAGCGCGTGGCGCGGCTGTGCCTAATATTAATAGTGAATGATTGATCACTGCACTAATTATCGATTCGCGGCGGGCAGAGCGGCTGTGCCGGTCGACGCGATGCGAGGCGAACATGAAGGCCGAGGCGAAGGGGAGGAGCAGCGGAATCGCTGGGCAGAACATCGCGGTGAGGAAGACCACCTTGAGGGTGAGCTGATAACGGAAGGGCAGGTACAGGTCGGCGTCGAGCTCGTACCCCTCGTTCATCTCTGCGCGGCGGGGAGATCAGGGGGAGATCGGGCCGGGGGGATCGGGCGGGGAGATCGGGCGGGGAGATCGGGCGGGGAGATCGGGCGGAGATTGGGCGGAGATCGGGCGGAGGTCGGCGGAGATCGGGCGGAGATCGGGGCGGGGGTCGCGGTGAGCCGCCTGTCTGCGTCGCCGCATGCAGCGCACGCACGCGGCGTGCGAACAGCTTCTCGGGCCGCACAAACTCGATGATGCCGAGGATGACGGCGAGGTCGCCGAAGAGGCCATTCATCAGCACGAGGGCGCCCGTCGAGTACCTACGTCCCCCACGAATCTCGGAGACTCGGAGAGACTCGGAGAATCTCGGACAGTCTCGCGCCCGTGGAGCACCTATCTCCTCCGAGCTTGGTCCGAGACGCAGCCGAGACATCACTGACCAGCCTGGAGGCGCCGTGAGCGCCAGTGCGAGACGCAGAGTGCGTCGACGTCGATCTCGAGCAGCCCCGGCCCGCCGAGCCGCATGTGCGTGCAGGCGAAAGCAGGACGCGCGCGGCCCGAGGACGGCGAGGACAGCGGGCAAGCGGTGTTGGAGTCGACGTCCCACGTGAGGAAGAGGAAGGCGAGGACGGAGACAGAGGTGTTGAAGATCTGGAAGAAGGTCATCTTGAGCAGCATGTGCATGTGCTGGTACGAGCGGTAGTGGTGCCTGACAGCAACCATGCGACGCTCACGGCGGTCTCTTGCGCGAGCAAACGTGCCGGTGCGGGCCGTGCTGCCGCTCGCGCCGCACGGCAAAGTAGGGGACGAGGTTGAAGATGACCACGTTGGACGCGATGATCACCATGGTGACCCACACCGTCGTGATCGCCTGTGGGGGAGATGCGGGGGAGGTATGGGGGAGATGTGGGGGGAGAGATGCGACCCACGCCGTCGTGATCGCCCCGCTCGAATGCGAGGTGCCCATGAAGTTGGCCACCGTGATGGCGGCCGTTGAGAGGCACGAGAAGAGCGCCACCTGTTCACAGCTAGAGGTGTGAAGAGACGCTGTTCACACCTAGAAGCAGTCCACCGGGAAGGGGAGCACCTGTTCGTCAGCAGACAGGTGAGGAGCAGCGCCCCCCCACAGCAACCACGCGAAGGATCGGCTCCAGGAGCGACGGGTCCTCTCGGGTCCTCTCGGGTCCTCTCGGGTCCTCTCGGGTCCTCTCGGGTCCTCTCGGGTCCTCTCGGGTCCTCTCGGGTCCTCTCGGGTCCTCTCGGGTCCTCTCGGGTCCTCTCGGGTCCTCTCGGGTACTCTCGGGTACTCTCGGGTACTCTCGGGTACTCTCGCCACCAAGAGCGTCGTCCGCACGCCGGCTGCGCGCATCGTCGCACGCGAGTAGCGCAGATTCCGCCTGATGCCCCGAGATGCCCCGAGATCAGCCGAGAGGGCCCGAGATTGCATCTCGCGCGGCACATGCATGCACCAGATGATGTCCGACGGCTCGCACGCGCGCGACACCTAGATGTACGGAGGGTGAGCGCGCGCCGGCTTGGGTGCAAGTGCGGAGCAGCATCGAGGGGTTGACAGCGGACTAGGCAAAACGTCGGAGGGCATGCGGAAGCGCGAGACGTGAAGCAGCACTGAAGGAGCACACCTGCTCGCAGCATGCGTCGTGAAGTGGCCCGTCCCATACCACGCGGCCTCGCTCGCGGGCGCCTGCAGCTTGTGCGCGGTTCGAAAGTACAGCTGCCGAAAGTCGACGTTTGTGCCCACCGACAGGTGGTGCGACCTGATGCCCCGAGGTGCCCCAAGCTCAGCTGAGAGGGCGCGAGATTGCATCTCGCGAGATTGCATCTCGCGGCGGTGCAGGCCCACCGCTCGTGCGCTCGGATGAGCTCGAAATGGCGCACGCATCGTGCGGCGTCCGTGCGGCGGCGGAAGACGACGAACGCGGTGCCATTGCAGACGCACGGAGCGGCGCTCTCGGCACGGAGGGTGGCGCGTGCGCGCGTCATCTTGACCAACAGTCGCTCGGCGGCGCGGCGGAGGGCGGGCGCGCGCCGTGCCTTTTGCGCCGCCGGCAACAGCGCATGCATGGTGTGCAGCTTTCGCCAGGCGGCGGCGAGGCGGTGCTGCCGCTCGAGGGAGCGGAGCAGCGGCAGCGAGTCGACGGAGAGTGCGATCGAGGCGATCGGGCCAAAGAAGGAGAAGTGGGCCTTGACGGCATGCGGGTCCGTGTACGCGCGAGGCAGGCACGAGACGCGCACCTGGGAGGCGGTGGAGGCGGTGGAGGCGGTGGAGGCGGCGGCAGCGGCGAGGGTGGTGCCCGATGACGGAGGAGAGGGCTGGGTGGCGGCGGCGAGGGTCGGAGCGGGCTCGAGCGTGGCGGGCTGAGAGGCGGGGGCGAGGCCGGCGGCAAGCGGGGCGGGGCAGACACGAGACAGCGCACCTTCAGTGTGAGGACACCAATATCAGGGAGAGCATACGGCGCCGCGCCGTGTATTCAGAGCGCCGCGTGCACACATGCTACGAGTACGATGAATGCAGCGGAATACAGCGGAGCACAGCGGAATACGTGTCCTCTCGAGCGCTAGTCGGAGTACAAGAATGCATATTGCTCTTCTGGGCTCGAGTGCACCGCAAAGTCGGACGCGCGGGCGCTGCTGGCCTCGGGCGCGGCGCTCAGCCCGCGCAAGCCCGTGGACCACACCCAGTACACGTACACACAGAACATGCCTGCTCACAAGGGACAGACTGAAGCGCGCCGTCCTCTGTGCGTTGCAGCTGCGAGTGCGCTGTGCCGCAGAGCGTTGAGGCCGAGAAGAGGTGAGCGCCGTCGGTCCAGAGGCCCTCCCCTACACCACAGCACGCGAGGTGGAGAGCCTCTTCCCCCGGGTGGCGTCTCGCTTCACGCGCAAGCCCCGCCGAGCGACGCGTTGCCCAGCAGAGTCGAGAGCAACGCGTGCAGCGCCGCCTGACCGCCGAGCGCCGCGAGGCGCGCGACGGGCTCGCCTGCGGACATGGCATGCGTGCAAGTCTCGGGTGTGATCTCGGCTGTACCGCAGCGGTGCCAAGGCAAGTGGACGAGGGGGCGGGGCAGTTGGCAGTGGATGAACGTGGGCGCTCTGAGCTCGGTCACCGTCGGGCGGAAGCGTCGCATCGCAAGAGGCCTCCCACGGCCACCGCAGCTGCAAGCGGGTGCCGCAGACCTACGTCATGAATACGCCGAGGTCAGGGGGGGAA